CTTTACACTGCTATATTAGCTCTTTAATATCTTATCATTGTAGTTGAATAAATACTTTTGATTGCTCAATCTATGTGTGGTTCCCCCCTCCACGGTACCGGCCCCGCGCCCGGTGACAACCAAGTCAATAAGTGAACAAACTGGTCATATCTGGCTTATGTGAGCGATAAGCTGGCTAGCATGGAGGAGCTTTTAGCAGTTTGAGAGCCAGATATTTCCCATAGGAGCTGGTGTTCTGGCACAACAAAGCCAAAAGAGTAAATATTGGGTTTATGCTGGCTAGGCTCCAAATGAATACAAATTGTGTCTGGCTGGATAACGAGAGAGGGAAATTTAAGCTAACACGTTATCAACCAACTGAAAAGGTGATGGATAGGACACGTCCCTAAATACAGATTGCTTCTACTCCCAAAAGTGACCAAAATCAGTTATTGCAGATTCATACAATATCTTTACAAGCCATTCTTAATACAGCGTCTGCATCTATATGCAATACTGCGTTGGCTGGAAGCTCACAGTCTTAGCCCATTTGAGTGCAAAATTGAGTGAAATAAGAGGAGGAGGACATTTTCATTAGTCTCTGGCTGCCCTCTTAGCTCTGATTTCCAGTTTGTGGTGTGTGACTGCGAGGCTAACACGCAGCCAAGTCATTAGCATAACTGACATGGTGCTATACTGACTCTGCTACTAATGAAATGTCGATTCAGACCACCATCTACCCTAATCAAATGTTAATTGAGGAAGTGATAGATAGCAGCTGCAGGGCTTGGTCCCTTATATATCTTCCTTTTCCTGACTGAGTGTCTCACAAGCCTTCCTGTGTTACGAGTTACAGAACTTTAGATCGTTTTTGCCATGTCTTGAAAACAGGAATATTATCTTGTTTTGAAGCCTTTTGAATCAGCTCTCTCTTTCTATCAGTACTCTCTATGAATACAGCAGAGCATGGCCTGCGGTGCTTGACCTGTTGAGACACCGCTTATAAACGTTGACACCACCAATGTGAAAAATCTCAGACATTACGAAAAATAATCAGACAGGCGTGCAATGAGCCCGCACGGGTGAGCAGTTCACCTCTGAATATAATTCCATTAAAGCCTCCTGGTATGTGGTGTTTCGCTTTTAGACAATAAACAGAAAGCCACAACTATATTCATCTTCCTTCCTCATGAGTGCGGCCGCATTAACTCAAGCTCCAGGCGCGGAAATAAACTCACTCGTGTCTTTGGGTAGCAAGGATGGAGATAAGTAGTGGAGCACACCGGGGTCATTAGTGTTGTGGAGGAGAAATGGAAAAGGTTAGTAATTCTTGCTTGTGTTAATTGCCCATCAGCATTAATGAGTCGCAGTGGCTGAAGAGACGAGGAGGGAGGTTTAAGCGCTGGGTGCAAAATGTCACGAGCAAGGTCACCTCGCCGCCAGAATGAAAATGTCAGATCGCTTTTGTCTGAACACATGAGTGATAGCATGAGTGTGTATGCAGACGACACCTGAGTGTGTGTGGGACTGTCTCCTCAGCCTGTGGTCCGTCTGCAAATTCATATCTAGTAAGAAATTAGATACTCCGTCTTGTTAACATCGACCTTTAGTCTAATTACCAGAGCTGCTAATTACGACCCAACCCCCCCTCTCTTATTTCACACTCAACACACGCAAACACACACATTTACCACCATTACCCAGGGGTATAAATTAATATGTGTGTTTTACGCTGCCTTAATTATTAAGCAGCTGTACATTCTCAAACATAGGCATCCTACATCTTGCGCATTACACAACTTGAGAATAGATATTCATCACTGTTGAATAATGTATCTATGGAGACGACTGTGATGCTTTGACTTGAATCATTAGTGGGAAAAATAACCTCCTGTAAGACTGGGTTCACTCTCCTGTCCATAAAAAGGTTATCTGCATCCGCCTTCGGAAACATTTGCATGTAGTGTAGTTCAGTTTATCACCATATGTTTCACACATTGCTGATCAGACACTTTTTTTTTACATAGCAGCTGCTCAAGGTCCTGCAGGCCTCCTTAACCAGTAGATTATTTACACATTATCATATGTTTCCTCTGCTTCTGTTGCGCTGGCCTGTTGTGCTATTTATAAGCATACAGCATCCTAAAATGCATGTCTGGAGCGGCACATTGAGGCCACTAAATCATGCAGGGAGGGACGATTACTTCAGCATATGGAGGAAAAATTTAGCGAGTGTGTCTTATGCACATGGGGTGTGAAAATTGACATGGACTGAATGTTCCTCACAGCAGCTTTATCCTATCTACTTAAAGCCCCGATAAGGAACTTTTAAGTTGTGTAGATTTGTGCATCCCCCACTGATATTGTTTGTGATTTTATCCACGTGTGTCAGACAGAAAAATCTCATCAAACTTTTTTAACAGTGAAATACATCACCATAAGTGTTTTTTTCTGTGGAAAGAATAAAAAAGGGTGTTTCTTCAGCCTGCAATGAATCATTTTATCCAACATCTACCCTCTTGTTACTGATGGTCTTGTTTGCTTTTGGGGCTCAGTTTTTGTTTCAATTTTACTCACTTTTATAACCAGTGAAAAACTCTGAATAAGAGCTGTAATTTTGAAAAATTAAAGCATCAAATAGTTAAAATATTAAAGCTCCTGTAGGTAGTTTTTGACTGGTTATAAATGGACTGAAATGAACAGTGTTGACATCTCTATGACATACTTACAAGAGTCCATTGACAACAAAACTGATGAAGAATGGAAAATGTTACTCCACCCCTCATAATTGTACACATTTGAAGCTAAATTGCTCCATTTGTCTATTTCCTGAAACCAGCATTTGCGCAGTAGCGTAGACAAGGGAATGGCTTCGATGATGCTCTGCACTCATTGACTGTATGCAAGTGTAAATCATAGAAAATCTGACATCATATCCTGTTTTTATAACACCGAATATAAAAATGTTCTGCACAGAAAAAAAGACGACTTGAGCACAAACCAGTCTTACAATAACTACATGTCTACATCCAAACCAGGGGTAAGAAAAGCTTATATGACTTTTTATTTAATTTTTAATGTTTGTCCACAGCTCCAGTCATTTTGCTGGAGGAGGCGGGGTTTATGATCTCTACCGCGACCAGTCACCAGGTGGTGCTGTTCTCATGGAGACTTCACCCAGCGAGGAGGCATGTGACGTCCATTCTATTTATGGTAGGTACACTAAAGAAACTGTCATTTTTCATGGCAAAACTTCCACATTTAGTGATATATTTTGCTGTAAAAAGATATCAGATAGAGATTTCTTTACAAATAGAAAATCACAACATTTTCTCAAGGACGAGGTGAAATCAGCAATGATATACGGGGTGCCTCTTTGTCTACATGGTACCATCTTCTACATCTTATGTGCTTATTTGGCGAGGTTGCATCTCCTGTAATATCCTGCATTTGAATGTCCCAGAATCTGCTTTTAGCCTGCTTCACTAAAGCTCTATGAGTTTGTTTGAACTCATGACCTGTCTCTGATCATGCAGGCAGCCAATAAAAATTTATGGCACCTTGGGTTGCTTATCTGAAGCCCATGTCACCCTAGGCCACCCCCTGGAATCACTCCTCTATCACTTTATAATTGATGTTTCATTTAATATTAATTTGAAATGGCTGAAATATTCAAGAGCTGAGAAGAAATTTTGTGTGGCTGTGGAGGGATTGATTCTGTTTCAGACTCTGCACAAATGCCTGAGCAGCAGTGATGTTGCACCACATGCTTTCTCTGTCTGTCTTTGTCTCATATGAATCATATTGCAGAGCTTTCGTCTGCCATCAAAACAACATATGATGCAGTTCCCTTCAGAGTCAGTGGGGGGCAGTGAATATCAGCACATCAGAGCCTCTCGTCTGTAAATTTAAGGGGATCTGTGAGAGAGCAGTGATTCCTTCCCTCCAGCTCTGGGGTTGAATGATGATGGCAGGTCATTTACAGTGATTTAAATTTGATGGCTGGCTTGAGTGTCTAGTTTCTGTCTCTGGGGTGGTGAGTGGTGTGAAAAGCCATGTGATGAAAAAGCAGAGGGGAGAACTGTTCAGCCAAAACTTCAGCAGAGTGCAGGGAGTCAGGAGACACATTCAACCTGAGGCCTGTGGGCTGTTGAAGGCATTTTAAGGACCTCCGTCTGGCTCTTTCATTAATTTAAAGAGATTATGAATATGGAAACAGCATGCAAGAGTATTTTAACGAGTAACATTTTCTGTTGGTCATTCAGTCACACAGAGCCAACCCCAGCTGAGTGTCAGTACATTGTTTCTGTGTTTTAGACCCCTATTGTATTTTTCTGAGCTATCTGAGCACACCAAGGACAGCCAGACTTGTGTTTACACTGTTACGTAATAGAGTAATATTGTGTTCACTACACTCTGCGAATATCAACCCAAGCCTTGATATTCTCTGCAGCGGAATACTGCGCCCCTGTCTCATGTAGAAGTCTGCATGCAAGCAAGGTTGACGTGGCTATCAACGGCGCCCTCCGAATTATAACTGGATGCCTGAAGCCTACACCAGTGTCCTTCTTGCCAGTCCTCGCGGGAATAGCCCCAGCTGGCCTCAGACAAAGGCTACCCTTGCCCTAGCCAGGAAGGCACAAAGGCATGATTGGCACCATCCTGCACAACACCACAACAACAGCAGCGCCGCCAAGCAGACTCAAATCCGGTGCAGTATTGTCCATTGCCGGCATGGTAGGTCTTCTCCTCCTATGAGGAGAAGTTGCTGACTGCAACTCCTGCTTCTACAATGCTGCCAGCCAAGTATCTCTGGAGATGTCCTCAAAGGTGGAATTGAGCATCTCTTGCGCCACCCCTACATCAGGGCAGTGCCATTGGAGGAGAAGACCTACCACGCCGGCAATGGACAACACTGAACCGTCTAAGAACTGTGGTTGGCCGCTTTAAAACATCAGTGAGGAAGTGGGGCCTGGTGGAAAGTGCAGCCTGTGAGAACGGTGACCCTGAGCAGACTGTCAACCTTATAACCAGCACCTGCTCCTTATACAGGCCACCTTCAGAAGCCAGTTTCTTTGACCTAGGACCAGAGATGTTGGCATGGCGACACGACACCGAGTTGGACCTCTGACGTTACACCAAAGAAGAAGTGTTTACTTTGTACATACACATGCACAGGTAAGTCGAGGTAAGATCAAAGCTCAATTGGATGATTTAATTGGACTTCTGTCCATTACGGACTACAGAGGGGTGACACAGCTCAAGGAAGAACATTTATGATCATTGCTTTATCATTTCCTTGAAGTAATAATCACCATATTAATGCCTTAGCGTCTCAGTCTGATTGCTTCCCCAAGAAAAAATTATCATAAATGTTCTTCCTTGAGCTGCGTCACCCCGCTACAGTCGGTGATGGACTCATCCGAGTTCTGCCTACAAACAAGCAGCTGCTGGAAGAGAGTGGGTGAGTTGTGTTTAGTCTCTTTACTAAAAAAATCAGACAAAGCTAAAAAGATGTTTGGTGGCTAGTACTGTGGCTGGGACCCTGTTTGTACTGTTGATGAAGTTAGGTGCTGTTCTGAGCATTATTTGTGGTTATAGAGTGGCGTTTTGGTTGAGGCTTGTTTATGGCTCCTTAGACCGTTGTGTATTGCAATTGTGCGGCCATTACTAAAGTTGGTATAACTAGAAAAGCAAGCAGTCTGTAACATTAATCTCTCGACGGGGTGTCTAACTCAGTGTTACGGTGTGTTTGACCCTAACTTAATTTTACGCCAGAATATCCCTTTAATTAAAAGCTAACTTTCCTGAAACAGTTGTTAAATAACTCAGTATAGACGCTGTGCAGTCTAGATAGTCCAGGTGTGTGTGTCTGTTCTTGTGTGCATCATCCTGTCTGTTTTGATTTGTACACAGCTCTGACCTCCATCAATCACTGTTAAGCCTGCCAGTTTGGGTTGAATGGCCGGAACAGAGTAGTGCCTCAGCCCAGTTGTGTGGTACAGTGGCTAACAACACACAAATGGACACACACAGGCACACACCAACACACACTTGTAGTATATCAACAAGCATATGGCCTCACAGAGACCAACAGCAGAGCCATAAATCAGCCCGCTTTCACACTCCTGAAGGACAAAGAGGATAAAATAAAATCCTTCACTCATATTTTTCCACCACTTGTCACGTTCTGTGTTGTGTAAGAAACATAAATTTGTTTACTCGTTCTGGCTGATTTACTGAGCCTCACAACATAACATCACATGAATCATTTTCATCTTTTTATTCCCCCCGCGGTGGCTGCTGCTGACAGCTCTGTGGGTACAAAGAGGGGAGGTGTTTGCCGTGTTGGCTTTCTGCTGTTGATGAGACAGAACTGCAGAAGGATTTAGTAACAATGTGTCCTATTGTGTGGCATCACCAGGGAGGAGGATCCTGACTCTGGAGGTGGGGGTCTGAATCGAGCAACGGAGGCAGTCCAATGAGACTGCACTGCTGTATGCAGCGGAAAATATCAACCTTGAATGCTTTGTTCAAGGCGGTGTTGGATTCCTTGGAGAGAATTAACACCTGAACAGATTGAGCTGGACATGATGCTTGTATCATACTGCATTTTCTAAAAATGTATAAACTAACTTGTTATTGAATGTTTCTGTAAAAAGAAAATAACCTTCTGGAGGGATTAACTTTCCCTGTCCTTGGATTTCTTACCACAAAAGTTAAATTTTTAATCACGATTGCGTGTCTCTATTTTTAACAGACAGTATCTGACTGGTGTTGCTGTTGTTTCATTCAAACTAGGATGTGAAAATCTCAAAGGGATAATTCTATTAACACAAAATAGTGGATATACAAACAGCTAAAATGTTCTTCTTTGCAACAACCACGTTGTATCATCCTGTTTTGCATTGCCAGCTGCCGGCTTGCCACAAAAGAGCTGTGGGTGGACGTGGTATAATGTTGCAGTTATGTATTTCAGAGAAAAATATCAGACCAGAATTTATCAAGTTTGGGACATGACCAGAATTGGGAGTAAAATGAGTGTAACCTGGTGCAATCAGGAGTAGTGAAGCCTATAAACTGGATTAGTTGCAGTCTGAAATTTGAAGGACAGCTGTAAATATTTGTCAAGGACATTTCCCAGTTTACTTTAGAAACTAGTGAATATGCTGCAAAATATAAGTTTAACCACTTTATTGCCTTTTGTATCACATTTGATACATAATTTTATACACTTCTAACAAATCAATATGATCAACAAACTACTAAAAAAACGCCTGAATACAGTCTGATAAATGGTAAAAATGTCCTCTTCTAGTTTATCAGTTTCCAAAAACATCTAATGTATCAAACGAGATAAATAAATATATTTGTAAAATTTTAAGGACATTTTGATTTTTTTTGTTTTTCAGTAGTAAGTTAAATAAACATTTCAGCTCCGAAAAAAATGGAATTTTCTGGCCATAATTTGTGGTGTAAGTCGTAAAAGGGATAATCTGATTTATATTTGGTGTATAAAATATACCATATACAAAACAGGGAATTGATTACTTTGACCCTGTAAAATTTGATACAAACACCTCTAACCTGAAGATAATGTAAAAATTATAAATCTTAAAAGTGTGTCCATGCATTTTTATGTTATCCAAAGCAAACAAGTCCTTCAGTATGATGTTTGATTGTCTTTATTCAGTACACGGGGTACGTTGACCAAAAACCACTTTTTTTTGGCATGCTACATTATTAAGACAGTTATGTTTACACTCATTCTGTTGGTCTGCAGGGATGCACAACAACTATGCAGATGCACTAGTTAGAGACAAAACTATGATTGCCCTGATATAGTGATCCGAAATATGAAAAATGGCTCATCTTACCCCACTCTCCCCAACATCAAAATCGAATATCAATATGGAGATTATTTTTATCATTCAGAAATGACGATAACCAGATATTACTAAGCCAGACCCACCTGCTTCACTTCACAGTCTTGCTCACCCTGTGGGCAGTCTTCATCCACTCCTTTCCTGAGAAGGATCTGGCTGCAGACACTGTGGATCTCCTTCAGTGCGTGCTCAGGTAAAGGTTGGATCTCAGCTGTTGGAGGAACTTAAAGGATCACACCAGCAAAAGTTGCTTTCTCCAGTGTAATTTTAACTGTTTTGCGCATTTGCCAAAATAACCATAAATACCCAAATGCTGGGGTCAGACATATATATTTACCCTTTAAATGTTCACCTATTCAGAATTGGTTATTCACTATGAGCTTACTTACTCGGAGTGCAGTTGCATAATTCACTCTAAATACCAGAAAAGTGTGAAAATTAGATGTAAATGCAATGCAATGTGTCAAGGAAGATGTGCTCTTGAAAGGGGAAATAGTGAAACTGAGATGATAATTCAATAAAACAGGAAGGGAGGAAGCGTCTGGGGAGAAACTGAAGGAGACAAAACAGTGGGAAAAAAAATGTAAAAGATCGGAGGAAGAAAATGATTTCACTATCTACATCTACCCAAGGCGCCTAAATATACCTGTCTAAGGGGAGATTTTAAGTATCTAAAAATAGAAAAATCATTGAGCCTTCCTCCTCCTGGCCTCCAGAGTCTTTCTCAGACAGAAATGGTAATTGGTTCCGAGAGTTTTTTGCGCTGGCACTTTTAAATGAATTCTTAATTTGTGAGGCAAACATTTGTGACGCCCCCCGAGGATAGTGAATCTCTGTGTGGGTGCTCTCCTGCCTTAACCCCGGGCTCTGCTGGCTTTAGCTGCCTCGAGCTGCCTCGCTGTCTTCAAAGGTGAGACGCAGATAGCCGACATCAGCCATTCAGAGCACAGCACAGCACAGCCAGAGAGAGAGAGAGAGAGAGAGAGAAAGAGAGAGAGAGAGAATGATTTGTGTTTGGTGAAATGTGCTGCAGAGTATTTACTCCACACAGAGTGCAGAGACTTTTGATACTCCATCTAAACTTCTTTGATTTCAAGGTTCGAGCATGAGCATGGGCATGTACTGAGTTACCTGTGAGGCAGAGGAATGAATGTTGTTTTTGGAGACCCCTGTGGACATTTGTGGAAGTTCGGAAATATGTCGTTTGGGTAAAAAGACCTTATTCTGCTGTGTTTTTACAGTTAAATGCATCATCCATTTGAATACTCACTTTTAAAAATTACACCCTAGGAATTTTTACTCTTGTTTTTAATAGTCTTGTTTGCTTTTGTGGTTCATGAAAACACATTAGCATTGAAAATTTCTCACAGGGGCTTTAACTCTAAACAAAGCCGGTGATGAAAATGACATTTATGCTCTGTTTGCTGTGTGATAACACCCCAATTATTGTACAATTAGTTTAATGGTGCCTTTAAATGGGAGTCAAGGTCACCTTACAGCACATGATCAAGCAATTAATCACACGATAAAAACAAAGCACCGGTGATACATCATGATTAGTACAGATGATGTACATGCAAACACAGCTGTTGGAGAACTGGTCGATACTTAATGCTCCTGTGAGGAGTTTTTTAATGTATGAAACAGGCTGAAACTCATACTGATGCCTTTTCATGATCTGCAAAAGCAAAAGTATTCAAGACTCTATAATACAATGCTTGGAGAAAGTTAATAGTCTTACCTGGAGACACAGAAAATAGAACTAAATGACCATCATCCAGTGGTACTCACTCTTGTTGTAATGCAGAGCTTTGAGAAACTGGCCCGGACTTACAATGTAAGGTCTCCCACATTGGTTTAATACCCACCAGTTTGCTTACAGAGTAAATAAGTCCACAGAGGACACCATAACCACTACTCTCCACACCCTCTGACCCACCTAGAGCTACACGAGACTGCTCTTTATAGACTTCAGCTCTGCAGTCAGTCAACACTATCTTTCCCAAAAGACTGGTGACCAAACTATTAGACCAAGGACTACCTGTCTCCATCTCCCTCTGGATTAAGGACTTCCTGTTGGATTGCTCCCCGAGGGTGAGAATGGGCTCCTATCTCCTCAACTCTCAGTAGGAACTTTCACTGGTTCCCCACAGGGCTGTGAGCTGAGCCCCCCACTCTACACCCTCCACAGCATCTTCCAATTTGCTGATGACACCACTGTAGTGGGACTCATCTCTTGGGGAGCACAACACTACCAAAACCAAGGAGCTGATTATAGACTGTGAGAGAAACAGAACAGTGATTGAGCCCCTTTCCATGACTGGTGAACATGTGGAGAGGGTCTCAGATGTCTGGTTCCTGGGTTTGCACATGGAGGAGGATTTGACCCAAGGCGCTAATACCACAGCACTGGTGAAGAAGGCACAGCAGAGACTCTCTTTCTGGTGTCCTTCTGCTGGGGCTCCATGGAAAGCACACTGGCTTACTGCACCTGTGTGTGGTCTGCAGAGGGTCGCCATCACTGCTCAGAAGATCAGAGGCTGCCCTCAAACCCTCCCTGGAAGATCTGTACAGCCCCCGCTGTCTTGTCAAAGCTCTGGGTATTTTAAAAAGATCCCACACACCCCGGACACTATCTGTTTGAACTGATGCCTTCAGGCAGATATCTCAGGACAACGAAAACAAGAAGAACCAGACTGAGGAAGAGTTTTTATCCCAGAGCTGTTACTGAACTTAATTTTGCCAAAACCTGAACTATGCTATAAAGGAATATTAAGCTTTATCAGTGCAATCTACAACAGCAACTGTCTTGAGTGAATGGAATGTTGTTTTCCCTTATTAGAATTGATGCTATTTTGATTTTATAATTAAGTTATATATTTTCCTCTGTTTTTGTTAGGAATGCTTCATATTGACAATGACAATAAAGATAAGCTTTATTAAAAGTGTGGAGGACCATTGTGTAAAAACATTTCCCAAGCTAGCTAACACTTTGGTGACACCAAGACACTTGATGGGCTAGTTACAGATGTGAGCTAATCACTTGAAGGCATATTCCAGCGTGAAATTCATTTAGGGTCAAAGACACTGTAACACCGAGTTAGACACCCCCTCGAGAGATGAATGTTGCCGACCGCTTGCTTCTCTAGTTATACCAACTTTTGTAACGACGGCATGATAGCAATACACAGAGCCAAGCACTCAACCAAAACGCCACTCTATAGCCACAAATAATGCTCAGAACAGCACCTAACTTCATCAACAGTACATATAGGGTCCCAGCCATAGTAGTAGCCACCAAACATCTTTTTAACTTTACCTGATTTCCTTAGCTAAAAGACTAAACACAACTCACCTACTCTCTTCCAGCAGCCACCTGTTTGTAGCCAGACCTCAGGCCAGTCCATTACGGTCTATATTTTGTGTTTTGTCAGGAATGCTTCCAATTGACAGTGACAATAGAGATACACTCCTCTAAAAGTTTGGAGGACCATTGAGTAAAAACATTTCCCAATCTAGCTAACACTTTGGTGACACCAAGACACTTGCAGGACTAGTTACAGTTGTGAGCCAATCACTAAACTTCTACAACCATGCAGCTTTTTTTGTAATGAAGAATAAATGCATCCTAGTTGATATGCAGCTGCACACTGTCTCTGTGAGTATAGGAACTTGTTTTTTTAAATTGATGAGGATTAAGGCCTGTATACGGCGTGTCTAAATCATTTTACTCCAAGGCCCCTCAGACTCATACATCATAATATGAGGCCTGATTTCACTGTTAGCATGACATCGATTTTCATGTCAGTTTTACAAATGATCTGCTTGCATTGGAAGTCAATACCTCATGAAGATGCACCTTATCACTGCAAACGGAAGTATCTAATGTGGGGTTGTTAGTGTATTGGCATATGTATATGGCACTATATATGAGAATGTCAATTTTCACCATCAGGTGATACAACACCGCAGCATACGGTCATTTTAGGATGTGTTCTCCGTCCAAGCTTAAATGTTTGTGTGATGTGCTTCCTGCTACATCACTGCATGATGTTAATGCCCTTCCCTGCACTGCTTCCTACCTCTACTGTGCCATCAATTGTAAACAGACACAGCCGGTTTCGGGTCTATAGACAACAAACTGCTTTCTGTCTGATAATTGGAATTCAGAACAACACAATCTGTCAGGAAGAGCCAGGTGTCACAGGGGCGCCCAGCAGGGGCTGAGCTGCTCTGAGACTGAGGGAATATATGGAAATGTAACAGTTCTTGGCTTTTTCTAATAATCAATTTCGGCAAGCATGCTGCAGAGGGAGGCGACGGATTAAGCAGAATCAAAGTGCTCTTTAACCCCACTGACAGCTTGTCCGTCTGTCAGCCTGGATTGGTACTCATTAGTGTGCAACATGCACACACACACACACATATGCACTCATTTCTTAAAAGCCTGCTTTTTCCTCCTGTGCACTCGACGCAGAAACATGTTATGTCTTATTTCCACAGAATTAATGAAAGAGCATCACCTTTTGGATACCTTTTTTCAATTTTTCCACGCCTGCTTTGCAATTGCCATAATTGGTACTGCCTCTGGTAGAAAGAGTGCATTAACTGCGTGTATAATAAACTGCATTTTAACCAAGTACCTCCACCTGAAAGCCGTCTCTTGAAAAGATTTTCTTTACAGTTCTCCTGCAGCTCTGAATCCTCAAGTGTAACGTGAATGAAAATGGTGATGGGAGGCTGGGTTTCATTCAGCCTCATTATAGCAGATACAGCAGGGCCTTTGTCAAACAGTGCAAAGTTTCTCTTGATGGATGTTTTTCTCCCAGCAGAGATTTGATTCTGACACAAATGTTGCAATTAAAGATTAAAGCCCACTTTGTGACATTTCCTTGTACAGCACATAAAAGACTGACGCTCTTATAGGACAGCTTTATAAAGCATATAGCAGGCTTTGGAAGCACTATGAATGACTAGAATTACTGTTATATCCTTTCAGTGGGCCGCTGTCAGAAATGAAGCCATTTGCCGCTATAGCGCCGGTTTACTTCCTACAGTATTTCTCTTTTAGAGTGGGAGGAATTTTACAGCCTCACTACCTTATGGATGTCTTTTTTTTCCACAACAAGAAAAGTTATGGCATGCGCACATACCTAGACATAAAGCAAATGTAAAAAAGATTCCAATCTGCATTACAATTAGAGATGGGCAACACCAGCTATCTGAATTCCATATGGAAATGATACTTATTGATGTAGGTTTATTGATACTGATATCAGCGCAGATCAGATATTGTTAAACCAATACTATAATGATGCTGATACCGATTCCAAAGTCATACTTGATAATAATTCCCAGAACCGGCCCAAGCTTTAAGGCGGCCCTAAGCAAAATTTGATTTTGGGGCCTTCTATATCTGCCAATAGTATTGATTGTTGATCATTCACACACCTTCAGAAATCTCTTTGATTAACAATCCATGGCATGCAAGCATACCTTTATCTTGGCGTTTTTTCTCTTCTTCCTCTTTCTTTTCTCTGCTCCTTAAGGATATGTCCTTTTTTGCGACATTGTTTTGCCCCACAGCTACCTGCACTTTGGATGCTCAGTGCACATCGCACAGCAGAAGGCACATAACGGTAGTGAAAGCTTTGACATATCGGCAGTAAGAATCATAGGCCTACACCAGCAGCAGCACAACAATGTTTTTACTTCATTTTATTTTTACAATGCTATAGCATCTGCCCTGCTCACAGCTCAACTGAAGTGAGAAACGAACGAATCCTCTGAGGAAGTGATTCGGTTCAGTACGTTCACTTAAAAGATTCGGTTCTTTTGAACGAATCGTTCGCGAACGTTACAACACTAAAGCGCTGCCCCTCCATCCTGGACAAGAAGAATAGGGACTTCTATTGGATAATATAATTTTTGAAAATAAGTCAGATTAAAATTTGAATAAAACAAACATTGTTTTCAATATTGACAACAAGGTAAAACTAATAATTTGCAGTCTAAATGAAGAGTTTTCTACCTGTCTAAATGTAAAGATCGACACGTATTTCCGGTCCACGCCCTCCTTTGAGTGCTATTTTAAAATGTTGCGCATGCGCATTTCCTTCTCTCTACACGCGATTGGAGGGAGTTACAAACGTGATCGATCAGCTGTTTTGTGAGTTTACTAATGTTTTCAATAACAAGTATTGTAACCAGTTAAAAAAGAATGCAATGACTATCTTTGGCGAGAATTTTTAAGACACCCGATTACGCCGACGTTTTAGCATTTTAGCTGTGGAAAAATGCCGAAGTGAAAACTGATTTCTGAATCAATTTCTTAAAAGCCGAATCGGAGTAACAAGCTGCAGATACTAACGCGGACCGGATAACTGCATGGAGCCTGCAGGGAATAAGATCCACAGACACAGGACAGCTAAATCCAGCAACAGGTGAGGAGAGCCTGCCTTCACTTCTCTCTGTGGACTTAATGGACCCCCTGTGGACACATTTGATCCAGTACTGCTCTTGAGATCCAGGATTGAAACACGACATCGAATCTCTGGTACCAATGAAGAGAATGTAAGTCCACTAAAGTCAGGAGAAATGTGATGATTCAACTCTATAGTTGCTCTAAACTGTGATACACCTGCTGTTTGTCTGCGTGAGTGTGCAGAGAGCAGTGCTTTTTTATTGCTGGGTTTGCAGCATCAGTGTCAATATTGGTGAACAGAGTGTGGTACATAAGAAGTGGTGACTGCTGAAGGAAAAGTAAAGTAGGGGAGAGTGGGGTAAGTTGAGCCACCTCCTGTTGCTTGGAAATGGTAAAAGAAATTGATCATGTGACCAAATATTTAGGAGATGGGCATCAATTCAAGTTAGAAGCTCATGGGTGAGAGGGTTAGACATTTATTTACAAAATAAACCATTTTTTTCACTCTTGAAAGTGAATTTAGTCTGTTGTAAGTTTTATTAGAATTGTGTTCAGACCAAAAAAGATCATTTTAAATTTAACATTAAATTAACATGGCTTATACAGTGGCCTTTTTGTGTTTTCTCTAAGTTTAGAGGTATAACACAAGGAGAGAGTTCAAATGTTCTCGTCTATTTAAGTATAGAGACTGTAGTCTGCTGTGTAAAAAGTAACACCCATGCTGCAGTTGCACCTGGCTCTATAAGAGGATGAAAGATGGAGTTGGTTGGATTAATGTTGCGATCAAAACATACCTTTGATCAGTCGAGGAGACCTAACCTCTCTGCATCCTGTGCAGAGAGTTTTCCTTATAATGAGGAGCTGTATGAGGATTGAGGAGTGGGATTATGGTTGCACTTTTGACTTTACAGCAGTTTCTTTTATTTATTTTTTTTACTTCATCCAAAACGCTGCTTGATTAAAACATTATGCTTTGAAGTTTAAATAACACAGCAAGGTGTCATAAACAGAAGCTTATAAAACCTAATGTTGAAAGCCTCTAAATCCTTCTTTGTGCTTGATACTGGTAGGGTGCAAAAAAAGCAAATAAGTCATACTAATACAAAAGTTTGCAAAAGCCAGATAAAAGAGAACTGCAAAGAAAGATTAGTGGTGAAGTCTTTGCATGGGGTGATTTGTGCCTTAAAGGTAAAGTCTACTATCTCCCCATAAGTAAAACTATCAGTTATACGCAGATAAACAAATCTGTTATATACTGTTGCTCAGAGAAAAACAAACAGTGTGCCTCTCTCTTTGTTGCGACAAACACACTGTATGTCTACATACTCACTTTGCTTCTGGCACTGCTCCACTGCTGTTCTGTTGTTTTGAAAGAGGAGTGTATCCTTCCTATTGTATTTGGTATGATAAATCCTCTCTGGAGTCTGAGCTGTGGTGTTTATGGATATGTAGTTGGTTTTTGTTTCTTGCAAAATGATCTCCTCTCTAGGCATTGGCGAGTGACGGGCACGCTGCCTTGAGTCGACAACATGGTCACAACCTCAGACACACATCACGGCACTTTTCGCAGTAAATGGAGGAAAGATTCAGCCCTGAGACTCTTTGTATTAGAAAGCATTTTAAAGGTCCACAAGAAAGTGTTGAATCCCCTCTGGGCAGTCGGTGCAAATATGAAAGGAAGTCAGTCATACTTAGATTTTTTTTTATCATTAAAGACAAGCAATGAGGATTTACTAGGAGATGTAATCCCACTTAACAAGCACAGCTATTATCATTAATCTGTTGTCCAATACATACAGCATAAGCAGGATGCTGCTGTTCAGCTACATATAAAAAATGGTCCTTATTAACAACAACCATGGCTCATCCTATCAACTGCTTTTGGTAGTTTGTCGAAACAGTTCCCTCACTTTTAAGAAACTGCGTATATATCAGTGGTTTCACTTTTAACCTGACTGGCATTCAAAATGTCCTTGCGAGGGCTTTAACAGCGATACCTTCACCTGTGGCTCTGTATCTAAAATGCCTGGAAAGGAGGTATTTATTAAGAGTTTATCTCCATGCCACGTTTAGTGTTTCCAAAAGTACAGACCTCATGAATAATTGGTGGCTGAATCATTTTAAAGCAAACAGCAGTAGATGGTGGGCGTCCACTCTGCTCATTAGCAGGACTGACAGTCGGAAGAGATGACCCTTGACTGCTTTCCTTTAAAAAAAAGTAGCGCCAGACAGAAAAAAAGCTTGAGGTCCTCATTACCGACTGCGTTGTTTTTGAAAGCATCTTCTTTTTTTTTTCTCTCTATCTGGTTGTTTTTCGCAGCCAAGAGTTATTTTTTTTTACTGTTGGTGTAAAAAGGGGCAAAGCAGAAAAGAACAAAGACTGAGCAGAGTCTGATCTGAAGGCAAACGGGTCTCAAGATGAGTTGTTGGAGATATGATCAAGCAGGAGATACTCGACGTAGACGTGTGTGTTGTTTTTCGATCGAGGGAGAGGGATAAAGGGAGCAAGAGAGCAGATTAGGAAAGAGAAAAGAGGATGAAAGGCTATTGTTTAAAGAGACGGAGAGGACAGGGAAAAAGAGAAATATGAGGAAATGAAGTTTGTCAGATGTGTTACCACTTTTTATGCCTCTTTTCTTTTCTTCCAGCAGATTGACCTGTTGCTATGGGAACAACAGAGACCATATGTGGAAGAAAAAATAAATTTCACCCTGTGATTAGTCGTGAAAGCTAAAGGCCCAGCCAGCTCTTTTATGGGCTTTCCAGACAAGCTCTTATGATGTAAAAATTAGATTTGAAGCCTAATTTGAGTCCAGCATCACACCCGATCTTCATTTTTCTCTTTAAATCTGAGTGAGTGTCTGCACCTCTTTACACATGCAGACTGTGCTCACAGTTTTCTGCTGCCTTTTTACATGGAGAGTAAAACCACCAAACAAGCAGACGGCTGGTTGTTCATTTAACTTGCTGTGCAGTCAAATATTGTTTGGGCAGACGACATCTTACATTTTGTCTACAAGGAGAATACACAACACCTAAAATAATGTTTTCAGTATTTTCATGTGGCAGGATCATGCTTCATGAGAAAAATATGTTTTGGATTTTATATTGTAACTCTGTATTTCTTAAATCAGCAGCTTCTACATGGTCAAATTAAAGCCCCTCTGAATTACACATCACCTCATTCAGACTCAGTCCAAAACTGAACTGTTTTTAGTTTTACTTCATAGCCATTAACAGCCGAGTTTATATATGTGGTGGTAGGACTCTTGTAAGTGAGGTAGCCTTCGTTTACATGAATCACATGCAGGCAGTAGGCAAAGATCGTAAGTCAGGTTACAGTAGGGCTGGGCGATAAATAAAAAATTTACGGATACCGAAATTTAGGTCAATAACTGATGTCATTTTACTCATGTTAATATTAGGGCCCGACCGATATGGAGTTTTTGTGCCCTATGCCGATAATGATCATTAATCGGAAATCTGATTTCTGATTAATTGGCCGATTTGTAAAAATTTTTTATTAAGTTATAAAAATTTATATATATATATATCTATATATCTACCGTCTATTAAAACTGTAGATATACTCTAGGCTACTGCTCTTCATGCCCCCCCCCCGGTCGCTGTGCCATCTATAAGATAAGTTGGGGAGCGAGTTTTGGCCGATCAGTCTCAAACGGACTAATGGGCTCGCCGATAAATCTGTCAGGCCCTAGTTAATATATTCGGTGTCAAAAAAAATAGATAAATAAAAGTTCGTTTTGGATGTGTGTCGGTAGGCTATGGTCTCATGTCCCTTTTAAGACGCTGTCCTATGTCAGAGACGTGACAGAGACGTCCACCCCATCCAGTCCGTAACAAAGAGGGAAAGACAGGTGAGGAGATGGAGGACAGTTCAAAAGTTGTTGCGGCTGGTGCAACAGCTGAGTTAGATAAAGTTAATGTGGGAGGGTGTGAGCAGCTTGTGGAGTAGTTAATGTCCATTTATCGTTATCGAGGTGAACTGCTCAATATATCGTGATATTAATTTGAGGCCATATCACCCAGCCCTAGGTTACAGGTACTGAGTAAAGATAAACATTAGAGTTTAGTTTGGCTGACTTGACCAAAAGTGAAAGTTGAGATTTTCCCTTGAATTACTCCCTTCATTAAAAGTTTTCTGCAACTGCCACAATTACTCACTTTTTGCTATTAACTAATATAAGCAAACTCTTTCTCTAAACCACAGATGTAATATTGTTACAGCTACAGAAATCTAACTAGACTGTTAATAATTGATTATTTTGCCTCATTATGAGTTTGCCAAATGTAATTATCTTGATAAAGTTGAGTACTGGACAGCAAACAAAAACGACCCAAAGTTGACTGAAATGATTTTATAACTTGAACTCTGTGAGAAGTAAAAAAAAAAAAAAACAACAACTTGACTTTTTTGAGGCTAAAGTTGAATTCCCTTGCTCAGTGAATGTCAAAAGCAATCGATGAGGTGATAACAGCTCAAGTCTCCAGATGTCAGGGTCGTTTATTGGTTTGGGATTTTAAGCAGAATCTTCTTGGTCATGAGCTTCAGCCGGAGTCTGAAGTAGAGTCCACCTGCTCGGCCTTCGCTACACTTGCCCTGTTTGATCTCGCAGAGCTCTCGGTCTGAGTTTCACGGTTCGATAACGCTCGAAACTCACCCGGGACCTGTTGCTATGTCTTCATACTTATCAGCAGTCCTGGTCCAGCTGTGGGAGTCCGGACTGTGGAGCCCGCTCTGACCTTTCTGAAGCAGAGTGTTACTGAGGCAGGCTGGGTTGCATGCAGCACGGAGAGGTCTCAGAGGGGAAAACAGTAACTTAGCATGGAACAGTGTGTGCCCACATCAGCATGCTGAATGTGTAAAGAATGAATGTACCCACAACAAGTCCTCTGTGACTCTCTTACTGCTTCCCTCCTTATTTTTGTGCAACCTGACCCAAATCCTTATCCTCTCTGAGTCTGTTTAGCACACAAAAAAAGCCGTCTCTCTCTCGCTAACAATGTTTCATATGGAAATGAACATAATAAAGTCCTCTGTGTACAAAGTCAGTGGGAGGGAGTGGGTTGTTGAGAGCAGAAGGAAGACCTCTTTATAATAGTGAGATGCTGGTGACACAGCAGAAATGCTGCACTTACTCCCAGTATTCAATTTGATAATTGCTTTGACTGCAAATATAACATTATCAGTATGCTACACAACACCTAATTATTGTCCATTTCTTCTTGTTATTGTAAACATTTACAAGAGGGGGCATTACAGTGAGGGTATTGGGTCAGAAATATATATTATAAAGTCAAATAAGCGGGTTAGGACCAAGAACGTCTTGTTGGTGTCGTTATAAAGTATAGAGTAGTTGTATTTGGATTTGAAAATGTCATATACATTAGAGCATGTCTGATTGAAGAGGTACTCTGATATATTCCACCTTATTAAAGAGACATACTGTAATTTCAGCTACAATTCACTGCAGACGCTTCATGATTATGTCTGACTACTGAGGTTTGACAGGCTTCATGATAAGGCCTAATGTGTGTTTTAGTAACTTGTCTCTGAGTCATCTTATTATGCATATATCTATATATTTATTTAAATATATAACTGTGCTTTGACAGTGCTCGTAGTATGCTAAAATGCTGAGCCATCAGAAGCTAATGGTGTGTGTCGGATGTAAGAGACAACATGATGGAGGAAATGCACACACTAGGCGAAGTGAAACAGTGGATTCAGTGATGAGAGTTTTAAATCTGCTTCAACAATCACTTGATGAACCCTTTTCATTTGTTCATCATTTGTTTATCTTAAGGAATATATCTGTACATATTTCAGACATTCATTAAAGCCACTATAAGGAGATTTGTGACATTTACGACTCAGACAGTCATTTTTGACACCTGACACCAGTGCAAGGGGGTACGTGTCAGTTGAGAAGTGCTTAATGCTGCATTCCAGTTGTATTCCGAAGTCGGAATTTCTGAGCTCAGAGTTTGAAATTCATCTGGAACGCCCCCTTTAAGTCGGATTTTGTACTCGGAAAGTTGGACGATCCTCACCAACCCCGACTTGACGACAACGTCATAATCCAAGATGGCAGCGCAGTGCATCAACAATAAAGAGAAACAGCAAAACATCTCGTAATGTATTATTTATTAGCACTTCTGTTTTGTATTTGTGAAATTGAATAAGTGTTTTATGTTGTACTGCCCAACTTCTAACTGTGAACAATGATGCTATGGTGTTTGTAGGAATAAAATACTGTGTTATGTGTTGTTTACAACTATTATAGCTAACAACAACTGACAACGGCCAACGACAGCTGACAATTGTAAATAACAGCTAACTGTAGGCGTCCATCTTGGTTTTCCGACTTGTGAACTGAAATGCCGTCAACTCGGGTGTAGCGTCATTCCCAGCCCCAACTTTGACTTCTGAGGTAACTGGAACGCAGCATAAGTTCTCGACTTAATGTCTGAGTTCTTGTAGATCTCACTGTACTTTTATTTAAAAAAACAAAAATATTTAACTTCAAGTAGATTTTTTTCTCAACATGTTTACTTTGTTTTCTTATTTTGGATTTTTAGTCACTCTTACTCTTAGAGTATTTTTCCATCAATTTTATCTTTTTGACCTTAAAACTTACAGAACCCCGACTCAGCACACCGGAATACATTGATTTTATGTGTAGAGGCTGATGTTTGAGTCTCTCACAGCAAACCCACAGCACCAATAATTGCCCTGCGCTGTGCTGTAAAGTTCTCCTCAGGGACAAAATAAAAATGCTTAAAGCTGATGAACGCATCAGAGCCAAATAACAGCACAGCTCTTCCCATGTTGAGTCTAGTGCGGCGCAGATTAAGACGGAGGATGTCCGTGTTCCCTGAGCACGGTGTGCTTGGACACCTGTGTACCATTTCCATATAGATTGCCTGTCCATCATTTCCATTTTGATGTTGAGGGAGAAGCAGGACTGATAGAACAGACTGGGGAAGACGCCAGGGGAGACGATGTCTGCATGTAACAGAGACAGAGAGAGAGAGGGAGAAAAGAGGGTGAGCGCGTATATTCTGTAATAGCTATATCTGATATCCCTGTAGGAAAGCCACAGTTGCATATTTCATGCTATGTGTCAGATTTTCTACCTTGGCCCTCAGTGGTAAAGAAAAAAAATCGAATGTGTTCGTGTGCACAAATCCCAGAGCAGGAAAAAAACCCTCGAAGGACAAGTGCAGGGGCTGCTCAGGTGTCACTGAGGTCAGGAGTTTCACATCTGTTGATGCTAACCTTCAATTGAAGATTCAGCTGAAGTTTTTTATTTTATTTTATTCTTTTTCTGTCCACCATTGAGATTATAGAAATTTAAAAGAACTCTTAACTTTTGATCGAAACAGCCGACACCCATCGATGATTAATGTAGAGACTATGTTGATGTGTTGGATGGTGAGTCGATGTTCAATTGTGGTGATATCTACCTGTGAATTGTTGAAGATCTTATTTTTTTTTCTCATGTTAATTAATACGTCTGCGCTGCATGTTGTTGTGCAGACATTTTTAGAATGCAGCACAGCTCGGTGTGGCGAAGGTTGAGCATGTTGGTTCACGTGTGTCATTCATGAGAGGGCACCTTGTCCCTTGAACCAAGAGTCTCATTAAGAATCCTGCACTGACCCTCCATCACCCCAATTATGGCATACATTAATCCCACCAGGCTTCCTGATGAAAATCAAACCCTTATGCACACCTACATACATACATACACACAAACACACACATGCACACAGCCTCACTAGAGCTTCCCTGCATTGACGTCCCTCTGATTGTTTTGTTTGTGTGGAAAACCAATCAGGGCAGAGTTTCTTTGCCGCTTCTGTCTTGTACTCTCACTTAGAGTAAATGGACATTGTTAATGAAGAGGACTGTGACTGTCACGTGTTCCCATGTGAAATAAAGTACAAACACTGATTTGCACAATGAACCTTTAGTGGGTGTCACTTGTGTAAAGTTTCTTATATTTCTGACAGCATTAATGAGTTCACGCTTGTAAACAGGAGTTGGGGGGATGGAGTCTGTTGAGCTGAATATACTTATAATGAACTCTGGATATACAGGCAGAGTGCTGGAGATGATCATAGCTGATATTCAGTACAACAACCCGCCCTGAAGTACGATTGTACTGTCATGAGGACAATACAGCAATCAAGAGCAACACAACCAAGCAACATAAGGGTGTCTCGATACAACTCTTTTTACTTCCTATACAATACCGATATTGTAGCCTTCAATATCAGCTGATACCGATATTGATCTGATATTGGCACAAACTTGTGCATGACAAGTTGACAAACATCTTTTTTGGACTTAAGTGAAAAATACTGCCACAGGGCTGACATCACTCCTACTCCTTTCTACTTTGTTAGTACTTTGATACACACTGTTGTTGTGATCATGAGGGCTCTACATGCTGGATCTGGGCGCTGCTAGCTAGCTAGAGGTGCCGGAGTGGAGTCTGAAATGGACTGCTTGTATCAGAGTGCATATATAGGAGATTTTAGATGCAGGCCGATATAATCTGCTGTCTGTTTTTTGGCTGATATTGGATCGATATCTGTTATCAGTATGATATCGGGACAGCCCTAACATGGTACAGTGCTTTTGTTGGTTTTGTGCAGAGTTGTATGTCAAAGATGAACAAGTCTTTGAGTCAGCGTGTTTACATGCTCAGCTTATCCGGACTAAGCTCATAATTTGGTTGAACTTCTCTCCTTGTCCGCGTATACTTGCTGAGAAAATCGAATTTTTGACGTGAACATGTCCTCCTTCCCAAAACAAGGGGGCGATATACAACTGTCAACAACAACAGCAGGTTCGTGCCATACGTCAGAAGTGGCTACGACTGCTGCTGGGCATTTTCGAGCAAAAAGATGGAGCATCGTACAGAGTTTTTTTTTTTGTTGTACATGATATATGCGCTACTTTTTCTGCAGATGAGATGCACACTACTCCTCTTCTCTGGTGTTTTTGTTCCGGAGTTACAGGGGCGTGGCGCACGTGCACATGCTTTGTCCAATCATACTCCGACTACGCCGGTTACATGGTAGAGAAAATTCCAATCGCATTATCTGGGTGTCTTAATTAGAGTTCTTCGACTCCAATTGTAGTCGGACTAAGGTGTTTACATGCACTTCAGTTGTCCAGTCTTAATCGGAATAAGGCAATAATTCAATTTTCTCAAGTGTCATGTAAACATACTGAGTGTCTGTGTATTCTACCATGTTTGGGTCCCTTGTTACCGTAAAGGTCCATCTATAAGCTGAAAGTAGTTTTTCAGTACATTACAGTCGTTCATACTAGACCTTCACAGTAAAACAACCTTAAACACAAAGATGCTCCGTCCTTGCCTCCGTTTAGTTTTGATCTCTTTCTGCAAACTCGTCCTGCTTTTAATCTTTCTTTCCTGCCACTCAAAGTCTGACTGATAGTATAGTAGTGTGCAGTGACAAGCCAGAGTGAACATGATGTGCCCAAGGTTAAAAAAGTCATCTGGGCGTCTTCTTCCCCTGCACTTTTAGCCCATAAAAGCCCATCTGTCTCCTCCTCTCTGATTCACATCTCCCTCTCTGCAGCCAACAGGAAGACAGATATTCGGTCCAAAAAATGAGGAGTGAGAGACTTTCACTTTGGAGGGTTTCATCAGAGTGCACACCGTGGATGTGCCAGCTGCCAAATACTCCAGCGTAAATGGATAAAATTCTTATCTTGGAGGATGGATAATTGTTAACACTCCCCCTTCTCTCTCCCTTTTTCTCTCTCTCTCTCTTGCTTTCTCTCTCTAGGGGTCAGTCCTGAGCTTTTCTGTTGGAGATAATTGGCCTTTCTCTGTCAGATGCATAAGCATGCACAGAGGAGAATCAGGACTTGTTGGTGCAAACACAAATATGCACTGATTATTCGTTTAATAACAGATACTTCTTCAGGAAACATAGGTCTTTATTGGTAAAAACAGTGTTTGGATTTATAAAGTCATAAGTTGCGGAATAAAGATTTGATATTTGGAGTTTTCCCAGTCTCTCCTTCATTCAAAGAAAATAAACTTCACTGATATACTAACCATTTGAATGTCCTTACAATAGTCGTCCTCACACACTGTGGTGTTATTCTACTGTATTTACTCAGGAGCACACATTGTACATATCACAGGTGACAGAAATGTCCTCTTTATGCTGCGATACACAACTTGCGACTGAGTCTCCTGGGACTTACGACTGAGCCGGATCATAAATTGAAAAAGTCATGTAAAGGTCAGGTCTTGCATGCTGCAGAGAACACAGCGAAGAAACATCGACCAAGAGCCTCGTAAAAGTATCTGAAAATGTAAGAATGATCTGCAGAGCCATCGTGAGTGAATGTAAAGCGCTGATGTTTGGCAGGTTTTTGCTCGCGCAGTCCTGCTTTACTTGCGTTTCAACTCTCTGACTGTTAAACGAGTCCCTTAATTTGTCTTCTTTCTTGTTGGAGAATAAGTGGCTGAAAAGGTCACCTGTCAGAGCGCGAACAAATGACTCAATTTATAGAAAAATCCTGCACTGTGAAAAGAGGAATTCACTCTATCTTGGACTTTTTTTTCTTACTGTACCACTTTAATCCTTTAACAGGTAAATGAAAGACTTAAATGCTGGAAAAAAATCATATTATTAGTCTTTATTCATCAGTTAATAAGAGTTTTTGGATTGCTAAGCTGAACATGCACTTAAAGGCTCCTGTGAGGAGTTTTTCGATGTTTTCAAAATAGACAGAAATTCATATCATCACAGGGGACAGTGCTCTCCCCCTTCCTCTTCACCCTGTACACCTCAGACTTCAGCTACAACTCTGGGAGCTGTCACCTCCAGAAGTTCTCTGATGACACAGCCATCGTCGGATGTGTATCGTCAGGGGACGAGCGGGAATACAGGACTGTCATCACTGACTTTGTCAACTGGTGTGGCACAAACCACCTCCAGCTCAACGCCAGTAAGACAAAGGAGATGGTTGTGGATTTCCGCAGGAGGGGGACACCTCAAACAGTTCCAGTGAACATACAGGGTCTGGACATCGAGATGGTGGAGTCCTACAGATTCCTGGGTGTCCACCTCAACAACAAACTGGACTGGTCAACAAACACAGACGTTCTGTACAAGAAGGGCCAAAGTCGTCTCCACCTGCTGAGGAGACTGAGGTCCTTTGGAGTGTGCAGGACTCTGCTCAGGACTTTCTATGACTCTGTGGTAGCATCTGCACTTTTCTATGCAGTGGTCTGCTGGGGGGCAGGGAGCACCGAGAGGGACAGGAAGAGACTGAATAGACTGGTCAGGAGGGCCGGTTCTGTCCTGGACTGCTCTTTGAACTCCCTGGAGGAGGTGGGTGAGAGGAGGATGTTAACAAAGCTTATATCCATCATGGACAATCCCGCTCACCCACTGCACCAGACTGTGGGGGCTTTAGGCAGCTCCTTCAGCAGCAGACTGAGACTCCCACCCTGCAGGACGGAGCGCTACCGCAGATCATTCCTCCCCTCTGCAATAAGACTTTACAATGAACAGTAACAAAACTGGATTTACACCACCACTTTTTTTATGGCATTTAAATTGTGTATATTGCAGAAAGCTTTAGTTTTTCTTCTCCCTTTTCTCTTTTCAATTTTTTTTTTTTTCTTAATTATTACATTTATTAAGTTCTTAATATTAGGACCCTTATTGTTATAACTGCATTTTGCACTTTCTGTCTTGTCTGTGATGCTGCTGTGACAAAAAATTTTCCCCCATGGGGGATCAATAAAGGAATATTCTATTCTATTCTATTCTATTCTATATTGATGGCATTTTATTATATTAAAGAAAATAAGACCATCAGAAACAAGATTGATGATTTGTCTAAATCACTTTCTTTCTCTCTTCACCCTCCGCTCAACTTCCTTTGAGTTTTGCCTTGTACACTGGGATCATGTTGTGATCAGAATTTAGATGCTCTGGCCTTCTGAACCTCCGTTGCGCGGTCTCTAGGTGGCGCTGATTCTGCATTTCTTTCTCCTTCAAGTTCTGAGAAGCTCCTGAGGGATGTTATCCATCATCTAATGGTAATCACGGCTTGATATCATCTTTTGAGTTGGTGCCGGCGTGACCCCCCACCACAGCTGTTGGTGTTTCCCACAGAGGAGAATTGTTCAAGAAAACCAACATCCATAGAATCAAAATTGTCAGGGTAGTCATTCTCCTAAATACACTAAACATTAAGACAGGGCGGGTGAGTCGACTTTAGAAATTACCCAAGGTTTAACAAAGATCGGCCCAAACATAAATGTTAACGTGAGCGTAAACTCTATTGTACACATTCGCAGTCCTTAGCCTTTATTGTTAGAAAGCCTCTTCCTACATATATGTATTTCTGCTCACAGAATTGTATAAATGTACAGCAATCCCCCTTCGTTACAGCCTATTGTGCGACAGGAAGCCAGAGGACCGCCTCCGCAGGCACTGACATATTGAGCCGGCGCAGCCAACGCTGATTGCATTGACTGGTGTCACACCTACGACACTGACAAAAACACCATGAAAGCCTTTATTAAAACATCAGAAATCCTCCAGGTAGGTCCAGTCAACAGTTGGCTTGATTGATGCTTGTGTTTTGATGCAGACAATTATGGCTTCGAAAAGTTCCAGGACAGTCGTGTTACTGTTTGTTTTTCTCCTGCCATTTCTCCTCTACTAAAGATTGCTGTAGGTGCTGCATTTGTCAGTAGAGCTGTCATCATTATGGTGACCATATGTCCTCTTTTACCTGGACATGTCCTCTTATTTTGGGTGCTGTCCAGCCTTGTCCAGCTTCGTCTGGGGAAGTTTATAACACCCTTCATATGTCCGCGGTTTTGTATGGAAGTTTTGAGTTTGGCCACATGGACTTACTGAGTTAGGAGCGCGTAAAAGACACTTGATCCGACCCAGATTCAGAATATGGTCACCCTAGTCATCATGATGTCACATCCCCTTATTTGGAAATTGAACAGCTTAATAAATCTAAACTTCTTATAACAAAATAAGAATGTGGACATAAATCTGCATATTCAAAACGACCTGTAATGACTGAAAGCATGTTAGGGAATATGTTGTTATTATGTATGCAGTTGAGTTTATGACCTATACCACAGCCAGCCAGTAGGGGGGGGCCGACACCATCTGGTTATTGACAGCCTGCACCTACAAATAGAAATGGTCAATTATTAATACATCAGACAACATGAGAGCATCGAAATTAAAGACAAAAGTTACAATTATTCAGTTTGTACGCCTCTATGAAAAGTTCATATGCTAAACAGATGGATCTGTTCAATGGGGATTTTGACCATCTAACAAAACAAACACTCTGTCACTGGATTTACCCATTTTGCCAATTTTAGTATTTATTCAGGGCTCGAACGAGAAAACACAAACAGATTTTCACAAACCGGGGTATTAGAAACCATTCCCCTCTGTCATTCCCACTCTCACTAATGACAAACACAAGTACAAGGTAACAAAGCTTGCATAATTTCAGAGTTTTTGCACACAAACCCATTGTCTCACCTGTTGTTGTCTTGGCACATCACACAGCCCCTCATGTATGTCGTGAAATTTTCCCTCCACTGAAGCGATGAAAGGGGACCTACTTTTGGCGAAGTCAGAGAAAAACAAAAACATTTAGCATTCATTCTCTGATCCCAATTTGTCATGTTAAAAGGGATTGGAGGAAGAGAAAAAAAAGGGAGCGCCGGCAGCAGACTGTAAAATGAATGGGTGAAAGGAAGTGTGAGGAATCTGCTCGACTGTGACATGCTGACTAGTTGTGTCAGCAATCGCAGCTGTTGGTCCTAATTACCAAACTGTTATGGTAGAGCAAGTGAAGAACTTTAGGGAGCTGGAAAAAGGGTGTGTGTGTGTGTGTGTGTGGAAGAAGTGTCTGGAGAATAGATGGAGCGAAGAAATCCATTATTCACTTTAAACTCCATATATGAAAACAAAACTGATTCTGTTTAAGGAAAAACGCAATTATTCATCGTTGTTAAATCATCCACAATTTGTAGCTCAGTGGGCCCACTTTTACGAAGGGGAACAGACAGAAAATGAGAAGATAAATTAACAACAGATAAAAGTTTTAAAGACATAACTAAACACTACAGTCAAGGGTGATCCTACGTCCTCTTTTACCCGGACATGTCCTGTTTTTTGGGGGGCTGTCCGGGTTTGTCTGAGGAAGTCTATAAAATTCTTCAAATGTTCACGGTTTTAAATGTGTGTCATGTGGACTTACTGAGTTAGAAGCATGAAAAAGACACTCGATCTGACCCGAAAAACTCAAAATTATCTTTGTGTGACTCTGTGACTCCACCTTTGCGTAGTCGTGTCCTCTTTTTGAAAGTCAGAATATGGTCACCCTACTACAGTGGCAATTAAGTATCAGAAATCAGTGAAAAAAGTGAAACCTCAGTAGGGATGTCCTGATACTATATTGATGTCAGATGTTCGTCTGGATCGCCTGGATCTAGCATGAAGAGCCCACGTAATCACAACAACAGTGTGTACTAAGGTACTAACAAAGCAGCAAGAAGTAGGAGTGATGTCGGCCACATGGCGGTATTTTTCGTTAAAGTCCGAAAAAGACTTTGCAGCTGAGTGCAAAACTTGTCACGCACAAGTTTGTGCCAATATCAGATCAATATCGGTATCATCCAATACAGAAGGCTACAATATCAGTATCGTATGGAAAATTAAGAAGTTGTATCGGGACACCCCTAAAGTTAAGTATCCATAGAAACTAAGAGACAGATTTGACAACACTCTTAGTCTCAACACAGATCTGATCTGGTTATGCATCCATTTGCTGTTTGCCAACCACCAATAAAACTTTAAGAAGACTGATTTCATGTTCCCGCTACTTCCTGTCAGATTTCTCTGGTTGTCCTTGAGCAGTCAACTAAAGAGCCGATTCTAAGCCGAGATTTCCACCATATCCGCAACGACTCCGATTTTTGCCGTACGTCAATTCCTACCGGATCTGTTTGTGAGACGAATTTTGTGGCGGATCAACAGTGGTTAGGCCTGTCACGATAACAAATTTTGCTGGACGATAATTGGGCTACAAATTATTGCCAATAAACGATATTATTGACACCGTTTTTTAAATTATAGATAATGATATTATATGACAGCTAAACATGAGTAGGAGATGACTAAAATGTGACGAGACGAAAGTGCGTTTACGTTGATGGGACGAGACGAAAATGACGAACAGAGTTGCAAAACTCAGTCAGTTAAACGCTAAACATATAGGAGCAGCTTCAGTCCGCTCTGACAGCTCTCATCAGCCTGCTGTGCTCCTCCAACACACAGACACACACGCGCGAGCGCGCGCACACGTGGAGTTTTGTGGTTGACGAAAACAAAACTGGTTTAAAGCCGAAATATTCCCACACTTTGGGCTGTTGCGTTCGGTTTAGACACTAAAGCTGCCGTGTTCATTCTGTTAGCTTGCTTTTCACTCACGACGCTCACTTGCAGCACTGTATCCAAAAGTCTGTGTCTGTGTGCATGTGCGCGCCAGCCCCCTCGTGACAAAGAGACTGAATGACTGACAGGAGGGTTCACTCACTGCGTTCATTCCGCTATAGAGCCAACGCCCCCAGGTGCCGAGAACAATGCGCAGAGTGAGACCTCTTCTCTCATCCAGCGTGTTTGGTAGCGAGAGAGGAGGAAAACAAACGCACGTAAATTATCGAGGCTGGCAAAATGACCGACCTCGTTTTTATTTACCGAGCGATAAGGCGATTTATTGATTATCGCGACAGGCCTAACAGTGGTTATTGCAAGAACTTACAAAAACCTGTGAATTCACGTGCAACCGCGCGATAACGAGTTGTTTCTTAGCCACAGAGGCTAACCATGAAAGCAGTAGATTTTGTTCTTCAATAGGAGGAAATCCACTTCTGGACTTCTAAAATTTGCATCCCCTCACCCATGGTATCATTGGGGTGAAATGCTGTCTGAAAACCTTTCACTTAGTTGTCCCCGCCCGTTTGCATTGTGTGAAATACGATCCGCTTGAAACATGCAGTGTTTTATTTTGAAAAGAAGCCGGATGTTTTATTTTGGGTCTGTGCCGGACTTCCTTTCCAGCACAGACTAATCTGTGCTGAATTAATCCGGCATGCTCCGGCATCCAGAAAAAATAGAACACTTGCGATCAGCATGCGGAGTCCGGCGATTGGCAGCTGAACGGAAAGAAGCCGGTGGAAATTGACACATTTACTTTAATGGTTACGATCAGCTGCGACCGGCGGTTATGGCCTTCATAGCCGTTCCGGATGCAGTGGAAATTTGGGGTTACACTGTCATCTATTGTCATGCTGTTTCCTGTGTCCCGCCCTCTCTTTCTCACTGGTTGTTGGCATCACGTGTTTAAAGTAACCAGTTAACACCACACAATAGCATCCAAATTCAGCAAAAAAATTCAAACATGTTTGACTGCGGCTGAGGTTGGGTCAGGTCTGTCCCCGTCTCACACGTCTTGCAGATTCGTGTCTTCACCCCTCACGCATTAACAGATTTTCGTGCGGAGTTGCCAAGCCGACTGCCCCCAGCTTGTGCAAACTGACTTACTTTCTCCTGAGTTTGTCAAGATCCTTGATACCTCATAACCCACACAGACTAATATTCCCGGCTCTGCACATCTGCTAGTTTACAACCAAGCTGAGTTGCCTCTGTGGATCAGTCTTTGAATGTCAATGACCTTGATACCTGAGAACCTAAAGGCCTAAAACACTCATAACAACCCATGTCTGGAGGTAGCTAAATATAACCTGCATCCCCAAAAGATTTCCACAGCGAATCGTCATTGTTGTTTTCCCAGAAGCAATAGATTGGTGGCAATTTGTCACACGCCCTAATATTTGAAACACATACCCTGAGAATGACCCCAGAGAAAAATGGCCTCCATGCACCTCAAAACAGCTCTGTGCTCGTCTTCTTCTTGTAGCTTCATCCTTATGCCTGGATATATTCCCCCCCAATGTGTGTCAATTTCATATCAGAGTCCGCATGTTGATGGCGATATGATCAAACACATGATTACCTTCGGCTGCATGAGGAAGGCCATTGGAGATCAGGATGATGCACCGAGGCAGGGGTCTTTATGGAGGCCTGAGTGTTGGTGGCTGATAAGGTGACACGTTGTGGTGCCTTCAGGGTCTTCCTCTTCTACTCCCTCTGTCGTTAACAAACACACACAGACACAGACACACACACACACGCCCACACACTCAATGCTGCTGCTTATCTTCCAGGAATGAGAGCCCTCCTCTTCAACTGCACAATTGCTCTGCCTTTCCCTCTGTCTTTATCTCCTCACAGTCATTTATTTTGGAGATGGAATCAGAGCAGCTCCCTCTGCTAACACACTGTAGCTCTGGAGATGTAGAAAAAGACGCACTGAGAGAAGAGCACAGAGGAGAACAGAGTGTTGCTGGTGAGGAAAAGAGGTCAAAGCGGCGAGTGAATAAGGTGAAAAAGAGGCAAAAAGTGGATGAGAAAGGGATATAGACGCTGCTCCTCTTTCAATTTTGACTGAGGAGACATCATGCAGGGTAAAAAGAGGCTTCTTAAGAGACAGGGTGAAAGAAGAAAGGCAGAGGAAAATTTCTGGGTAAGAGGATGTAGAGAGCTCTGGGATTTGACACAAGGAAAGGGAGATGACACAGTCAAACTGAGGAGAGAAAACGCAGTGTAATAATAGTCACACCAAGAGAACCAGGACAAGGAGGAGACACCACGCAGAATCTGTCTGTGGGTTCACAACGGGTTGAAGAGGGGGGGTACTGCTTCAGGGAAAAAAAAGAGTAATTGTGTAAAAGGCTGAATCTAAGAGTTTGGCTGCGTTTCAGAAATAAACTGTGACGAATTTTCGGATTGGCTGTCATTTTTCGCCATTTGACCGATTATTCTGGGCACCCTAACCTTCCCGAGACAGCTTAAGAGACAGGAGGAAATGTCACACTTCAACCCACGAATAACAGAAGGTTACTTCAGAATGAGACGCATCTGAGAAAAAATTGAAGAAGACAAAAGGTGTTTGGAATAATCCAGAGATCTATCAGCTAAAATCCAGGCTGTCTTTATTACATGTAACACCTTTTATTCCCCCTTCTTTTCTCTCGTGCTGATTTATATCTGGTTCTAAAAGAATAGTAAAAAATAAAGATATCATTCCAGGCACGACCAGCTTAACGGTGCTCCTGTTTTAATCTTTCAGTTATATTAAGTCTTAAAACAGGGGGAGTAGATCCTCTTGCTGCCTCAGAGGCTTTTCCTCGAATAGTTCCTCCATCTCTGGAGTGCCATAAGCATAACTATGACTAAATAACATGATGAGCTTTATGAAATTAGCGGATTTCTAATGCTCTCTGGAGGGTTCATTAGTCATAAAACGTGGGACCATATATCCCATCACAAATCTTTCTTTCTTTCCACTTAATTACAGGAGAGGAAACTATATTTATACAACAGTGTGGGTAAACCAGTGATACTTTTAGATACTGAGATTACTGACTTGCATCTATATTTATCTATATCTATATATTAAGACTGAGTGAATTTAGTAACCTTTCTCCGGCTCATTTAAGTAAACTTACTTTAAGGCAGTTGCTGTTGCTGTGGATGCTTGCTTTAAACCCACAGAAATTGGGTATTTATTTTCTGTGCTGGAATCCTAAACAGAGCGTTTAAGGATTTGTGTGTTACAAGTTTGTCAAGTAAGTTATTAAGATTCGATGAAAGGACCAGCATCGGTATTTGCATTTCTTCATGGAAATGCAATCAGACTGAGACGCTAAGGCAGAACTAGCGCTTCTGCAGTGCAACATGATTAATACTGTGATTATTACTTCAAGGAAATGATGAAGAAATGATCATAAATGTTCTTCCTTGAGCTGCGTCACCCCGCTGCAGACTCGTCCGAGCTCTCCCTACAAACAAGCGGCTGCTGGAAGAGAGTAGGTGAGTTGTGTTTCATCTCTTCGCTAAAGAAATCAGGCAAAGCTAAAAAGATGTTTGGTGGGTAGGACTATGGCTTGGACCCTATTTGTCCTGTTGATGAAGTTAGGTGCTGTTCTGAGCATTATTTGTGGCTATAAAGTGGCGTTTTGGTTGAGGTGTGCACGTGGATCCATATACCACTGTGTATTGCTATCGTGCGGTCGTTAACTCGTGTCTAACTCGGTGTGTTTGACCCTGACCTAATTGTATGCCAGAATATCCCTTTAAGGCTTTTACCAGCAGGAGACATCATCAGTTATGTTCCTCAGCATCATTTATCACAAGACACCCTCTGCTTAGGCAGGACCACCACAAGCCTGGATGTGTGTTTCCCGGTTAACTGTTCACCTTAGCAGCCCAGGTGGTGTCAGTCCTCTTGAGCAATAGCCAGAGACTGGTCCTTTAAGTGGTGTTGGCCAGTTCTTCGATGGCCTGTCCCCTGACTCCAACCTTCACCCCACCTCCACCAGGCACACCTTCTTTCCTGCTTCTGTCATCTGCCTCAGCTGCTAAGTTGAAGTACCACAGCTGGCGTCTTCCCATGGCACCGTCATCTCAATGATGTAAGCAAGTTGGCAGGAATTAGACCAGAGGACGCGGTGTGGTCGCAGGGTGGTTGTTGTGATCTCCAAAACGAGAAGAGGGAAAAATTAGCCTCTGATCCAAGTCGACTTGTAACTGCCAGTCCCATCTGGACGGATCAGGGATTGAGGGGCTAGTCCGTGGGCGTTGATGGATGCCCTCTTCTACTCAAGTTTCTTGGCTAGACATCTGGGGACCTGGTTGTGTCTGTACGCAGGGGGCACGACGGGTCCTTCCAGGGCCATAGCTGCAGTTTTGTGGGATGAGTATTTAGATTGTAGCCCTGAAATGCCAGACATGTTATTCCTAACCTGTGATCCAGCCCCCTGGCGGAGTTTGGGAGTGTTTTGATCTGAAAAATGGAGATAGATTTGTGTATTCGCTGTATCTGATTAAACTGGTATAGAACTACTCAACCACAGCAATGTTTATCAAGCACAGGCCTGCAGGGAGGACTGGAGGCTGCAGGTGTGAACTCTGCTAACTTCAGCCGCACTTGGCAAATTGAGCCATGTGACATACACTGTGCTCGCTTTAACCATTTGTAAAGCTGGTGTTTTGTTTTGTTTGATAATATCCAGATAAACAGCGATGCATGAAAAGTGCGTTGCATGACGAGCTCCTGCTATTTGAACAAAACAGCAGCCAGAAATGAATCCAGAGGTACCAATAAACTGATTTAGTATATAAAAGAAATAAACACTGATCAGCTTTTGACTTTTTAAATCAATTTAATTCTCATAACCAAGAATAATTCTACATTTTGAGAGTGGAAAGAGCAACACAATAGTCGTAAAAATGATGCAATAAACTACAAAAACCGAACAAAAACACGGAGGAAACAACAAGAATTGAATCCACAGCAAGTGGGGCAATATATTCATCAGCAGTTTGCTGCTGTCAGATCAAATCTACATTGCACTATACCAAATATTCATAGAGAGCAAATGTGCTGTGCTTGCTCCCCACGTTATTAGATTTAGCAGGAAGAAAAGAAGGTGAACATAATTCCCCCCTCTTGAGAGCCAGTATGAAGGACTAGATAATATTTCATTTTTGCAGTTTTCAATAGGCAGGAAATAAAACAGGTAAACTCTCACTTTAGGAGCCAGCAAGGAGTTTTTCACCTCAACAGACATACAGCAAATATTAATGGTGTTGGGATTATTGAGTGCAGACCATGACTGTGCCGTATCTTCATTTTGTTGCAGAGTTTATAAGTCTTTGAAAGTGTGTAGCTCCAGCCACAATTAAATAATTTAATCCCAACATTAATAATTAATCATTCAGTGAGGTTAATAAGCTGCATGTTTTCAGACTTCTACTATACATTTCTTATTGTCCGTAGTGAAATTATGCGCCTTCGACTTCATTTCACAACCTTCAAAGAAGTCATGATTTATTTTTATGGTAATCAGGTTTTTTTTTTTATTTTGCACGCATCTTATTTAGAAAGAAACACACAAACAAACACGCTCCATAAGTTGTGAGTGACAGCAGAGAGGTTATGAATCTCGGCTCTGAAGGGAGTCTGCCTATTTTTTACTCCTGCGGGGTAAAAAGAGAGGATGATGAAAGGAGAGTCGTGTACCTATGGGAGGTCAATATCGACACAACCCGAGTGCAGAAAATGACTGGCCTGAGGAGGGGAGGAGTTGTTCAGGGAGAAGCCAGATTGAGTACATGGCAGCTGTGTAGCAGTAATACTGTTCAAAGCCCGAAGGCTCTCGGTCACTGCCATCGCTCCTGTTATGATCCCTGCTGAAGGTGCTTTGCTGTTTCATGGGGCCCTCTGAAACGTGGCTGTGATGGCTGTTTACACATTAAAGTTCAAGACACATTGCTACAGAAAAGTTTCGGTGCTACAGGGTGAGAGAAAGTCTTGCAGTCGTGTTGCAAAATCCCAGTCCACTGTGCTGCAGGCCACAACGAGCATCAACCAGCTGAGCCAGGGACTTTGCACTGTGTGAAGGCAGCAGGGGGGTTACAATTCTGAACCCGACTATAAACTATGACACCAGAAACACAAGGTGCGAAGAGGTACCTAGAGAGTGTGCTCTGACTAAGAAGTTTGAAAAGAAATCCAATAAAGGCAGTTTGTTTTTCATTCTTTATTTGAAGCAAATCAAACAAACTCATTCAGTTTAGTCTGGTTCATTTAAAATCTGTCAATCAAACTCTTGTGCAGTTAAAACAGCTCAGCAGTTTTCACTTCTTTCCCTCTTTTTTTTTTTTAATGCTGTATGCCACTAGTTTTTGTGGTGCAACCTAATACAACAATCAGATAACTTTGCCCTAACAGGTAACCTGTGACCGTGGCATGACCTCAAAGGTTAAAATACATTAATGTTCTTCCTGACATATATTCTTTATTTTTGATCCTTGAACAAGAGCTGCAGACAGAATCTGACTTACTAGCTAATTGCAATGCATCTCGTTTGTTCCATATTATCCCAGACAAACTAAACTCTAAATACTCTTAACTCAAGTTCACTAAATGGAGCTGAATAAACTTAACTAACTAGATTAATCTGAACTCAATTTGAATAAACATGACTATACTAAACTCAGTGTACCTGGACTTAACTAAACTAATCCTATTCAGTCTGAAATAAACTAAACCTAACTTAACAAAACCAAACACAGTCAGACAGATTAAACTAAACTAAATTTAACTCAACTAAACAGAAGCGTACCGAAGTACAATATTAAACTCTACTGAACTTAACTAAACAAAGCTGAGCTAAATTAGACTAAACTTGACTTACCTAAAATAAACTTAACTCAACTAAACAGAGCTAAACTAAACTTAACTGAACTTACCCTGACTAAACAACCCAAATTACATTTACTAAACTTTACTGAACCTAGCCAAATGTAGTATATCAAACTAAACCAAACTTAACCAGACACTAAAAACTCAAGTTAACTTAAAATAGCTTAACTCTGACCGAACTTTACTTAACTAAACTTAATAAGACTTCACTTAACTTAACAAAGCTAATCTAAAAAAAGCTTAAGTTTAATAAACGTAACTTAACTTTAAGTTACTAAACCAAGCTACACTTAGGAATAAGTGTAAGCATATCGAAACTTAATAAACCTCAAAACAGCTTAACTTAAAAAATCTAAACTTAACTTAGTTTAACTCAATTTTCCTGAAATGAACAAAACTAACATTCACTTTGAATTATCTGACACAACTAAACAAAACTTGACTTAACTTGCCGAACTTAACTTACTGTAGCTAGACTTAACTAAACTAAGCCAGACTTAAAATTGTACTCATCTAAACTTGATTTGACTGAACAAAGCTGAAATCAACTAAAATCAATTAAACTAAACCAAACAAAGAGTTTTCAAAGAGTCGTCAAGTTCACAAAAACTTCAAGTGTATTTCTGCAGCAGGTGATCAATCCGCCCACACAAGACCTCAGATCAGACTTGAGAGCGAGAAAGATATACTGCAACATGAGAGGAGCAGAGATGGGCTGCATTGTATGTTTCGTGAGAAGAAAAGAAACTCAAGTTTTTAAAGTTAGACATACAACAAATATGTTTCTGCAAGACATGATACAAGGAAAAACAGCCAGGTTGCAGCCACCCATCCACTCTGCTCATTTTTCATCTCAGCTGCCTGCAGCCATAGAGTGATGTCAAATAATTTTCCAAAGTGAAATACCTCTTTAATCCAGTCCAGTCTGTGGGGAGGAACTTGTGAAGCAACATGACACTCAGTAAAAGCCTCGGGGCACCATCTTTATTATTTCATCCCCTCAGAAAAAAAAGTATGCTAGACACCTCTGTATTTTCAGTAACTCAGTAGGGCGTGTTTTGGTCTGATGTGTCCATTAAAAAGCACCACATGTTCTCCTCTCTTCTACCACACACACTGACACACTCGATGAGATGATGCGGGGGTAACAGGTCAGTCTTAAAGTGGACACTGCTGGTAGTTTCAGCCACTATCTGAGAGTGCAATCGGGCCCTTAGAGGGAAATAGATCAATTCACAGGAAGCTTCTGCAGGAGGCATGCATAAATTAAAGAGAATACAAGGAAAAACACACAAAATGGTTCTTAAGAAAAGCGTCTTTAAATGATAATAAATGAGTTTAAAAGTCACAGGAAACATGCAAATGAGTGGCTGCACTACCCAGTATGACTCCACTGAGTCACCAGCATGAATATCTTTACTTGTGAGCTTCCATTACTGATTTTAAAAGGATATTGCGGCATAAAATTAATTTAGGGTCAAACACACCGTAACACCAAGTTAGACACCCCCTCGAGAGATGAATGTTGCCGACTGCTTGTTTCTCTAGTTTTACCAAATGTAGTAACAACCGCACGATAGCAATACACAGGGGTCTGAGGAGCCAGAAACAAACCTCAACCAAAACACCACTCTATAGCCACAAATAATGCTCAGAACAGCACCTAACTTCATCAACAGTACATATAGGGTCCTAGCTATAGTACTAGCCACCAAACATCTTTTTAACTTTGCCTAACTTCTTTAGCAAAGAGACTAAACACATCTCACCTACTCTCTTCCAGCAGCCGCTTGTTTGTAGCGAGACCTCAGGCCAGTCCATTACGGACTGCTGCGGGGTGGCGCAGCTCAAGGAAGAACATTTATGATCATTTCTTTATAATTTCCTTGAAGTTGTAATCACTATATTAATCATTTTGCACTGCATACGCGGTAGTTCTTCTGCCTTAGCGTCTCGGTCTGATTGCATTTCAATGAAGAGCATTTCTGAGCATTATTTGTGGCTATAGAGTGGCGTTTTTGTTGAGGTTTGTTTATGGCTCCTCAGACCACCGTGTATTGCTATCATGTGGTTGTTAAGTTGGTATAACTAGAGAAGCAAGCGATTGGCATCATTCATCTCTCGAGGGGGTGTCTAACTCTGTGTTACGGTGTGTTTGATTTTACGCCGGAATATCCCTTTAAAGGCTTACTCTGTGTTGTGGGTTAATCATAGACTGTGTGAAAGATGGATGACAAAAATGAAGCTTGTCTGCCTTTTATTTAAAATCCATCAGTCTCTGAAGTTCATGGTCCTGTAAGTATCTTTGTGAAACTGTAACGTCAGAGTTTTGTTTTAAACCATATATCAACAGACTGTTTCACATTTTCCTCTAAACATCCCAGATATCTCAGAGTAAACTGCTGTACAAATGAATGGCATATTATTCAAATAGAAAACATCAATTTTAACCCATTTGCTCAAATGTTTGTAGTGAAAACTTTCCAGAATAATATCTCTTTACAAGGTCGTTTCAAAGCTGAAGCATTTCCCATTTCTGTCTGATATTTCAAGGCTCCCGTTTCCATTCACCGCAGGAGCTGATGGAGTGATTTATGCAGGAATATCAAATATTACTTTCCAAAACCCTAGTTTTGTTTGCACACGTGTAAATTTGTCTCCCAGTCTGCATGCATACCGTATCTCTGTCAAAACATGATCCTCCTCATGTGTAGCTCTGGGCTTCTGTGTGTTTGTGTTTAATGTCCCCCTGAATTCATGAATCCAGAATGGAGGCTGAAGCCCACCCACCCAGTGCCCTAAAGTTAGCATGCATCTCGTCAGTGAAGCGTATCTACCTACAGCGGTCAGAATCAGTTGTTTATTTTACTTTAAATTTATAATAAAATGTTGAGATCAAACAGCTCTCTGAGACAGTAAAAATAGAGTTCTGGCTCGTACAGATAAAACTCTCTAATGCAAAAAGCAAGGCTATTTTTGACCAATAAAGAAGGAGACACACTCACAAACACAGCTAATGGGGTTAGTCATGGCTTGACATCATGAATAAAACAAGCTTCACACACTCCCTCCCTCCCTCCCTCCTTACACCAGCACAGCGAGTTCACATGCCCAAAGAGATCTAAAAATTAGAGTCCCTGCTGTATTATCACTGATGTTGCTGCTGTTGGAGGCATAGGTCACCTACATGTTTGTCTGTACGTCTGCTGTTGCCATGGCAAATATTGAGCTTTACGAGCTGTAATGAGAGCTAGTTTGGTGGAGGGCAGAGAATGGAGAGGGGCTGATATTTAGTGGAAACAGTGTCAGTGGGAAAGTGGAGACATACAAAACCAGTACAAATGGTTGTTCTGGATATCAGTGACACTTTTTTAGAGTTTTTAGAGTGGCACTAAAAAATCCTTTTAAACCAGTGTAGAGATTGAGTTTGTGTACATCCTAAATAAGGTTGGGTATCGTTTGATTTTGAACGATTCCGATTCCTCATTTCGATTCCGGTTCCTAGCGATTCTCTATTCAGATCCTTTTAAAAGGCAGGATATAACAGTGATATTGCTTTAACAGTTTGCTGAACGCCTTTGTATTAACTTTCCTGTTCAGATTCAACATACCATATGGATTCTCACTGTCTCAAACTCAATTGCGTTGCTGTCACAGCACCTCGTTGGTGTTCGGCAGCTATTTCTTCCAGTCGGCGGACTTCGGCATCGAAACTTGGAATCGAATTTTTACAATTTTAATGGTTTTGGGAGAATCGGAATGTTAGTCCCAGTCCCCGTTGATGCTTGAGACTCGATGCCCAACCCTAATCCTAAATTCACCAGCCCTGCTGTCTGGGGAGTGGCACAGGGTTCCTAACTGGGCCCACTTTTTTTCTTTGGTGCTCATACGAATTTTTTTTTTTTTTTGATTCAGGCTTTTTCTTTTTGATGTTCAGGTCAAGAAAGATGTGTAAAAGGCATTTCTTGATATGCTACAGTTAGATACTGAAGGCCAATGTGCTTTTGATTGAATAGGGGTCATTATAAATAACCTGGATGCAGTTTTGCTAATCCTACTGCTACGTTTAAACTATATTCTTAAAACATTGCAAAAGCTTTTATTGCTGTGAATATTATTTTATTGTCAAATAAATTTCCAGTTTTTTTCTATTTTCAAACTTCTTTTGTTGTGTTCCCAGTAGGTCACAAGTTGCACAAACATAAAATGCAAAATCACTTCTTATGATGATGACACCCACTTTTACGTTCCAACTGTCCCATATTCTTTATTCAAATCAGCCACAAGGTGCCAATTGTGTTGATTTGTCTCACTAGTGTTATGCCTCATCTATGGGTGGCCAGGACATTAAAAAACAGTGTTACCAGACTGCTTTGTACTCGGCACAATTTTACAATGAAGCACTTACTTATTAAAGCGCCATCTTCTGGGTGTAATACACTACAGGATACCTCTATCTGCATTATATACTGGTATTAGTTGCACTGGTGTAAAAGATGAAGTTCATTTTTAGATTTTAATGAAGTGTGTCTTATACACTGAGTTTCATCAAGCAGCCTTTTTTTTGTTACTAATTTCAATCATAAGTCCTCAAGATTTGCATCATGAATCCTCCAATCAGAGACTTATATTTAGTGTAATGAGCTTTTTTGACTAGTAAATGTTAAAAATTCGCTATGTAAGAGATTTTGTAGTGTATGGACTTCACTGAAGCATTTGTTGAATCCCTTCCTTGGGACCTGAGTGTCAAATCTGAGGCGAGCCTTATCCTTTCAGAGGAGGTCAAGAAAGATGTAGGAGTCTGTTGTTGCAGACAGGAGCCGTCTCCAAAATGAAGTCTTCTCTGTCTTTTTGTGACAAAGAGAAGGTCAAACTTGCTTTTAACTTTTCCACACTTGACATCCTCAGCATCTCTCTGTTTTTCTGCTCAAAAGGAGCTTGCATGCCTTTGAATAGGTAGCTTTGGAAGGAATAACAGAGATGTCAGCACATCCCATAGAGGCACCAGTTTCGAATCACTACTAGATCATGTAGGATAATTGCAGACACGTAATAAATGAAGTTTTTACTATGAAAGCACAATGAAGGAGGATTCATATCAGTCCCGTATTTTGGTGGTATTTCTCTCTTCCATTTCTTCATCTGTTGCCATTCGACATGAAGATTAGAGGTGAGCGGGAGGGGACGTGTATCCCGAGACAGAAAGTTTTCCCCAGTTCATTATTCTTTCTGTGTTGTGAGTCAGTGTTGCAACATTTACCCCACAGATTTCATCAAACAACATGTCAAGGATAATGACAGGTATTTGGGCGTGAAGTTGTACAGAGGGCAACGATTGAAAAAAAGAGCCTCGAGGCAAAATCATTGAAAAGTTAAAATAGAGCATGTGGTCGTTGATGGTTTAATAATGCACCCTGTTGCCCTTAAACAGAGCAGTATGCATGAAGCGTTTGGAAAGGTGTTTTCAGGTGTGTTTGAACATATTTAGCCTCCCTTCTTTTTTGTACCTTTACTTTTTTCCCCCTTTCACACACACACACACACACACACACACACACACACACACACACACACACACACACACACACACACACACACACACACACACACACACACACAGGCAAAGAAAACATCTCACTTTCACTGCCCATTCTTATTTGAAAGTATGTTCAATAACAGAAAAAAAGGAGTCTCAATTTTCATCCCTCATTATCTATAATTGAAAAACAAATAAAAGCATGATTACTTCTTCACAGACAGGCACAAAAAATAAATATTTCTCGGTCTAAATTGCCGCAAAGTTCAACACACGGTGCATTTATCACAACTACCTCTAGAGTTTGTGCACAGGCAGTGTAAACAGGCAATCACAGGCAGAGTGTTCTCAGGTAATCTGCTGGAGCTATTTGTCTCGGTGCAAAGGCTACCAAGAGTTTGTTGTCTGAGAGAGAGGGCAGCAGGATGGAAACCAGCCAAGAAGAGCCAGTCCCCGGCTAAGAGTGGGAGTCCGGGTTTACTTAAAGCAGTATTATATCCAGAGACTTATCAGTCGGATGTAAATACAGTTTATCCACCTCTCCGAGAAGCATTTACAAATCCCCCGGGGGTGTTTATGCAGAGTCTACCTGGGTCAGGGTGCTGTCTCGCTCTTGTTCTGCTCTATAAATCCTGAGCTGGTTTGTTATGTCGCTTATGAATCACCCTGATGTGTGCAGAGCAGCCATCAACCAAACACCCACTCATTACATTTGGAATAAGAAGACATGCTCCTTATGGCAGACGGATGAGCAGCAACAGGCCCCTGACTGTTACTGAAACTGACACACTGGGAGAAAAATGAGTGAAATTCAAGTTGTCTGTTAACTTAAAGCTCCCGAAAGAGGTTTTGAGGTTATGAGTCAGAGAAGCAAACAAGTCCATGAGTGACAGGCTTGACTATTTCAGTACTGTAACGCAAAAAAAAACAGCCTCTTATTACAATGTGTAAAACATTTGATGGTCAAGAAATTCAAGAACACAAGCCAAATATACATCACAGTAGCTTTAAAAGAAAGTCATTTGTAATTAATTTTGCCAACATGTGAAAATCTACACACAATACAGAGAAGGTAAAAATCAAATATGAAGTATAAAACAACCAAGAATCAAAATCTGAAGAATTTCTCAAAGTTTCCCATATCCTCCTGACTACCAGAAGTTCAAATTGTCCTCTGTGGAGGACCATTGTAAACCTCAATATCTCCCACCCACTGCATACTACTGAATTAACTCCTTTTGGTTTCTACAGACGACATTTAGAGCTTTTCAATGATACCAAATGTGAAGGGGTGGGGCTTCAGTGCTTTTCCTCTTTCCATAAAATGTGCATGCACTGATGGCAGCCATTTTTTCTGAGTGAGGAAGAGAAAGGTACTGAAGCCCCACCCCACAAATCTGAACCTTCTGGTAGTCAGGAGGTTAAATGACATCTTCACATGGTTAATGTCTCCAACAGGTCTTACACCAAAGCACAGGAGTGACTGAAATAGTGAACTAATGAAAATTGAGTTCACCGAAGCTATTACGGTTCATTCTGAAGGGAAGATGAAAACTTGATATTTAATTAAATCTCTGAATGTAATTCAGCCTTCACAGGAATAGATATGTCTTTTGTTGGAAGATAAAATCCCCTGATTACACCCACTGAAGAGCCGTTAGCTCTCCGCCTTCTCTCCGTTAAAGCTTATTGAATACCAACACAGCTCTCAGGGTCTGAGATGGACAGATTTAATTGTGTATTCGACTAAGTCAAAAGTAAACCAATCCACAGCAGAACTGAAGACCAGAGTGATTGATCTTACAACCTCTAATTTCAACAGGAAACTGTTGTTGAAAGTGTTCTAACTCAGGACTCAAGTTGAACTTCAGTCCTACTGACTCAGACTTGGACTTGCTCTTAAAAATTGATATATGCTGACCAGTGCATATTCACCTGCTGTTTTGTTCAGCAGCATTCTCTGTCATGTTGCCTGAAGAGATTTCATATTTTGCTTTTAAATATTTCACGTGATATGTGAGAAACTGAAGAGATGACAGGGGCAAAGTCAAACTTTTAACAAACTTCTGCCCAGGATGCTCTCACAACAGTTAGTGAGATACTGAGATGCTTACTTGGACTGTTAATACTTAGCAAGCAAACTCCTAGCCTCTGAACAGTAACATTGGGTGCAAGATTTTTAGTTTGGTAAGGTTCTGGTTGATAAACAGTGGGTTTTGGTTGTTTTGAGCTGAATACACACCTGCAGTGATCTCATTGGAGTTGAAGTCTTTACCTCTGTCTTCTCTTCGCTGTATCCCCTCTCTAAACCCAATGCAGCAGCAGCAGATGGCTGGCTTACATGAACCTGGTTTTGCTTAAGGTTTCTGCCTGTTATAGAAGTTATTCCTCTCCACTGTAACTTGCAAAGTGCTGCAAAGTGCTGCATGCATCTGGTTGTAGATAGGATGGGAGTGGGTCTGATTTTGCAGGATGGGGCTCAATCTTATCCCATCTTCAAATTGGGTCTTTGTAAATAGAGTTTAATCTAGACCTTTTTTTTTTGGCAAGCATGTACCACAGCAAAGGTGAATGCACAGTTTAAGTTTTGATGTGCATTCCAGAGTGATGACAGACTCATGCTTGTGCATTTTTGCAAAACTCCAGTGTTAAAATAAATCGGCCTGTGAGGGAGGAGAGAGCATTGCAGCTTCCATCACACTTTTTATTTACAGACTTTTACCTTATCAGTAAAAAATTAGAGGAATATTCCAAACTGTATTGTTGTAGGGATGCACCGATCCGATATTTGATATCGGTATCGGTCCCGCTACTGAAGAAAATTCTAGATCGTTTTTTTTTTTTTTTTTTTTTTTTTTTTAAATTCTATCTCTTCTAGATCGGTATTGTGACAATGAGCTGGATGCATAAGGGCTGATCTGTTCTGTCTAACTCTTTGCTATGTGTCGTGAGTGGCATCCACAAGTAAACACACTGACCGGATGCCCACACTGTTTTCAACATGGAGAGAGCAAAGGGGTCTGCTATCTTAAACTTTATCACAGTACTAGGGCTGCAGCTATCGATTATTTTAGTAATCGAGTACTCTATCGATTAATCTGTCGATTAATCGAGTAATCGGATAAGAAATGTTTTGCTCTCACTGTAATACTTTGCATTGAATCACGTTTGCCTCATTAAAAACCATCAGTAACACACAAAACTGAAATAGGCCAGGTCTTTCAAATGAATATTTTTACTGCATAAATCAGGAACCAAAAGATTTACATTTTACCATGTAGTTCACATGAAACTACTGAAGGCAAGGTCTGCAGATGGTCTTTTAATTGCTATGGTAATGATCTTTGCAGTTTTCACTAAACCAGTCACAACTATTTCCAGGCTTTGGATCTAATTTTACTTGTTTAATTAATAGGCTGAAATAATATAATTCTTGGATACTAACATAATTTGACAAGCAAATGTACATTTATTCAATATATAAAAGTGTTACATTTTTATTTACATGTTGTTGTGTGTTGGTCATTTTGCAGCCCTCTGCTGCTCATCACACGCCTAGCAGGTGGTGTATAGCATTATCACCATGGATACACGGATGTTTGTGTGATTTTTTTCATCCACTGCCGCCCGGTTTGTGTCGTGTAGATGTTGATTATGAAAACACTTCGCAATAATTTGGAAACGTGAAGGGGGAGCTGCTGCTGCCCGGTGTTTACGGTAAATAGACGCAAACACCGACCAAGTGGACGCTTCGGTCTCCGAAAACGCCGAGACAAATTTACAAACAGCCACTATTTCAAACAACTGGGCTCATAATCGTGATGTAAACACTTACTTCCTCGCTAGAAAAAATATTATTATTGAATGAATTTATATAATTTGTCCGGTATGCAGTCGTTCTATGTAGCTTGTGGTAGGACTATTTAAATTTTCCCGGCGCTGCGTCCGGCCGGCACGAAATGCATTCTGGGGTATTTAGTATGTATGTGTGTAAACGCTCGGGCAGCCGCGGCATACTCACATCATCTTTGAGTAGTCAGTAGGCAGTAGCTACTGCTTGAGTAGGTAAGTAGATAGCAGGCAGTATGCCATTTCGGACACAGCTTCTGTCTGTCCTCGTTTCCCTCCATGATTGAACCAAACGCGCGGCAGCGGAAGGAGCGGAAAGAGCACGCTTCTGCGCAACAGAAATAACCGTCCGTGTCAAACACCGTGCACTGCACATGGTTCCGGATTTAAACGATTCCTCGAGGCATATAATTTGCCTCGAGGAATTTTATTAATCGAGTTACTCGAGTTACTCGAGTAATCGTTTCAGCCCTACACAGTACCTCAGCCTACAAGCTCGACGGCCACTTGCACAGTAAACGTTCTGAGGAGCAGTGGTAAAACTCCAAGTTACAACAAAAGATAATTCAGCACAGCTTTTCTGTATCGGAATTGGATCAGTATCGGCCGATACTAAACTGTAGATATCTGTATCTGTATCGGAGGTGAAAAAAGCGGATTGGTGCATCCCTATATTGTCGTACATCTCTGCAAACCTTTTCTATCCTTACCTACAACCCATTCTAGGTGAGGGAGTTTTCGAACAATCCAAAGTCTCACTCTCTGATGAGGATTCTTATCACTGATGTTGCTGCACTATATTTGCACCTGTGTGCTCGTCTTTACCTGAACAAAGTCTGAGAGGAATTCCCCACACTGAGTGTCACATTTGGTTTGGCCTGTTCTTTTTTGACAAATCGAGTAATTTTTTTTTGTTGATGTGTGACCCCACTAGTGGTCCATTTGATGCTCAGAAGGATAAGCAGGACAGGAGTGAGGCTGAATCTCAAAAGGGCCATTTTGGAGGATATAAGCATGTCTGTGATGGATGGTGGCGATATGATGGATTTTATCTTAAAGAGAAGAGACAGATTCAATCATTTGTGCCCTATTCTTCTCAGCGAAGGCTAAGCAGACTCCTTTTTTTCCAGAAATATCATCAGAATATGAAGATTGACCAGGAGCTGTCAAACGCTCAGCACTGATTTTGTCATTTATACCTGACAGAAGTGTGTCTGCAGGCCTTGGCAGTCAGCAGCAGGGGGGAACAGACTAATCCCCCAGACTCACATTTATTAATAGGTCTCATTTTATAAAATCCTGGAACAAAATGACATACATTCACGCTCTCTAATCATGGCTCCCCCCCAGAAGGTCTGCGAGGGAATTTAAAAATATCACATTTAATGGAAATTGGATTACCTTTTAGCTTTCATGTCCTCGTCATGCATGGTTCATTTCACTTAACTTTCTCTTTGATGAAAGAGATGGGAAAATTGTTTCTTTTAGTCTTCACAGAGGGAGGAGAAAAAAAGAACGAGAAGTCAAAAGTTGACTCTCAGAAAAAAAAGCATTTGATTGTCTCTCATTATGCAGAAATCTGTCAGTTTTTACATGAAGCAATTTTGTTTAGGAATTTATGGGTATAATGAGATGTGGAGTAAACAGAAAATACTTCAATGGAGAAGCTCAAGGCTGCAGCAATGCAAAACTCTGAGTTGCTAGTACAAATAAATACTTCTGCATGTTGAAATCGATTGATTTTGTAGTTGGATTATGTGTTTTCTAGTTAAGATACACACACAGATGATTAAACACAATGCTCACACAGTACTGAGTCTGATAATGAGAGGTAGGCAGGGTAATTTGCCTTGAGTGTGGCGAATCTAATGGGTATGAAAAGAGAGTAATGCTGTTTGAAATATCCTGTTTTATCCGGTAGTATACGGCTGGTGCCTGGAGCCTCTCGTTTCATGCCTAAAGACCACGTGGCCACGCAGCTGGAGCTCTACATTTTCAAAATAAAAGCTTGTGTTTTGTCTGTTTTTAAATGTTGTTTTTAATTAGACCATAAATGTTAATGAGATTTATTAATGAGAGGACAGGGCAGGAACTTTTTCAGCCATTAATAAATGTATGCACGTGTCTGCAATAAGGAATCTATTCACGTGCATTTGTGGTTCTTTGGTCACATTTTTATATTTCTGTTAGGACTTGGCGATTATCTGATCGTGATAAATGATTCTGATACATTTCAGTTCGATCACGGTGATCAGCTGTGAGCATATTAACTTGATAAAACATAGCGGAAATCGTCACAACAGCCAATCAGAGTCGAGCTTTTCCTGCTCACCTCTGTAAATTGCCAGAGAAGTAAACAGGGGGGAAGTAAACAGAGTGACCGATCCTGGAGCAGCAAAATAGATGTCATCCTCCGGAGATGCGATTGTTGAGACGAAAGGTTATTCAATGTCGGTTGTGTGACGGTGCCGTGTTTTTGAGTTAGCATTGGCAGTTTAGCCACAACTAGCGGTGCAGCCACCAGAATAAAGCAGCAGTCAATCTATCATCTATGTTTCCATCATCTAATATTTACATTTTAAGACGTCTTCGTTATCTCTGAGGGAGCGATTTGTTTATTTTGGGTCTTGCATACCTGCAAAAACACTCAGGACTGTAAACTAATTCGCTGTATTTATTTATATTTATCTGCATTTGTTGTACTGTTAAGTTTAAATGGTTTTTATATTTTTCGAAGTTTATTTTATTTGATTTGCTTTATTTACTTTGTTAATAAAATGTTGGACTAGTCTCTAGTTTCAGTAACACTTTACAATAACCATAATTTATAAATGGTGAATAGATAGTTTATTAATCTAAGTTAATAGTTACTTTACCATTAACAAGCAATGAAATCATGATTAATAATTTTCCTTAATTATTGTAAAGTGTTTCTCTAGTTTTTAGTACCAATGCCTTAAAACTGGCAAAAAATAAAAATAAATAATCGAGATCAGACAATATGACAAAATATGTTGTGAACATTTTTTTTTTTTTTTTTGCTATATCACCCAGGTCTAATTTCTGTACACATTTGTAGGTCTGTGCATACGTTCGTGGCTAATGAATCATTTTCTTCGACTTGCATATGTAGATTTGTCACTGCAGGATTTACATTGTGTAATCTAATCTGCATAAACAGAGAATGAGGCTATTTAAAATCCACAGTAGACACTGCAATGACTTTCCTTCAGTACAGGTAAGCAGTAATTTACAAGGGCAAACAACGCCTCGCTGTGAAGAGCTACATATGTATTTATGCATGCATTTCTAAAGCCATGCATACAATTGGATCTGTGCGTGCAATTTGCCACCCGTGTGGACCTGCTGCCATTGTTCACATATATGAATCTCGTCATACAACAATACTGAGATGTCTTCTTTAGTGAAGTATGGAGATAATAATGCAGTGAATGTATTTGTATTTGTTAAACAGGCTCTTCATGTGTCTGAGATCTTTGTATGGTGCCAGACAGAAACACCGATTTGTGTGTTTGCATGCAGCCTATGATTTATTCATGTTAGTACTATCATTATTGTGGCAATCATAATTTGTCTAATGATTATATGGTTCAGCGTATGTGGTTGTCTGATTAGCTCAATTTGTTTGGGTCATCTAATTTCATGTGTTTTCATGATTGCTCCACCTGATTAGAGTTGCATCTAAATCAGGTAATGACACTGTAATCTACATGAGTGTGTATTTGTGAACATTTCATCAGTTGTATATATATTTTTAACTCGCATATACTCTATTTGTTTTTGTTTTCCATCCTCTCACATATTTATGACGCACAAATCCACACAACGCAGCCGTCGAGAGATTTGTAATATCCTTTGGGTATTTTCCGCGTCTGACATGTTTTGGTTTTGTGCCGCGTACTCTTGAAGGCTTAAAGCTGCTTCATCAATATTAGAGGCTGAGGTAAGGGTTTTGTGCGTGTGTGTCGGAGAGGAGCTCATAAAAATACACATGAACTTTTATTTAAAGTTGTAATGTTTTTGATTGCTGCTTTATGATCTTTGAAGCTGTAAACACAGCATACAGTTTAAACGAAACCTTATGTAGCGCGTAGACATCGCAGCAAATTATAACAAATTGGAAAGTTATTCAAACTATTCATCCAGCCATTGTGTATTCATGAATTGAGTGTGCGGCCACAGACCTACAGTTATACTAAAAGGGTGATAATGTTCTACCATAAAAATGTTGAAGGTTAATATTTAAATGAGTGAAGAACAAAGAGCAGGGTTATGAAAGCCAACACGCTGCACATGGAGACATATGGCATCTGCGCACACATTCTCACACACACAGACACGCAGCTCCATAAACACCAACAATAAAACAAAGCACCCTGGCAATATTCTGCAGCTTGCCTGTGGTGATGGCACCATTTGTTAAACAGAGAAGTCTCTTTTGCACATCATGATTATTTCCCCTCCTGTCTGTCTCCACTCCCCCCGGTGGTTTTCTTTGTTTTTCTCGCTAATTACGGCCACAGGTGAAAGGACCTGTGTAATAGCAGAGCCTGCTGTTGTCGAGGCAATCTGTAAAAATCAATTGACTCGCCAATTTAGTCTGGCATTCCCACATCTGTGTTTTCGTCTCTGTACGTCACGTGTATCAATGCATGGGTAGGCTCTCCCTTTTTTTTTCCTGTAACAGTCAGGCACATACACATATGTAGAGCCAGTTCATTGTTAGGCTGCACACACACTCTTGCAGAGTGCAGACAGAGAGGGGAACTGCACCAGGCCGGGCTGCAGGTCATTAACCGAACCAGTGAAACATGCATCTCTGACCCGTCTCTGCAGGGGAGCAGACAGGAGTTATCACACACTCCATCGCCCAACCTTACTAGGACCATCAGTGGACTGCATGCATGTTTGTGTGGGATTGTGTTTGGATACCTGTGTATATACCCTTCAAGGTTAGCCTCAGGGCAAACGCGCATACATGAGCGCTTACCTTGGTTGACTGTGGAGAAGAAAGAGCAGGGCTGGAGTGTTGGTCTTGACCCTGTGTGTTCTTGGTTGAGTTTCATTAAGTACGAGGCCTCAGTGTTACTTCTCTGTAGCGCTCCCAATCTTTGTGTTGTGACCTTTGTGTGCGAAGGAAAAGTGTGTTTACATACCAATATATTTATCATTTACATGGTTGCATATCTTGGTGTAAACAGCCAGCAGAAAGGTTTCTGAATTTTGAGTCTGTGAAAACTTATGTAGCGTTTTTGAGGACTTGGAAAGTTTCACTTAAGAGATGATTTTGGTGAAATTCTTTTTTGTTTTTGTTTTCATTATGCTGTTTTAATCCACCCAATTTGCAAGGATTATCTTTTGCTGTTGTAATAAATATGCATACCCATTGGCCAAAACAATACCATCTGCCGGAGTTTTTATGTGTCGACAACACAGTCTGTAAAAGACGATGGACAACACAGACACTCCCTAAAAGTGAAGCCCAAACTGGATTTTTCTCCAACATGCTTTCTGTCACAGAAGTTATTCGATATTGTCCTTTAATTGTGCAAGTTTTCATTTAATGGAGAAATTTGGTTTCAGTTAATTTGACACTAAAAGGAGGAGAATTCATCAGAAGAATGTGTTCTGGTGTTGGCTGGACTGACTTAAAAGGATTGTGAAAGTGTTACTAGCAGGGTAAATGTTTTTATTTTGTTGGCAGAAGAAGTGAGACCTTAATCCTGCAGCTCCACCAGCTCGGCCACATCTGTGCACTTTTTGGCCTTGCAGTGTTTTGTCTTTGGTTTTGAAAATGGGAGCAGATAGAGGTTTGTCGTCCGCTCTTATCTACACTGCATATACATGGAAATAAGGCGTACGATTGTTTATGTAGATTTCCTTCAAGTTTTTCTCTTATTTATTTATCTCTTGAATTTATTCATTCAGTCCCATTTTCAGAAACACTGAAATGGGACTGATAAATTCCAGTACAACAAATCAAACAAGGAGAAACTAGGATAGAGTTAAACAAACAACAACATTCAAGTCCCTTGACGGAGAGGCTGAGACGCAAGTACTACACAAGCCGTTAGCCCCTGAAGGCAGCACTTGGGATCTGTAAAATCCAAGACCAAATGTACCTCACTGGCAGACTCACCTGCTGAGAAACAGCACTCCCAAGTTGAAAAGAGTAAAGACATAGATATTTTATGAGGAATTTGCTGGGGTAACTTGCTGCATCGTATCCTTCACTTATGGATCAAATTGCATACAATGTGAAAGTCACACAGGTGACTGTATTTTTGACTTTCATCATGCATCCTTTTACTTAACTTTTATGGATTGAATGATGAAGATGAGAAAATAGGTTGAAGACGGCTGTTTTCCTTTTCCAATAAATTTTAGAAGTGATTTTGGTTCTGGGAAGAGACAGACAACAGAGACATTATATTGTAAGGATAGTTTAAAAGTGCAAATGAAGTAACGTCAGTGATTAAATGACCATTTTAAAGGGATATTCTGGCATAAAATTAAGTAAGGGTCAAACACACCATTTCCTTAAAGTAGTAATCATCATATTAATCATCAAGTAATAATCATAAATGTTCTTCCTTGAGCTGTGTCACCCCGCTGCAGTCGATGGACTCGCCTTGAGGTCTCTGTACAAACAAGCGGCTGCTGGAAGACAGTGGGTGAGTTGTGTTTTTAGTCTCTTTACTAAAGAAATCAGGCAAAGTTAAAAAGATGGTTGGTGGCTAGTACTATGGCTAGGACGCTATATGCACTGTTGATGAAGTTAGGTGCTGTTCTGAGTATTATTTGTGGCTATCGAGTGGCGTTTTGGTTGAGGGTGTGGCTCTCTGTATTGCTATCGTGCGGTCGTTACTAGAGTTGGTATAACTTGAGAAGCAAGCGGTCGGCAACATTCATCTCTCGATGGGGTGTCTAACCTGGTGTTATGGTGTGTTTGACCCTAAATCAATTTTACACTGGAATATCCCTTTAAGGGCCAACTGATAAGTACATACTGGATTATGAACTATTTTAGGCTTTCAGCAGCCCAGTGCTAAACTAAAACCATCTGAAATGAAAGCTTTGGATCCCTCTTATTTTGGTAGGGAGAGTTAAAGTAGTTGTATGGTTTTGTTGCTGTCCATGGTGCTGAATCTGTTCAGTGACAGCCATGGAGATTGTGAGGTTTCTTTACCGCCTACATTTTACACACACGAATACAAGGATCCTCTTTATTCAACAATAAGCAGAAGGCGTCCTGTCCTGTCATTCCCCTCTAAACAGTTCACAGGGTCACTGTGTTCTATATGCAAGTCAGAGAGTCGACATCAAACAGCATCATAATGTTGTAGTAGTAACCACACCTTTGATGCTTTTGCGACTGTATCTGAACCAGGCTAGAGCTTCATTAATATTTATTACAGGATAAATGTGTGATAAAGGACAAAGAGACCGAGAGAGTTAGTGGGCAGCAGAAAGAGAGAACAGATGAAAGTGTAAAAGATGTTTAACTCTTATTTCTCCCCAAGACTAAACCCAACTTTGAAGAAGAAGATGATATCAGATCTGGAAAAGTCTATTGCTGTTGAAGTCTTTGAAAAAAAAAGAGAGAGATTGTGGTTTTGTCTATGAAGAGGAGACAGTGGGGAATTGGTATTCTTAAGTTCCAAGAAAGACCGGGACACCGCACAGCGAGGGTCCGCTTCATGATGAGTTTTTTTTTTCCCCTTTCGTTTTTAGAGCGGTATTCAGCTCACATTTGTGAGAACAGAGCATTCAATTTATCAAGTAATGACCTTTTCTTCACACAAAATGATTGGATGCTGTTTCAGGTGGTTAGCTATTTGCTAAACCTTATCAATCACAGAAATACCAAAAAACAAATTGGGGGGATGAGAGAGATTGCTTTTGCAGCTTCTTTGATAAGATGAGGCTTAAAATTACAATAAAGATTGATCTCGATTTCAGACGCTCGGGTTTGGATTTGACTTTGGTTTGAAATCCAATTGGCTTTGAAGAACGTCAAAATTCCACATCTTTTAAAACTTTTGGTTCTTCTGTGACTTCTGTGAGCATGAATTAGTCTCAATTTCAAGATGTACTGTGACACAATTTATAATCCAGCCCTGAGGTGAAAGCATTGTGTCTATGAAACTATTGCACCTGCATCTGATTGAAGGAAATTAAAGAAAATTGCGCTTGCTGCATGAAATTGTTTCTGATTGGAAACGCTATCATCAGTTACTCCATAATTGCGTTTCCTTGCTGTTCCGATTGAAATAGAATAATGTGTATCACAGTGTGCATACATTAAGGCCAAATTACTGTTGGAGCCACGGTGGCTCATCACCAGGTAAAGTGTTAATTACAGGGGAATGGCAGAAATGCTCCCAGGGGCTCATGCTGAATGAAGTTTCATGGAGCGACTTAGCGGACTAGATAGGGGATTCATTTTCTCTCCTCCTCTTTAGACTCTCTCTCTCTCTCTTACGCACACACACACACACACACACACACACTCATAGACTGTGTCCATGCAGTCACAGCTGTCACAGAGCTTTGGTTTCACCCCGCTCGACCCAAAGCTTTCAGGCCATTGTGCGCTGCCTTTCAATTTCAGTCCGCCCCGCGGTGGATACGAGCCATTTTGGAAACTGCTGAGTATATTGAACTTTTCTGCATGGCTACCAAAAAGAAAAATCAGCTCATCAGAGAAAAAAAAAAGAGCTCTTGGGGCTTCAGACTGTCTGAGACAAGGATTGGACAATTCACACATCAAGACAGGGTTTCACACTTAGTTGGACATTTATCTCCGTAGTGTGGAAGCTGCATGCGGGTAAATTGCTCCATTAAGAAGAGCATGGATGACTCATATTTCATGTTAACCCTTGGTTCCTAGTAAGTCTGTTTTGAGGACAAAGACTCTACTGTTTACTACCATCTAGTAGAAGGTACAAGAGTCTGCCAACACACACTGAGGTCGCTTTCACACCTGACCGAGCGGACTCGGTTCGATTGGGGAGCTGAAAGTCTCAACATTGTTGCATTTATCACTTGTTTCAGTTCTGTTTTCACACTGTGATTTCTAAAGCGCACCGAACTTTCCGAGCAGCATCATGTGGCTGAAAGGTGCGCTCGCTGATTGGACAAAGTAGGAGGGGTATGTAACCTCACGGATTACAAACAGGGGTGGACTAGCCGTCTTGTATTCTGCTTCGTCACATTATTTTATGGAATGCTACAACGTTAGTGAACGCCACTGTCCCTATAATGCTATTGTAGCTTGTCAGGGATTGATCCTGTTATTTTTCTAACTTTGCGATCTAACATGTGACGACATATGAGCTCAGAGTTTAAGGACTGTGACTGTTGGTAGTTGTGATTTGATTTTGTTTAAATATGCAAAATTGTGAATTTATGGGTTATTGTTGTTCAGACAATTGAGCTAAGCTAGCTAGCAGCTGCTAATGTCAGCAGTCAGCAGGACGCCGCGCTTCCTCTACCCAAGATGCACTGGGTATAGCGTCATTACGTACATTTGGTCCTGTGTTTGGTCCGGTTAGCTTTCACACTGCATACGAACCGAACCAGAGTTCACTTGCAAGCGAACCGAGACCCACGTTTTCAGGCGGATAGAGTTCGTTTGTTTGGTCCGCACCAGAGTTTGGATGAGCTTTAACACCTCCCCAAACGAAGTGGACTATCCGAGGAAACAAACTCTGGTCTGTTTAAAGCGGACCAAACAGCTCTGGTGTGACAGCGACCTAAAAGACCAGAGAACAGTTACTACCCGCATGCAGTTAGTTTACTAAACTCCTGACAGTACCACTGGACAATACACTGTGCAATAACCCCCTTAACTGTGCAATACCATGTGCAATACAGCAATTCGTACACCATTATCCATTATGTGCAATATGGCAATTTTCAAACCTCATTTATCCCACCGACTTATCCTCCATTTCATACATTCACACTCAGCACCTACTGCATCGCTTGTGCACTTTTGTAAATATTTCTCTCACACTTTTATCCATCTTTGATATTTTTTAACCTTATTTTATTGTGTTCCTCCCAGTACTTGTTGTGGTTTTTATCTGTACTCCTCTGAGTCGAGCTGTCCTCTCATCCAGGGTGTTTCATTGCATTGTTGATCTTGTTTAACATGCATATGAAAAATAAGTTAATCTTGAAATCTTCATCATTTTCATCATCCTTAATTTGAGTTGATAGTCACATTTTTATAGATTAAGGCATCAAATTTGGCCATTATTATTATTATTTTTCTCCATATAATACAAACAAACAAAAAAAAGAATCTTGCCCATAAAACTCTGTTGACGCCAAAAAGCTCCAGCCTTGCTAGTGTGAAATCTGGACCATAAACTGATTATATGTGAATTTTTATGTGTTACCTCCATTGGGAAATAGGTGTAGGCTTATATGCCTATACTTAACAGCACACCTACTCCCTGTTAGTATAAAGGATTATCATTTGCATTTGTTCAAACATCCTCATGCTTTGGTTTATACTCCTTTCATTTATATATTTAAATACTTGAATATTTACATTTTGCCATCCAATATGCAAAGGTTAAAGTTATTGTTTTTCCGTCATTCAAACACTGTCTATAATAATCTTCTCTCTGCAGTGTCTGTTTGCAGAGCAAAGACTGGTCTGAATCTCTTTCCCATTTTAATCAGTTCAGCTGCTGAAACTATTACAGCAGATTTGCTCTTTCATGGCTGTTTGCTTTTCTCCTCCCCACACCTTTATTCCCCTTCTGCTCCTATCTGCCGCTGGAGATCGCCTATTCCTACCCCCAGCTGCAGCATGATTGTTTTTTCACTCATAACCCTCCCACATCTTCACACTACTAACACACACATACACACACCTACACTCTCACACATATCACTTCTTCCTTGTGTGTATTTCAGGTTTTGATTTGGCTTGAGACGGGGCATGTTTGCTCTCTTTCTTTTTGCTTTGCTGCCAGTACAGAGAAAGAGCAGGACGGCTGATTATTGTTTGCCAGCCTTGTGTGAGTGGGAAGTGAAAGTAAAGAGAACAGAAACAGAAAGAGGAAGGGATGCAGAGATTGCAAGGATTTATTTCAAAGACAAAACCTCCTGATGGGACATGAGAAGCTGTGCTGGCTGCAGGGTTCATGGCCCCACTGTGCTGCTGGAGACTGGAGGAGGTGAGACACTCATCAACCTTTGACTTTCCCCTCAACTGGAAGATACACCGAATGACTGCAGTCGGAGTCATGATCATATCCCCTACTACTCAAAGATGGCAGCTTGGTCCGTGACCCGATGCTTCAAAATATATGCTGGGAATTTCCTTGGACAGATGGTTTGGGTTTGGTCAGCAGAAAAGGAAATGTTTTTAGTCGGAGAATCATGACAAGAGACGGGATCCAAAGTTCAGAAAGTGAAGTTTCTTATCAGCAAACTGACAAACATAAGCTGGAACACAGAGAGAGAGAGAGAGAGAGGCTGGTGTGTTTGGAGTCTATAAGATTTAAATTTACTGCTATTAGATTATAAAGTGAACAGAGTGCAGGAATTTGTTCGAAGAAAGATACAACGTTTAAACAATTTTCAGTAACCGTTTCTAATTAACAGGTAATTACCTAGTAACAACATGAAGTTATCTGTTAATTACATGATAACTAATAAGTTTTGCTAGATTTTGATTTCGTGTTTTGGGTCTATTCTGTTAGGCAGTGTATGAATAAAACTTTTTTAATGTTCCCTTAAAAAAAAAAAAAAAACATTTTGGAGAAGCATGTTTTTCTTGGACAGCAATGACATGCTGTCCTGCAATCCAGGCAACAGCAGCAGAGCTGGACTACTTTCTCTGGAGGCTGAATCATTGTCACACAATAGAGAATAAGTTCATAGATTTTTAAATCACATTTTTTTTCATAGTTAATGACATTTTTTGACTTGAGATCTCAAACTTTGAGAAGTGAAGCCACTTCGTAATGCTAAAAACTGCAGTTCCATCATTGTCCACTCGGGGCTGATTCCTAAAACCCATTGAACTCCATTAATAGAAGTTTGAGGGGCTTCCTTGACCTCTAACTACCACTCCAGACAGAATCACTGCAGACTCTTCATACTTAGGCTGACCTCACACTCAGTTATCAAAGTCACAGACAGATTTCCAAAAGGCAAAATAAACTCATTGGAATTTTGCTAAAGTTTGGATGTGCTCCTTTGACCTCAGTCATTTGGATGTTCGGTCCTCATGTTTAATATCACTGCAGGTCTCTAGTCCTCTCTTATGTAAATGGTGTTAGTCAATGACATGGTGCACCCTTTCCAGCACTGAACAGGATGCTGCAAACAAACAGGGTGAAAGAACGGGCAGAAACTGTTGGAATTGTGGCGAAAACAGGAAAACCTCTTTGATGTGACTTCCCACTTCTACCATGATAACATGGAGAAGCACAAATACTACTCTTTGTTGTTGGGCTGCGAGTCGACTGTACAGTTCAGCTGCATATTGATACCGTTAATCATGTAAATCTGGCTGAGCTGCGCCCTGCGAGTCTTTCCTTTTCTCTCAAACACACTCGTGTTGTGTGGGGCTGGGGTGTGGGGGTTACTTTGAAGAAGCAGTGTTTACAATTCATTAAAAACTGACTTAGCAGAGGGAGCTCTGCACGTCAGGTGCAGGGAGGAAAAATAATTTCAAAAGATTGTATTTGTAGTTTTGCGGTTGTTTGTCCTGCAAGATCCACAAAATCTTTAAAAAATATTTGGTCTGTGGATTTAAATCCAGGACTTGCTGACACACTAGACTCTGTCTTTTTTTCTATGTGCTGTACGATAAGCCTCCTACCAAATCATGCGCCAAATCCTGTTTATTACATCCAATAAAACGACAGTGAGGGAAATTACACTCATTTGTAATTAAGGATTAAAGCTCAGGGCCATGGTTTTGACAAAAAATAATTTTGCCTGCATAAATATGCCAAGGTTTGCTGTTCTTGTGCTTGTTTCTTCATAAAACATCAGCTAAACTTATTCTTTCGGCTGTCTTTTTTAATTTCCTCAATCATTCAAATCGTCACTTTGAAAAGATTAAATCAATTACATTCCTGTGGAAAAAAAAGCAAACCAAGAAAAAAAACCTTTCTCCCCCTTTTCTTCCCAAACAATGACCTTTGTGAGGATCCTGCCAACTCCAGGAGCGATCAGGCAGAGAGTGGTCCGGAGGGGCCGCCGTCTCGTTCTGTGCGCCTGCCAGAGTGCTGTTGCCCTTTTCGCCTACAATTGCACTTCCATTTCAAGCAACTGATTGTTGTAGCCGTGCCCAGGGGTCCTGTAGAAGAGACATTCAAAGCCGTGCCCTTCTGCTCATTTTATGGCCGACAGACCATGGCACCATTGGTCGGACCCTTGTGCCAACTAGAATTGGACAAAGCATCGCCATGACTCACATGTTAACACTTTTTTTTTTTTGAGCCGAGCAGACGAAAACTAAAGAACCAAAAACAAAGCTGGCATCAGCGTCTAAATACACAACAAGTTTTGTGATTGTTTTTTTTCCTGCTGGCACGGAGAGTCATTTCAGGAGAATAGCATAAATCTGGCTGAGCTAAGCTGACTCAGACCACAGCCTGATATATAGTAACATCTGTTTTTTAATATCTACCACTGTCTGTGTGCTTATCTAACCAAGACTGCAGAGAAGAGGAGGAGGGGGAGGGCGAAAGGTGCGGGGCAGCGCTTCAAGCCGTGAGAAAGAAAGAGAAAAACAATATTATGAAACAAACTGCATAATTACTGTGAAAAAAGCACAATTGGTTTCCATCCTTGTGGTTATCTCAAATAAAGTTAGACGCCAAGATTTACTCAGAGGATAGCCAGCGCCTCTGGAAGAGAGAAAAAAGGAGCAGCCCGACAGCTGCTTTTGCAAATACAGAGAGAGAAAGAGAGAGAGAGCTCTGTGGTAAAGTCATTGTCACTTTGAAGCCTTGTGCGTGTCTCCTGAAGTCTGTATAAAATGCTTGATTTTAATATAATCTCGAAACGCTTGTTACCCCTCCTGGTAAAGGACCTGATGTCCTAAGACACAGCACAGTGAGAGAGAAAGACAGGGACTGATAAAGCGAGGAAGAGCAAGTAGCAGATTAGCGTAGCAGAGAGCAAATCGGAGAGTGCCGTAAAAAGGAGGAAAGACGAGAGAAAAAAGAAAGTCGGAAGAGGAAGATAAAACTCAATAGAATATTCATGAACGTTGCCTCATATTCATTCATGCTCTGCTGCTGGTGATGATGGGACCTTGACACCAGAGTCCCTGCTTTGCGATAAGCGTGCTCTCACATGCTCCCGCCCACCCTGCAGCTCCCCCATGGCTGCAGCATCCTGGCCCCCTAATCCTAAACCTCGGTTTGGATCCCCGGCTACAGAGATCGAACTGTCTTCTTACCCAGAAGCCTCAGAGCGCCAGTACTTAGGCTACTGTGTGTAATATGATCAGGCTGGTGCAGAGCTCTTTGCCACTGTGGACAGCTTGCTGTGGAGATAATTAGACGGAAGGGAAGTCTTACATGACTGACTAGATCAGGGGGCATGAATGCAAAAAGAGAAAATGAAAAACAGCAACGTACAAAGGAAAAACTTGGAGAAACCCTGTGTGTTTAGCACAGCAGTCATCGTGGTGACAGAGAAACCTGAATTTGTAAGTTATAATTTTCTGTAACTGTGAAAAGTGAAGGACTTGTAAACAAAATAAAGGCGCCAGCTGCAAGCAGCAGAGCGCCGGCACCAGAGGAGGAAGGAAGGAAGGAAGGCTCGGGGAAGCATCGCTGACATTGACCCCATACAGAGTCAGAAAATGAAAAACAGGCCAATTCTGTGTCTCTGTGTCTGAATGGTTTTATATTTTGATAAACTAAATAGAAAATGGAAATCAAATTGATTTTGAAATTTGGCAGATGTGGTTTTGACCATGAAAAAGAATAACACCAAAAATGTTCAAAAATTAAATAAATCGTTTTTTTTATTTTTGGTGCTCACTGAAATGAAATTCCAATGACCAGAAGAGGAGTCTAGTTTTAGTCAAAGTTAAAGGTATTATCCAGGCATGAATTTTGCACGCCTCAAGTTACCTTGAACACAATTTACTCTAAAAAAAAAACCTAGACAATTTCCAGTTTCTTAGCCCTCACAACCTTGACCAAGACTTTAAAAAGTTTTTGTCTTGGGTTTAAAGTTTGCAGGTTAAAGTTGTTTTAATGAAAAAGGTCTCAGATTTTCTCTTTAAATTTTAAAACAAGAATTCATGTTTGTATGATAGTATGAATATAATCCAAAAACATTGGAAACACTTCTGAACATAACAGTAATTGGTGAGCACAAACAAACCAGATGATGGCACACACATGCTTCACTTGACCCTGCTGGTCTCGGCTCGGCAGTTCGCCCCGTAATGTAGCGCCGCCATTATCACCCCATTGGACTTTCATATCGAGCGTGTGAAGGTGTAAATTGGTGTCCCATAAAAGCTAAACTAACTCCTCATGATAATTTGGCGCCGCATGCATATTTATCCTTGAAGAGGCTGCTCTGTGGTATGCTGTATGCACCACATGTTTTTCTCCACTTGAACATATTTTCATTAGCAATGGTCCGCAGGGTGCCCTGGTTTTCTTCGACCTTTGACCGTCTTTACTTTCTGTAACTTCATGCAATTCAAAGTTTTCATATTCCTATCATCTGAAAACAGAAGTTAAAGTCAATTTTCAGCAAAAAGCGGTTTCAGCATTTTGACCCCTGCGCATTTTCTTTCTCCAGAGCTCCAGTGTGTACTAAGGCTGCCTCCATCCAACACGCAGGACTCAGAGGGTCATGCTGTGGTCTCAGCTACCGAGACGACCCCATTTCAGGGAGTCATCTCTGCAGTCGGGGTTATTTATTAATGAAAATCACGGCATAAAAATAAAGAAAGTGTACTGAGACGATCCTTCCTCTGTGCTGATGTAGCTGGTTTCATCAGAAGCACTTCATTGATGGTGGCCAGGTGCAGGTCCAGGCTGTGTAATGGAGGCGCTGCAGCGAATGGTACTCACAGGATAACACTGAGCAGTTCACAGCAAAGAGGTTCAAGGATACTCTGCAGCATACCTTTTTTACATTCAGCCTGATGTAAACTGCAAACTGTCAGCAAAAAGCTTTTGAAAGAGCGGCATAATTCAGGCACTGACAGAAGCAAAGCCGCACACACAGACTCACAAACACACACAGATGTACACAAAGAAGTTTAAGGAATTATCGAGCTGGGTACAAAACAGGAAATGCAGCTGTGTCTAAATATTATGGTCTATTATATTTGACAAATAATGAGAAACTCTGGCTGGGATGCTGAGACAACTCTTTCGGGGGCTTAAATGGGGAGCTGCATCTCCCCAGCGTTGTCTATTTAGTGTAATCCAGTCAGTTGCGTAACAACAACAAAATCCTTCAATTTGGCAACCTTGTAATTCCCATGCTCTTCTTCAGTGGTGTCCTTTTTTAGCCGGTATTGCTGGGAATAATGTAGCTACGTATTGAGCCATTTCACAACTCACAATTTGAGTCTGAGGCAAGAACTTTTTAGCTGTGTGTGTGATGAGGCAAAAATCACTGTGGAGGTGTTGTTGGATGGGCTTATAGTGCATCAGGCAGTCACATTACTAACTAATGTTGAGTCACTGCTTTCATAACTGCTTATAACACAATCATGTAGATATCAGAAGTTGGAATTTTGCCTGACGCCAACTGGATGTCAGCAGCTACATATTAGTCTGGTTTTAGTCAGCGTTACCGTTGGTCAGTTTTATGTTTGTTTTTATGTCGCGTTCACGCCGAACGTGAGTAAAGTCAATAGCGTGAGTAATTTTACGTGTAAAGTCAATGCAAAGACACGATTAGACGCAAATGACACTAATTTCCAAATGTGCAAATGACACCAATTGAGAGGCCTATTCACATGACTTGAGCAGGTCATGATGTGAATTTGTGTCCGATGCTCTACTTGCTTCCAACGATTATTCGCAAGAGTTAAGAATATCTCAACTAGGGGTGTCCCGCTACAACTTTTTGACTTCCAATATGATACCGATATCGTAGCCTTAAATATTGACCGATACCGATATTGTCCGATATTGGCATAAATTGTGCATTTCAAGTTTAGCACTTTGCTGCAATGTCTTTTTCAGACTTAAACAAAAAATACTACCACAAGGCTGTCATCCGACACAGGCAGTCCGTTACAGACTCTGTTCCTGCACTCCTATCTAGCAGCACTCTAGCATGCAAAGCCCACGTAATCCCCACCAACAGTGTGTACTAAGGTACTAACAAAGTAACAAGGAGTTGGAGTGATGTTGTATGGCAGTATTTTTCGTTGAAGTTCAAAAAAGACGTTGCAGCTGAGTGCAAAAGCAATACTGAAGGCTACAATATCGGTATCGTATCCGAAGTAAAAAGTTGTATCGGGACAGCCCTAATCTTAGCTGTACGATACAACTTCTCTGTAAAACCGAGACAGGACTAGAAAAAGATCTCAACTAGAGGAAAGAGAGTATGGTTGTCTGGTTATCTGGTAACTTATTTAAACTCAACAGATTTGACATCAACACAACAGTAAAGAAAGATATTCCTCCTGGTTGTAAACGGTGTAATAAAAAAAATCCCTCACTGCGTTTAATCGTCTTGGCTGGAAACATCTTTGTTACTTACACCTCCTCATGCCACAGAAAAAAAACTGAATGCCAGAATCTTGTTTTGAAAAGTGCAATAAGTCGCATCTAAAAAACAGAAATCCCCTCCCTACTGCGTTGAGCTGCATTTAATTGAATCCTGCTATTGTTTGCTGGATGACTTAAGGTCTGAATATGAGTCTAAAGAAATCATAAACCAGGTTTTGGAAGGAGAAAGTGGACCCTAAGGTAGCTCGGCTCTGTTCAAGTTAATGAGCAGTTAATGTAGCACAGTATCCTGATTGCCAACAGGTGTTATGTTGAGTTTTGTCGCCTTGTCAAAGATTGCTTCCGTAGTTCTGATCAATAGAGGCCTGATTCCACGAAGAAATCAGAGTTTAGTGAGCATAAACAGTTTTCTTTCTAATACGCTCTAGGCGTCAAATCTTCAAATGGCAATGAGAAACATGAACAGAAGCGGAGTTAGTTTGACAAAAATAAGGTTAAGTCTGCTTTTCCAACATGGCATCTGCTGTCAATAAGGCCAAAACTCCAACACAAGAACCACTGAGTGACGTTAATGAGGCGACGTCCCTGCTTCATACAGACTATGACATTTATGTGTCATCATTTCATGTATATCTACAGCCTGAGTAGCTGGTTGACACTTTTTTACTCACAGTTTGTTTGAGTCAGAATCCTTCCTCTTCCTCTCTGCAGCATTGAACACAAATATTGTAATACAGACGCAGGTGCCACCTGTGAAAAGGGTCTGAGTACACACTCTTCCAGTCAATGACATGTACATTTGGTTGGCTCCTCATAACAAGACACTATCCTATTCAGCATCACTCTCTTTCAGTCCCATTTTGTGCTTCGTCTGGCTTAAGCTTTCAGTTCCTCTTTCCTCTTTCCACTGCCTGCACCATTCACGCTGCCGCATGTACACGTGTAACCATGGTGACTGGCAAAAAGGAGCTGTATGGTGTCATTCAACTTTTGTGGATGACATGTAATTTGGAAATGTGCAAAGTTGGATGTTTGGAGGGATATTTTCGGCTTTGTGCTTCTTTTGGTGGTTGACCTCCAGTTTCGTATTTTATTGAATTGAAAGAAATACAAACCTCAGTTCCAGGGAAGCTTGGACGAAAACATGAATAAAAACAGAATACAATGATTTGAAAATCCTTTTCAGCCTTCATTCAACTGAATACACAACAAGGCCAAGTTGAATAATGTTCAAACTGATAAAAGACTGATTGTTTTTTTGTTGGAAGAAAAAAAAGCTGGGACAGGACCATGTTGCTCCTTTTAGCAATAATGGAGCCTTCATCGATGTGACAGTCGTCCAGACCATCACAGATGTTGGCTTTTGATCTTTGACCTGATAACAGTCTGGATGGTCCTTTCCCTCTTTAGCCCAGAGGACACCACATCTGTGACTTCCAAAAACAATCTGAAATGTAGGCTCCTCAGACCACTGTGGTCAGTCTATCTCAAAGATGCACCAATCCATTTTCTTCCCCGATCCGATCCGACATAGATACCTGGGCTGAGCTTATTGGCCGATATCCAATACCGATCCAATACTACTGTTGAATGAATGAACTGTATATCTTGCCCTGTCAGTGAAGGCATCAGGCTTTACATTAGCCTTGTTAAAAAATAAGGTAACAAATAAACACAGATATGAATTTACTTTGAATATTATTTATTAAAAAATTACCAATTGCACATTAGCACACAGCAAAAAGAAGTAAGACTTTCATTTAAACATTTAGTGCAAAAGGATAGACAGACATAGGCTACATTCACACTGCAGGATATGATGCACAATTAAGATTTTTTGTAAAATCTGATCTTTTTGTGCGGTCGTTCACATTACAACAATGAATACGCATCCAACATGAACGGAATAGGTCCGTGAAGTGACCCGCATGCGCACAAAACACAAATTGCTTTCCGCGCCTGTTTGTGTTGTCGAATAACGGTGACGTTTGTCGCATATTGATGACGTATAGGTCGGATGAACGCGACCTGAGCGTCAGTCATCAGATATCCAATCCAGTTAATTTGTCAATACCGGAGCTGATATCCAATCCAGATATCTGATCAGTGCATCCCTAGTCTATCTCAGATGAGCGCAGTGAAGCTGGCAGTGTAGAGATTCAAGTCTTGTAGATGTACAGATGAACTGCGTTAACTGACAATGGTTTTCTGAAGTGTTCCCGAGCCCACGTGGTAATATCTTTACAAAATCATGTTGGTTTCAATGCAATGCTACTTGAGGAGTTGAAGGTCATGGTCACTTGGCGCAGAGATTTCACCCAGTTGTTCACAGAGTGGTGAACCTTTATTGTGCATGATGTGTACAGGGATGCAGCTCTCTTACACTACACCCACTCGATGACCTTCAGTTTCCTAGAATTTACATCATTTCAATCATAATGAAGTTTCCTCTTTTTTTGTATCCCTTATTCATTAAACATTATTTGTCCACGTCAAGAAGTTTTCAAACTCCAGTACAGCAGCAATCCCATCTACTATTTACATCATAAACTTGGGTAAAAAGAAGTTATATGAGATGAAAGATTGACACCATCTGCTGCACTGATACAGCTGTGAACGTTTGCTTATCAGGTACCTGCAGAACTTCAGATTTAATGAGTAATATCTGTGCAGGTACTACTTATTTCTTTTATTACCATCTTGAGTTTCAGTCATTTTAGTGATATCCTTCAAAACCCGAGCATCTGAAGCTAAGAACATTTAGAGATCCTTTTATTTGGAGAACCAACACATTTTAAAAAAATACCTCAAAGCCGTGCCGGAGTCTTAAATCAAAGCAGTGCTCCTGCAGTGCTGATGTATCACATCTTAAAGTTTAGATGGATTTACTTTGTTCTTTGCTATTAAATCAACAAATCAATGTAGTCCAAGGCGTCTGCTGGATGCAAAGGTTCAAGAGGGCAGCCGTAGATGTAGTTATAAAAAATGGATATATACATTTATACAGTATTAAACAATTGAGGCCAAAGCACAGGACAGTTTGAACTGTTCTGACTCTTTGTTATTTAAAGTGCGCCTTACAGCCCATGCTTTTAACACCACACTTTTCCATAGCTTTGGCCATATTGCGTGCATAGTCTCTAAACATAGAGTGCACCCTCTCCACTGCCTCAGCATGGTTTCATAGTCTACACAGGTTGCTGTCTCTTTATGCAAGCTGGAGCTCTCCTGTACGTGCAGTAATGTCTTTTTCATGTTTCAGTCTTCATCCAGCCACTTGAGCTAAGCAGACTCACTGGACTAAAGTCACAAGTCCAAGTAACTGGTGAAACGTATGCCACTGACACTGATGTCTATCAGAGTGTGAGTGTGTGTGGAAACTATATTAGACAGGGTAGGAGGGAATATGTCTGTAAAGCAGGGGTGACTCAGGAGGACATACCATGATTCCAAGTGTGCTATGGCCGGGGCGAGGTTGATCATCAAGTGCAATACATTCAGAGATTTTGCCAATAATCGCTTTTGCCTTTGGACCGTCTCTGGCAAACTTTCTGCAGTTTTCAAGAGCCTTATGTATATGCATGATGGTACTCATCTTTTTCTCAGCGCTAATGCCAGCTGAGGCTACTGCTACTTTCTATTCCCTGACGAATTTTCAGGTGATTTGTATGTTGTTGTTTTTTTGTGTTAGAATCTGAAGAGCCTTTTTCTCCTGTGGGAATCACTGCAGCATGTTTCTTACTCTGCAACAGCATTATCCTCATCGGGAACGGCGTAACATTCTCACACCACTGACACCATGTTGACTCTTTTTGTCCGCTTGCTCGGCTGTATCACTCTGAAAAGACATTGTCCGGATGGTAAATTATGTTGCACTTTAACCTGTGTAAAATGCTCATATGAGCTGCATATGCCACGAACACTTCAGCATACATCATTGATGCCGGCTGTTGAATTGTGCAGTGGAGACCAGACAGGTCGCCCTTTTTCTGTATAGAGCAGAGGATGTGGTGTTCGTGTCTTTTAGAGATCCACTCTAATGAAAATCATGTTCTTCTTGTTGTCTACATGTTCATACAGCATTTTTCATTTTTTTTTTTTTGTGTTGTCTTGCTTTTTTTTATGATGGTTTATTTTTATTTATTTTTTTTTTTTACAGCATTTTTCTGACACTACAGGGCATATCATGAGAAAAATAAGTGCAAAATTGCATTTCTGAGTAAAGTGAGATAAGATTTTCTACGTAGAAAATCCAAGAAAATCCGCCCCTGGAGCCACGCTATGCAAGCCAGACTCAGAGAAATAGAAAGGACAATCCTGGAATAAGCATGTGCGGTAGCGTATTGCAATGCTCGTAAAAAAAACTAATTATGATACTCACTTTCATCACGCCCCCGAAGACATAAGTGTCCGTGAGCTGAATAGCTACTTCTACGACATCAGCGATGTTAGGCTGCAAGCTAATGTGAAGAGAAGCTTTGTCTCCATCCATGACTCAGAGGAGAATTGCTAATGATCTACTGGAGCTCTGCAGAAGAAAAGCCCTTGAAAATGACACACGTATCGCAATTTTGGCTTAAAACTTCATAATCACAATTAGAAGACCATTGAGAACACTTAAAGCAGTAAAGAAAAAGAAGATCAAAGTGGGACTTAGAAGTAATTTTCAGACCATGTGGTAATTTCTACAACAGTCATGTATGTTTTTAATCCCATGAGGCCTTATTTTTTCCTTTATTAGTTATTTGATGCAACAACATATGTGGCAGTGTGCATCAAGATAGCAGGAGTGAGGAGAAGGGTTGATATCATCGCACAGGTAACCAATCATGAAGTCCTCACCAGCACAGACAGGAGTTAAAGTTTCATATTCATCCTGTGTATCTAAACCTCATTTCATGGCAATCTATGTGATAGTTGTAGACACCATCACCTAAAATCAATCTCCTTTAAGATCTGTATTCATTACAGCTGCTGCTCACAGTGTGGGTAATGCCATTATCTTCTCCCCTTGAAGAAGGCACCATGTTTTCAAGAAATACACTCAACATTTCATTCTCCACTCAGCATGTGGCGTCAATATTGGGGTCTAGAAGAGTGATAACTATAATTGTCAAGTGACTTAATGCTGATTAGAAAAGGGTTCAGTTGAGATTACAGCACAGAGATAATCAATCTGAGATCATGGAGATTGACATCCAACATGAAGCTGAACCTTCAATACATCGGTTTATCAATATCCCAGATATGTAAGCTTCACCGTATTGCGCTGTGCCTCTGATAACATCCACTTCATATCATTTCCCTGCATTGACGCCCATCATGCATCAGGCTCTTTGTCTCATTTTATGATCTATCTCCAACCAGATCCATCCTTTCACTCATCATCTGTCTTCAGTGAAGATCATGAGACAGCTGGAAAACAAGCCCTTTGCCGTAGCTACCGATTGAAGTGGCATCAAAGTCTGAGCCCTTTGCTTTCAGTACATCACGTCTGCTCATGTGCGTGTTGTGTATTTAATAACAACCTTCCTGCTCACTCTCAGATGCTAAAGGGTTATTTATCACCAGGATCATCGTTCAGGGATATGATCGCAAAGTCCAACCCAATTAACGTCTGCTTTTAAACTTTACCAAAAGTTGCCAGCTACTTTGTATTCACAGTTTATTCATTATATAGATAGAGCAGTTTGAAAACACTCTTCTTTTAATTGTTTCTGTTTGATTCTGAGGCCAGTAATTAAAAGAGAAACAGACAGAGGGGAGATAAATCCAGAGTTAAACTGCCAAAGTGATCTTCAAAGTGCCCAAACAAGGAGTGGAAGCAATGACTAGCACACAAATTCAAGCTTTTCTTTATTTTATTTGTTCCAAACTGCAGAAGCCAGGATGAAATTTATGCACATAATTCTATATTCATGTGAATGGAAACATTATGGAGAAAGTATTTCACCCAGACTGAATACTTGTCAAAAGAGCAACAAAGCAACGACGCAGAATCTGTTCTTCTTTCCCCCAGCAGCCTGGAAATAACCCATCATCAAGACTTTTCCGTGGGGATGGCAGAGCTTGATGCAGCCTCTGATCACACAAACACTGAAAACACTGAAGCTGTACATGCACTGCTGTAAGCATGGTGGGGAAAATGAAATATCTACCACAAGTGATTTTTTAAAATAATCTTTAAATAGATAAACTGACACAAAATACTCAATTACCCCTTAATCCTCGCTGTATAACCAAATAATCCTGAAAAGGTGTCAATGAGATGTTGGAAATGGTTGGAATATAAAATAAAAGCACATTGAGTTCAGACCGAAGTAATCGTATCAGTTTAGTGTTATCCATCCCATTAAAAGTGTAATTTAAACACCTTTTATATATAATTGCTGCTGTAACCTCATATTTAACGGTAATAAGTCAGGCACCATTTTCCATGTGACGAATAGATAACCACATTCACAGAGCTACAATATCCTGTTACACATATTTCTGCCCCCAACATCAAAGCAGCATTATCTCTGCATTGACCCGCAGGACGACCTGCTCTTTTGACGGGTTAGGCTGCAAAAGTGCTGAGTGGCTGCTTCCTACAAATGGGATTTCCTTATCGCTCGTCTGAGAGTCCTCTGTCACCAGCAATAGATGACTCTCTCCATTTCGCCTTGTTATTCATTTCCGGGTGTTCTTTTTTACCCCTCACCCTCTTCCTCCCTGACAGCTCAGAAAGATAAAACAGTGAGCCAGTTGTTGGCTGAAGTGCAGGGGCGTGCCCGGCCACTTTAGAGCAGGGTGGCCCACCTGGGGTACAATTCATACAGGTGAGGTAAGGGAATGTGTAGAAGGCAAGCAGCAATCTCTGGATCTTTTAAAAAGTGCAGTACCTTGAGGGTCCACTTGAGACACTCAAAGCGAAATACACATCTATTTAAAAAAAGCCAACACCAACAACAGTAATAAATAGAGGTGGGAGAATAATCGATTAATATAAGTATCGCGATTTTTTGTTTTACAATTTTTAAATGTTCAAAAGTCGATTTTTTTTTTAAGAATAAATCTAAAAAACTGACTTGCATATGATGTGTAATTTTTCCGGGAAATATGGTTCCGAGAATAGTGAGTAGACAATCACAATCATTCAGCTGTTACACTGGTGTTAAAAATGCAGACTAAAAATCAAGAAAATCGACAAGATCGTAGAATCGCAATTCAAATTGAATTGACATCCAAAAAAATCGTAGAAGAATCGAATCGGGAGAAATGCATATCGTCCCAGCCCTAGTAATAAACATGTTTACAGCCTGGTTCATTTCTGTACATACTTAACAGGGGATTAACTTTTTTTATGAGTTATTGATTATGAAGACATTAAGATTGACGTAATTTTTTTTTCTCATGTTCAAATTTATGATTTGAACTCTTTGGAGAAGTAAGTGCTTGATGAATGACTGCCATGACTTTATGTTGAGCTAGGGTTTGGTTTTTTGGTAGGGTGATCATATGTCCTCTTTTACTCGGACACGTCCTCTTTTTTGAGGACTGTCCAGCCTTGCCCAAATTTGTCTGGGGGAGTTTATAAAATCCTTCAAATGTCCGGGATTTTGTATGGAAGTTTTGAGTTTGTGTCGCCCCTGCTTAGTCATGTCCTCTTATTTTAGTCAAAGTGTTTTACTGCTGGTACACCTGCACTTACAGAACTCAAACACAACAGTCAAAAAAATGGTTAGGAAGTACAAATACTCAATAGATTAGTAATCTGAAGAAGCACCGACTTTATTGTTGTTGTCACAATAAATCTGAATGGCTGGATCATCTCTCAGAGGGCTATCACAGCTTATAACTCACTAGCAGTCTCCTACTCCTTCTTTGTCTCTCCTCTGCTCATAGTGTGTGGCAACCATTTTTCTCAAAAGAAAGAAGAAGTATCCTGATATATAGCAGCAGTCCTTCTTGCCAGGCTCAGAACTCTGTATCAAAAACCAATGGGTGACCTCACTGAGACTTCTCCCATGTTTTATTCAGTCTATGGTAGCCTCCTACTTGTTTCTCCACTGTGAATATAAGCGGGTTTGATATCCGCCCACTGTTGGTTTAGTTGGTCTGTTGGTTTTCTGGAGCCGGAGGGAATCGTGTTTAGATCAATGAGTAGTACAGGGGACAAGCAAAAGATTGGAAAACACCAATTTTAAAAGTAATCAATGAACACCCAGGGTCAATTCATCAGCAAGGAAATTGAGCTTAGGTAACCAACATGCTCCCACTGGAGTGAGACTCCGCTGCTGTGCTGGTGGCTGACCATAGTGGTTCATTTTTTATATTACAGAAGATAAGAGAGTTAATTAAATTTCACAGACGAACTCGGCCAATACATCTACAAGAGAGTGCTGGGTTAGATGAGAGGTTGATCTTTAATAAATCTGTTTCACTAATACAGGAGTTATTGACATTTCCATAGCTTAGAATCTTCACATGAATGTATTCTGTGGCTTAATCTGTGAGTGCAACATCAGCATCGTCATGTGTTTTGGCTGCATCAGCACAATATGTCAGTGCCCGTTTGAGGCAATCTTTTGGCTGCCCATCTCATAATGTGTAGACACGGCAGTATTTATCTCAGGAGGGGCCATGCCACCCCATGCCATCCCCTGTATGCGCCCATGCCTGAGTGCAAATGAGGGTTTCAAATTCAGAACTGCACCGTGCTTTCCTTCCAGATCTTCAGAGGCTTTGGAGACAGAAATGAGGATTGCAGATAGCATCCAAATTCGATTTTATAATTAAAAATTCAAAGAGGCATTCAATTATTTAACATGCAAATTAGGAAGATAATTTGGCATTTTTTAATTCAAAAAGAGCCTCTGCAGTGTTATCAGCCTCACTGATTTATGCTTGTATGCTAATCTGCTGTGTTTATAATCCAACATTTGCAAGAATTATGCTTATCAACCACACACTGCTATTGGCTTCAGTGTGGTGGTCTGCTGGAGGAGCGTCTGGGACCTGTGCCAGCCCAGCACCATGTCATTATCTCCAGTTATACAAATGCTGGGAAAGCGGTGAGAAATGGGCAATGCGTTGCAACAGTTGTAAATGACGGGGGAAGTCAGGACATGCTCTGCACAAACACCAGTAGCCGGCAACACGAGCACGGATTGATGGCAGCGCAAGCTGTTGGAAATGCCCATTTTTCTTTCTCGGAGCTCAGCCTTTTCTGTCAACTCCGACACATTTGCATTTCCCATCCATCTGTTTTGGGAAAACTTGCCTGGAAAAGAGGGAAATGAATGGAAGGAACAATGGTTTCGAGATTAAATTTTTCATACCGGGCCACTGACGTATTGATGGAAAAAAGGATATGTCCTTATATTTGATGGACGAACGTTGATAGTCCAGATATTTCTTCTGTTGTGTTCGAAGTTCCTGGGCAAGGTCATTAGCAAGTCATTACAACCTCCCCTTCGCTCATTTCTCACCTCTTTAATGATGCGTGTACACACCTGCCACCAGACAGAGTGAGATGAGTGAAAAATCATCCGTCTCTTTCCTGACCTCCTCCCATGCTCTCGCTCTTTTAAGTCCTCGTCTCCACCCCTCTATTAACACCGCCTTTCCTCTCCTTTCTGCTCTGTAATGTTGACTAGGTCGGTGCAATATCTTTCCTCTCCTCCTTGACATTGATTCTGGTGATTTAAATCCTCTGACTGGTGACACAAATTACCTGTAATTTACAGCCTGCCCCTTCATTTCACTCATAATATGCTCCAGTGAGGATTCAATGTTCCCTCTGTGTCTCTCCCTTGTTTTTTTTCCTCCTCTGTTCTCTGCTCTTTGTTCTCCTCTTTCTCTTTTTCAGTCTCCTTGCACTCACACCTTTACTGCATTAGGATTTATAGTCCGGGCTGTTCTGTGTAGCAAAGAGAAAAGCCTATGCAAGCACGCAGTGAACTCCGATAAAGTCTAACGCCCTTCTTTTGAATGGGCGCTGGGATGTAAAGCTGAAAATGAAGTCTGACTCATACTACCAGAGTAGACAAAAGCTGAATCCATCAATACTGAGCTTTTCTATTGTTTGCATGCATCTAAAGGAAGGCCTTTCTTCCTGTATAATCATGAGTATTTTTTGAGCTTACCCTGAATCGATCAGTTTTTAACTTCAACCGATAGAGAAAGAAAGGAGATATTTCATCTGGAGACATGTAAGGATTCTGTCAAGTCCAAGGGGATTGGGTTTCTCAAACACTGTAACTGTCATTTCCCGTAAAGTTGAAAGGAATTCATTGGTTGGCTCAAACTGTGACAGCATGAATCCTGTCTTTTGTTTCCCTCCCTCAAGGTGAAGTCATCACAAAGCATCACATCAGACATGTTTTTTTTCTCTTTAGACTTCAGGCTTGATCAGAAAATGGAAAAAAAGAAGAGGGCTGGACTGTGTCACAAAGCAGTGAGTGGAAAATGTCCTTTGTCATTTAAGTGTCTGCAGGTAGAAGCCTTGCAGATATGGCACTTCAAGAATGGAGCTTCCAATCACCTCTGAAATGGAATTAGGGAGCGCTTCACGGCTCGCTGGCATTTGAGCGCTTTCAGCAATACGCTGTGAAGGGGAGGACGCTTAGACAGCTAAGAAATGATACAGACACCCGGACTATGGGCGCAGGGAAGCTGAAGAATGCACGTCAAGTATTTCTGCTGCCCTTTCTTTGTATGTTAGGGTTGGCTCAGGCAGAAGGAGTTTTAAAATACAATTAAAAAAATAGGCTGCAACATGCATATAAAGATGAACTCCAATTAAACGATAACGATATATATAGAAAATTAATGTCCCTCAATATCAATTGAAAACACGGATAGTATCCTTTCTGACAGTCTGCATTCTGCCATGTTTTGGTAGGCTGTACGAATAGCCAATGAAAAGGGGAGTTGCTCCAGTTCTGCTTTGTGCTGAACCAATCATGTGCTGAATTAGAACCAAGTAGCAAACAACTGAATAGTAGCAGGCAGCAGCTACATGCAACCATAGCATTTTAACACAGCACTGTTGGTAGGAAAAGAAGAACATGAGTGCTACCCCCCAACAGATGACAACACCGTCGACAACACTGGCACGAAAACGTCGGTGGTGTGGAGATATTTTGTTTTTTTTAAGGTCGGACATGAAGCAGAGTCATGTGCAATGCAAATTATGTCGAGTACATGTTCTCACAAAGTCTGGGAATACCTCAAATCTTTTTCACCACCTGAAGCAGTGCCACGCGGCAGAGCACGCACAATGCAAAAGGTTACAAACCGTAAGCGGATCAAGGAGCCCATGGCGCCTGTGCAGTCGAAACAGCCGACCATTCAATCCGCTTTCTCAAGTGCAATGCCTTACGACAAAACGCCAAAGAGACACAAAGACCTCACAGATGCATTAGCTTATTGTATTAAAAAAGACATGTCACCAATAAGCACCGTTACATTTCATTTTTTATATCCTGATATATCGATGGATATGAAAACAATATATCATGATATACTTTTTCCCGTATCGTCCAGCCCTACTCCAAGGGTATATATCCTTTTTATTTTGGATCCAAAACAGTGCGGTATATTTTAAAGTAGCAGCACAGAGATTCTCACTGAAATACTTCCCATTTTTGAAGACTTGGTCAACAAACATTGTACGGCTTGAAGAACTGAAGGTGAAATGTGTCCTTTAGTTTCCAACAATGAGTTAACAAGGTCTGCATGTACCTTCCGTCTTTTGTGCCATTGAGGTCTGGATAAGGAAGTTTTCGCTCTGTTATAAAAAAGAAAAAAAATCCAAATATCAAACATCAAATCTTTTTAATAATAGCCGCTCTGGCTCTGGTGAGTCACTGCTGAGCTATGACATGGATAAGATTTTTCACTTGATTGTTCAAATGTGGTGCAAATCAGCCAAAAACTCCTGAAATGTGAGTCAGCCTTACATTCCTCTCTGCCTGAGGTCTCCTGCTCTAGTCAGTCTATTTTTCTTCTTCGTCTTCATGTCTTGGCAATTTTCTCTTTTCTTCCAGATTGCAGTATATCTGACTTGGATTGTGATTGAGACCTTATGAACTTCAAAGTTACAGTGTCGATAGCACGGGGAGGGATGTGAATACAGATAACTTGGAGAAGTAACTTCTGTGATGGAGTGTATAGATCTGTTTGCCCGGGTGACCATCGTCAAGTCTGTGAGAAAACTTTTCTAGCTCCAAAACATTTGAGTAATGATATATTTTCGAAATGTCTCTCCGTGTTTCTTTGACTGACTGCAAACTACAAAAGTTCTCAAGGCACCGGCTCTCTGACCTTTTAGTACTGATCAAAGGAAACCGCCTCTACTCAGAGAGTCAGGGAGGACCCATGGAAAGATGGGCAGATGATAAGGGGAAAGGGCTCGGGTGAAAAAAAGCTCTCCACCTGTAACACAAACCTTAAAGGGATAGTCTAAGTGGAGTTGATGGTGAATGTATCATCCACAGAAGATCCTGGTCAGCCTGGCCCCTTTGTTAAGAAACCATAATGGAGACGGGTTCGACTTAACCGTGTTCAGCTAAGTTAAAGCTCCTGTGGGGAGTTTTTGATATCAATGAAATGGATTCAGATAAGTACTGACGCCTTTTTATGGCACACAAAAGCAAACAAGATCATCAGAGACAAGACTGTAGATTTTTATGCTCCAGTTTTGAACATCTGAAAGTGGTTCATGAAGTGGAGAAAAAGTCAATTTTTCACTTCTTTAACATTAAATACTCAAGAATTCGACTGTCAGACATGAGATTTCTTTTAGGTAGAAGACACAACTTAAGAGCTCAAAGAGGGCAAGATAAGCAAAGACTCCACAGGGGTGCACCAAAATTGACACTAAAAAGAAAATTCCTCACTGGATTTTTAAAGATGGCTTAACTCAAACTAAAGGTGTTAGCTGTATTTAAGAAGATTTCAGCTGAGAAATTCAGTTAAAGGGCCTGTGTTATTCCCTTGGTGTGTCAATTGACCCATCAGTCTTTATTTATACAGAGCCAATTCAAAGACCTACTCCCATCCCATCTTCACAACCTTCATTTAATAGGCAGAAACCCTGAGCAGAACCAGAAACATGTTAGATGGAAAGCAGGCAGGTCCATGTCTGTAGCAGTGAATCAGAGGAATCGATGACATGATGGAGCTCAGGGACTCCCAGAAAAGACTGCAGTTGTGGCATTTATGAAACATGATGACTCAAAGTTAAAGGCGTAAATGTTCTTCCTTGAGCTTAGCAAAAGTTACCATGTGATCTACCATCGTATTACACAAAAAGGTTACAGAGGCTCCCTAATTTTGCTGGAAAATTCCACGAAAAACAACTCCAGGAGGCTTTCATAAAATCACATCGGAGACTCTTCTCAGCAGAGAGGGATTTGTAGTAAACAGAACGCTTGACATTTCTATTTTCATTTTGAGTTGACCTCTAATTTCTTACCGAAAAACAGAATGAAAAGGGAGACGATTCTGTGTTGCTTGGATTTGTATTCAGTCAGCGCAGACCTTTTATAAGACAATAGTCGTACTTTGTAAGCAACATAAAACAGAAAACATTTCTCCCATTAAAGTCTCAGGGTGATATTTTATTTGCCGTAGTAATTTTTTCAATCTTTAGTCTTTTCTTTTGACTGGTCGTATCTACCTGTAGGATCTGTTTTGCTCTTAATAAGATTGATTTGATGTGCAGTTAGACGCATTAAAGTGATGGAACGTCTCAAATCGATAGTTGGCAGTCCTGCACTTTCATTGCACTTAAATTACGGCGGCAATACTACCGCTTAAGGTTTCACCTTTAACGTCTTACGACTCCAATAGATTTCAGGTGTAAAAGTACTTGATTGAATTGCTGATGCTTTGAGTGAGTGTGTTGGTGTGTGTTTTATGTGTGTGGGGGTTTTCCTGCAGTGTGTGTGTGTCTGTTTGTGTGTGTGTGTTTGTGCTTCAAGTAAAAAGAAAATGATAGTGCTGGCATGTTTATTGTTATGTGAAACCTTAACAGCACACACGGACACACACACATCTATACACAACTTTAATCTCCCTTGAGCAGTTTGTACTCGCCTGATATTGTGATGCATTACAAGCAGCAATCAATCCATGAAGAGTCTGAGCCGGCTTCAGCACCAAAGGGATTTCAGTGACTCTCCAGTTGAGGGTTTAGTATTCAACTGCTGTGGCTTCTATGTATCAAGGTTGTGATAGTTTGGGATTTTTCATTATAGTTTTGTTTCATTACATTTGGACTTTTTATTCCTCTAATTCAGCTAGTTTTAATTAGTTTTTAGAGCGGGTTCGTTCATTTAAATTTTTTTTTTTCTAAATGATTAGTTTTAGTTTAGTTTTTGTGTTATATATGTTTATATTTATGTATATATATATGTATATATTTATACATATATATGAATATATATGAATATATTTATACATATATATGAATATTTATACATATATATGAATTTATATATGTATATATATATATATTTTTTTTTTTCTTTTCACTTTATTGTTCATTGAAAAAATATAAACATATATTGAAAAAAGGATTAAAAAAATAGAACTAATACAAAAACTAAACTAAAACTAATCATTTAGAAAAAGATAAAAATAAAAATGAACAAACCCGCTGTATCTAAAGAAATTTTATATAAGACTCTGTCGCTTTCTCCCAAGTTTTGTCACCATTTTGCCAGGTAGAATGGTGATGAGAAACCGACTCTAAACAAGAAGTGAACTGTGAGGTGCTGCTAGCTCACGTAAAATTGCTCGTGCAAAATAAATCAATATCATATCAATTCGAAATTGATGAAAACGAAGGGATTTCTAGCTATAATTTTAACACGTTTTAGTTCGTGTTGTAAACACACAATTCAGTTTTAATAAGTTATTGTTTTTTCTTTTAATTATAGTTTTAATATATTTCAGTTAACAGTTTCAGTTTTAATTAACAATGATAACTTTGCTTTGAATATATATATATATATGTTTGTATATATATATATATATATATATATATATGTATATTCTTCATGATGAGCCATAACACCATTTTTCAAATCATACTTCCACCAAACACAGTTTCTTTAAAAGCAGCCGATCTGGATGGTAAAGTGAAGCCCCCTTCATGTCATCATTTACTTGACTTTTATGGTTTGTTGTTTTTTTTTTTGTTTTTTTTTTGCAGATCTATTCTATCCTCATTCCTCCAGTGAAGCAGTGATCCTCTTCAAAGTTGATTTTCCCCAACTTTCTGCTCCTCTTACTTCTCTTCACCTTGTCCCTGACTGACTCTGCGGGGAGATTTCACCGATTCTCACAGGTAGGGCATTAGGCAATCTGTCGGGAGGACTTAATCAGTGGTGAGAGGGTGAGTGGAGAACAAGTGAGAGTCCAATGTCAGGGAGGGGGACTTTGCAGACATTGCTGCTGCAGATGCAAAGTGTTGTGAAGAATGCAATAGAGCTGGAGATGGTGACTCTGTGGATAAATCATAGTTTGAATTCTGCTGAAAGAGCTTCTACTTCTATCCCTGCAAAACCAGCAGGACTAAATTAAGTAATGGGGTTTGGATTGGGGAGGGGGGGCCAGAATGGACGTCATCGACAGGACTGCATCAGCAGAGAAAGAGAGAGAAGGTTCGGGTAATGATGGCTGCATGGCACACCTGCATGGATGTAATTGGATGTGACCTGTCAGCTGTCGGAAATGAAGGTGTTTGAACAGCATGAATAAAACAGCAAACAGAAATCAGCTAATTATCAGCAGCTATATTTACATGGAGCATAATATTCAGATAATAAATGGTTTAAAAGCACTAATGGAATATAAATGATTCATATAAATCATATAAACACCTCAGTCAGAATTAAACAGACTCAAGTGAGGCAGATTAAAGATTTCATCTAAACATGTTTCTGATGTTCTTTTCTCTGCATGCTGAAAATCTTAATACACTGTTTATAGTTAGTAACAGAAGGATCTTCTCCATTTTCAGAGGAATAGCTCTAAATTTGGGCTGAATGATGATTAAAAAGTCTGTTTTCAGTGGAGACACTCGAGGGGCTTTAAGTTCCTCAAAGAAACATACTGTCTGTGTTGATTTTAGCGCCCCCCAATGGACAAACCAGTGATCCTTATTGTCTCATTCTCATCAAATTGGCACTAACTGACAAAAATGTCCTCTTCTGTCTTTTTGGGATGAAATGTAATCAGTTTGACTTTTTACTATGGAAAAAAGAAAATATAATTTATCCGGTGTACCTACCCTCTCCCAACAACAAAATAGAAATGTCAGTTTTATGACCAATGGTCTCATTTGTGTTTGGACATCACAGAGTCACACCACTATTTATTTTATTTAATTCCATTACCCATCAAAAACTCCTTACAATAGCTTTAATATAATAAAACACTTAGATGGTAGGAAAGTAAGCAATATTGACTGTTCAAGGAGGTCCACAACAAACTGCATGGAGCAAGGATGGACTGTGAGGTGGAGGAATTATCGAATAATGTTAAAAGAGGAGGAATAAGATCTCTTTTGGATTTGTCACACTGCTACTCTGATTTCATGCTATGTAAATATGCATAAATCAGCATGATACGATCTAACTGCTATGTCTCAAAGCTGAAGATGTGTAGGTTTGTCTTGACTTTGAGGAGCTGTTGTGCCATGCAGTAATATCTACTTTCAATCCTCATATTTGTGAGTCAGCTGCTCCTCTGTAGTTCTACTGCAGCTTTTATACTAACTGTGGAATCAGCAGTCAGACCAGTGGATACCTCAGTTATCATATACGCTTGTTAAAAGAGCAGTTCACTCTTAGTATCGGGCTACTTTAAATTTCCATATCCATTCTGGAGAAGCACAGACTGTTGTGTCAGGGTTTCTGTTGTCAGGAAGGTGAATGTCTCTGCTAGACTGTTGAATTTCATAATAGCTGTTCAATCTATTCGTGATGTCAAATCCTGTAAATAGTATCACCCGAGGTTCTTAAGTTTTCATTTGAACCTCTGAAACACATACAGGACACTTATAAAAGTAAGACAGAGCGGGGCCTAGTGTGGAGGGTGTCAAGTATATAAGCAGAGGATGGCATTTAGACGATGCTGTCACCAATCCTCCAAATAATGTGTCTCTAAATTTTTCAGTCCCCTCATTTGTATTATAATTGGAGTTAAAAAGAAATCAATTATTAACATGTTTATCAAGTTAACCTTATCTAAAATGTCTGAACTGATAAATATCAGTCTCCCCAGATTCACTTTCCTAAAGCTATGGCTGTGCTGCCCGTATGAATACAATTATAACCTTGCTTTATTCAACCCTTTTTCAATGCACCCAAAATGTGAAAAAGAAACAGTTTGAGCTGCTGAATAATGATGAGTGAGAAAGTATATTACAATAATACAGACACTCAGAAGCAAGAATTTTAACATGTTGGAGAAGATATCTCATCATTAACACCAACCAGCTGTAAATATATAGATGATATAGATCTAAAAATACACAGAGACTGAAAAACACTGCAAGAGAAAATGCTGCAGATCATGGCATGCCAATGGAAGCGCTCCAGGCTCCCCTGGGTGCTCGGTGGAATAAGTTTATTATTGATGGAAGAGAGTGGAGAAGAAACTGCATTTTCCTGAGTAAACTTTATCTAAACTTGACAAGAAAATCAATTAGTTGTCAAAATGAGAAAGCGGCATTGTATACTGAGAAAGTATTATTGAAATTAAAGCAGCTGCCGGGCCAATTGAGCTTCGCAGTTAAAGCATGCTGTCTACACAGAGCCTGACAGCTGGGAGCAAGAGCTTCACTACCAACCAGTTATCATGTTTTTCAAATCAGTAGCTGAGATGTTGCTATGGTGGGAAGACGTGGATAGAAGGATTTTAGCAATTTGGACCTTGTTTCTTTTTGCTTTTTGCACTTTTTTTTACCACTGCTTCATGTTTTCATTGTTCATGTGTTAACAAAACTTCATCATTTCTGTTTTTTGCATGTTTCTTGATTTGTCTGATCAGCTTCTGTTCCATATCCCTATAAGTAACAAAATATAATCAGCCTCAAACTCATTGTCTGTTGTACAAATAGACCCTTTTCACAGTACGCAGAAGTTAGCATTCTGCTCACTTCCGGTGTTAGCATGTGGTGGAGCCACTTAGCATCGCCCATTGACGGCCATTCATTTTTCACGATATTAACGAGCTCACGACCAGTTTTTTTGAAAGGTAGAGTAGAATTTTATGCTTTGTGCTGTTTTACTAACTCCTGTTCTTTATAATACTGTCCAGATTTTGTACTTTACTTTTCGGGAATTATGTTTAATAGGTCTGGAAATGTGCGCTCGATGTACAGTACACACGTAGGCTAAAATAATAAGTTGTAAGGACTTGTTTCCCGTCTGCTCCTAAATATCCTTGCGTCTATCATGTCATATTACACATAAATGACAACAGTTCTAGTTTAAAAACAAAACAGACTCCCTGACATGGCCACTTTATGGTTTATGAGAAGCTATGAACTTCTACAGCAGAACAGAGCACAGCCGAAGCACAGGCTTTAGCGTCAATTTGTAGCGCACATTTCCAGACCTATTAAACATAATTCCCGAAAAGTAAAGTACAAAATCCGGACGGTATTATGAAGAACAGCAGATAGTAAAACAGCGCAAAGCAAAAAATTTTACTTTACCCTCCAAAAAAACGAGTCGTGAGCTTGTTTATATTGTGAAAAATGAATGGCCGTCTATGGGCGATGCTAAGTGGCTCCACCACATGCTAACACTGGAAGTGAGCAGAATGCTAACTATCGTGTACTGTGAAAAAGGTCTATAGGCTTTTGTTTGTAGTCTGATGTCTAATACAGTAAGCTTTTGATATCCGTTTGCTGAACTATAATGTTTATCTCAGTTAGCAGCATGATGGTTCAACATCATTGTCATGGTTAGCCTGTTAAAAAGATGATGCCAGCTTAAGTAAGATTATTTTGATACTCTCTGAAGAAAGTTAACAGAAAGAAATGAAATGAAATTCCCGTCTACCTGATCGAGGCCGTCAGAGTATTGCTAAATTAAGGATTCCTCAGATACGCTCACTACAAACGCACTGCATGCTCTCATTGAATTTCAAAGGACCTTTTTTTAAGTCACGCACTGATGTCTAATCCAGAGTGACAGATGTAGATCACAGTTGGTGCAGCAAAATGGCCCTCTCTGCTTCCTGGGCTCCAGGATTTTCTGATGGATGGCATGATGGGTTTCCATTTTTTTGAGCTGGGACATCAGGGTTCAGAGAGTGACAAGTTTGCACACGCAATTTATCATTCGCTATTTGGGATTTTAGCAGACCGGGCCCATAGTCTCTTAATCAGAGTGACATTACAACAGTGTATGTGTGGTTTCCTAGTAACAAAGCCTGATGAATACCACAAAGTCCTGCATACTCCCTGCAACCCTGCACATGCCTGAAATGAATGTATTTGCTTATAAGACCTTGAAATTCCTGGTGTTTATTTCGGGTCTCTAGAGGCTTGTACTCTTTAATGTCTTGCTTGTTGAACAAGGTATTTCCATGGTATCAAAAAAGCATTTATTTGCTTTTGTAGGAATGCTCTGTACACGATGCAATTATCTATGCATAATTACCTCCCGCGATTTGATGGATTTCACAGCTTGGATTTTGCAGCGTGTGGGCTAATGGAAACCGACAAGAACAATTCCTCTTCATTAGACCGCTCCAACATCCTCATTGACACAAGAGGCCCACGTTCGCACAAAAAAAAATAACATGAACCAAGACTAATACCATATGCATTCCTTCCCTGTCTGCAATCTTCATTAACATTGACAGTACCATAGAGCAGAGACACCTTTTTTCTAACATGGAAGTATATGTTCAAAAGAGGGAATTCCAGACCTACATCACAGGGACAGATGTTGGCCAGCAGCAGCTTCTTTAATCAGATCACAGCGAAGCATATTTGCCAAACTGTTTCATCAGTGATACACACTGGCAGAGCTGTTACGGATGCGTCTGTGAGGCTTGCAGCTGTGGGTGCGAAGCCCTCCAACGACGACGAGCGATACTCAGAACTCTTTAGCGGAGAAAATTAGCCGCCTCTTGGAGATGTTGTCGATTGAAGCATTGTGGCACAATGGAACAGATTTATGTTTGTTGAATGTGTAAAACCGCAAGGGATGCATATAATAAGTGCTAAATGTTGTCTTTGTCTTTAAATATATCGTTTTTAGAAGAGATGCGCCGATCCAATCTAATACCGATACCTGGGCTGAGCGTATCGGTCGATATCTGATACCGATCCAATACTACTGTTGAATGATTGAACTGTATATCTTGCCCTGTGAGTGAAGGCATCAGGCTTGTCATTAGCTTTGTTAAAAAAAGAGGGTAACAAATTAACACAGATATGAATTTACTTGATATTATTTATTAACAAATTGCACATTAACACACACCAAAACTAGTAGTAGTAGTAGTTTATTTGTCCCATAGGAAAATTGAATTGCAGCAGATCACACATTTGGCATTTCATCTAGAACAGTACTTCCTAAGTCTCACCTTTAGCCTGATTAGACCAGCTGAGCAGGCTATAGGTGACTAACTATGGCTATGTGGTATTTAGGCATTTAATGGCCTGCGGCACAAAAGAAAATTTAGCTCTGTTTTTAGTAAACAGAGGGGGCGATATCGTCACCCAGAAGGCAGGAGGTTAAAAGAGTGGGGATGTAAGACTTCCATGTAAACATTTAGTGCAAAAGGATAGACAGACATAGAATATAGAGTGAACTGAATCGCTGTGTTGCTGTGTGTGATATTAAATAAAAGGAAAAAAAAGACATTCATCAGATATCCGATCCACGTAATTTGTCAATATCGGAGCCGATTTCCAATCCAAATATCAGATCGCTGCAGCCCTAGTAAAGATTTTTTTTTTTTTTTACAGCAAAAGGTGTTAGGGGAAATATTGTATGTGTGCATGTATAGATCAGGATGTGATACCAAACAGACATGTTTCTATAGGATCACCTCTGTCTCCTTTTTTTATAGAGTTCATCCCTGTATGTTTGACCTGCTACAGGTACAATCAACAGTAAGTCAACAAAGCGAGTTATTCCTGTGCTCCTGAGGATCCGGGAGCATTTGCAATATGAAATATGGATCTATTTTGGAGCTGAACTCTTCTTCTGAGCTCATGCTTGCAGTGTGGGGACCATCTTGAGGGCTTTTGCTGGGTTGGTAATTGAGGATGTGGGGGTTAGAGACAAGGCCCCTCCGGGAAATCCCCAGCAGATCAGCCATTATCCCGTGCTGAGGATTGGCTGCTCCACTGCTGACATTTCCATTTATATCTGTCACGTTTGGATCCTGAGAAAGAGGGAGGGAAAGGAGACAGAGAGAGAGGAGGGAGGAGACAGTCGATGTGAAGCTTGTTTACGGCTGTAAACAGACGTTTGAAGCATCTGTGTGTGAGCGACAACAATAGATTGGGGTCTTGCTGTAAGTGACTGCTACTGGAGTGTGTTTTGGGTCTCAAAGTTTATCTCCCATTCTGTTAGCAGTAAGATGAAGCACCGGTGCACATTTGTTTTGCTCAATAGAAAAGGGCAGCCTGGAGAATTTGGATAATAGTCATGCATCTTGTTGCTTTTGTCCTTTTGTTGATCCTGTTTTTTCATGTAATAAAGTTAGTTTTAATGAGTATACCACAAAAACAACATTTCAAAAACCCCAAAGACATTGTTGATTCTTTCAAAGCTCCAGGAAATTTGGCTTGAAATAGCAAAATGTGTTTTGATCCGTTGCAAAAGCGTCTTCCACAAAGAAATTTCACAACTGTGCCAAGATGGAGTTTTGCCATCACTGCGCCTTTGTACTCACACCGAACCCCGCCGTGGTGTAATACCGGTGTCCCAGTGTGTGATTCAACGTCACATTATAGTACTGTGGAAGGTATGAGAAGTGTGGCTTATAGACAAACAGTAGGAGGCCCACATACAAACACACTCAGACAAACCCGCAAACATATACTGTCTTGGCTGCTCCACACGTCTCCCTCCTAATCCGTCTCTGTTACTACGCTGGAAGGAGGATCAGAGGTGCAACAACTTTGCTTCACCATTACGCCTCTACATGTTAGACATATATACAAGCAGCGTCTCCAGTTACTCAAGGTGTCCAGTCCAAAAAATGACACCTTTAATTATATAATGATAATTTAGTCAGGTAGTGTTATTTTTAACTGCAGTATCATATTTATTGCTCTTGGGGGCCCCCTATTGGCCGCGGGGCCCTAAGCAGCCACTATGCCTTTGGCGGGCTCTGCTCGGAGTTATAAACATTCCTCCATGTTTGAATTTTAATCTGTGTATTGTGCACATTTCATGCTTTAGTAGATCGGAAAGGACAGCACAGCAGCATTGCATTGTGGGAATTTTTTACCTAACAATCAAGGTAAGGAATCTAGATATTAAAGAAGTAAAAATGCTGAGAAAGAGGTGTGTTGTTTGCACAGATTTGAACGCTTGCACAGCCTAGGAACCAGTTTTTGTTTGGCTAACTGAAGGAGAAAAGAACTAAATATTATAACTTTTATTACTAGACTGGATAAGTTTCAGCCTTTCGTTGAATAAATCTAGACTGAACCTACAAAAGCCAAAAAAAACTAAAACATGTTTCAAACTGATAACCTTTTTTTTTAATAATCTAAAAAAAATGTTTCCTAAAAGAGTCATTAGATGTCTTTTCTACACTTTTAACAAAACCCCCACTATTGCTTTTTAAGTCAGTGCAGCAGCAGTACAATGCACCCCCATACCTCTTTGCATAAAACCTAACATTCACAGAGCGGTCAGTCGGTTAAAGTGCACACACACACCGCACCGACATGATGGTTTCAACTATTGTGTTTGAACTGTGGCAGTTATAGCAGCTCAGCAGTGAAAGATGGTAGCCTCTGTGAAAGGGGATTTGCTCTTATGTAGATGTTAAAGGATCATTTTCAGTTACTACTACTACTACTTTGATATCCAGGTGATTTTATGCTGATGGAAATATATAGTATACTAGAAAAGCACTTGGAGAGCGCAGACCTCCGCCAAGCAGCTCATGTCCCCCCTTATATTGTGATTCACACCAAAACTTTTACCATTACGTGTCTTTTATTAACTTTTATTTGTGTTTAAACTGGTATATTCACTTTTCATAATGTTCCTAAAACAAGAAATGCCCTAACCGTGATTCAACCTTGGACCTTCTGGTTGTGAGGCAACAGTGTTAACCACTGTGCTGCCTATCTACACCACTGTGCCGCTCATTGGTTATCTTTCAGCATTGAAAATTCCAACGACACCCTTATTTTTGTGTGTTCTTGATCACAGTATCCAGAATTTTGTCGTCTGTAACTTTCTCCGTAAAGTTGCTAACAGACAAACAAACAAACCAACGCTACTGAAACATAACCTTCTTGGCGGAGGTAATAACACACTGCTTCTTTAAGATCCTCCTAATGTGGATTGGGTTTCAGGAGACCTTCAATTTTCGGCTTCTTTGTGTTAACATTAAACTTTACTTAAGTGGTTTAGCGTTGGAGGTAAGAGTTTATTGAACAGTCGTCACTCCACATCCTCAATTATCTGTAGACATAAAGCTTTTCCTCTCACTGTCGTGTAAAGCTCAGGTGGCCCTCCCCCCCGTGTTGGTTATTGTTGGTTCGAACTTCACTTCACAGAAATGCTGCATCAATTATACTTTCCTGGACTGTCGCCAGATACTCTCACATTGAATGGAGGAGTTGCATCAAAGCACTTCAGAGTTATGATTGTAATGATAAGTGAAACTCAAAGGTTTTTTACACTCTATTAAAAGGTCTCAAGACAAGGTTCTGAAGCAGATAATGGGACTTGATTGTGTTTATTGTCGTCTTTAAGTGCTCCGTGCGTCTAAATGTTCCACCTGCTGTGACGGTGAAAAGCATTTTATACCTGCTCGTCAATTTACCCATAGAAAGTCATAATTCCTTTGCATTTAAATGAAGTGCTCCCACAGTGAATCTAACTGCATAATTCCTCCAATTTTACACTGAATTTTTTCTCACTGGGGGAGATCACAGAGCACTTCAGTGTGTCAAGCAATTATATGTTGAAGAAACAATTAAAGGAAGTGAATAAAGACAGCGAACGGAGATCTTTGCAGATTGGTGTTGCAGTATCTTAAAAGGGAAACTGCACCTGGATCACTGAGCAAATAAGGAAAAGTCCCTTAAAGATATATATATAAAAAAAGAAAAACACCATAACTTAAACAGTTGCAATTTATAAGTGCCAGACACCCCCACAGGTCCTGAACGGGGGATCTATCCACTTGTCTTGGAGTAAAAGGCCTTTGGGATCAGCGCGGTGCAGGATGGATGAGGTGTTGTGCCTGACACCAGGAGATTCCAGTTAATAAATGGTGTGCTTGATTCAGGACCGGCCATGCAATTGTATTTGGACAGTCTGATAAATTGGGGACCGGGAGCTGTCTTCACTTTTTTTTTAGGCTAAACAGAGGTGATAATTTATGTCGGAAGACCTGGTGTGGTTTTTAAGCTGTAGGTTTAAACAGTAACACCGAGCCCTCTCGCGCTCTAAAGGAATACAGAGCGGTGTTAATTTGTCAATGAAGACTATGATTAAATGCATTCATTGTGAAATTTTCTTTTCCATCATTTAGTAAGACAATTACTGAAAGGAAAATAAGTTTAATGGATGGAAATTTGGAAACCCTGACAAATGGGCAAATTAAGCATTGCCACAATCTCATCCGGGGGACAGTGTGATTTTATTTCCCCTGCAAATCTCTGAAAAGGGGATCTGCCCGCACTTTCTCTCCCCTCTTCAGAATTTAATTTGGTTTTGATCAAAAACTTTCCCAACACTTTTATTGAATTGTAGCAATATAGCACTAAGATAATGACATACAGTATATGAAAACACAGTTTGACATATAAAATCTTACTTACACCCCCCAAGTCAAAGATGGGGTAGGCAGCATCTGAGGAAGTGCCAGTTTTTGGGAGAAATCTTGAATGTTCCAGCAAGCCCCGCTCACAAACAGACGCTCCTGCTCGCTCGTATCATTCCAATTAAATTCAGATATAATGCAGATAAATACTTCAGATAATTACAAATGGGGCCCAGTCAAGGTGAAAGTCCCGTTTGACGAGAAACACTTCTGTTACAGACACTTGGCTTACTTTGTTAAAGTGGTTTACCTGTCCAACATAAAGGTTACAGGATCACGAAGATCCCGAAGTATCCCCAATTGTTTATGCTGATGTTGACCCGGCTTCTTAGCTCTTGTCTGGTCTACCTCTGTTTTTAAGAGTCCGTTATTCCACCAGAGTCTCTGGTACTTTCTGGTTGGTTTCTACTGTCTGATTTTGAAGCCCGCTAACTTTGTTTAGGCTCGTAAATGTTATTCGAGGCCGTGAAGTGTGCCTCACAACATGGGGGAGCAGCGTCCACCTCACAGCCAATCAGGTCGGGAGGCAGGGAATGGCCTTGTTTACAGTCAGAAAGAGCGGGCCGCTCTTACAGCGAACACAGCGATACCGTGATATTCCCAAATATCATCAATAACTAATAGCTATTGACTGATATTAAACACTTTTTTTGTATATACACCACAAAAAAGATGCTTCTTTCACAAAATCCTGCTTACCCCACTTTTAAATGTTCACATCACTCACCTTTTTTTGTCCTTGCAGTGCTTCAGTCCATAGACTGAGCCCGATCTCCCTCTCCACTTCTGTTTGATAACATGTGTGAGCAGAGTGTGGCTGCACAAGTGGGAGAGGCATTCCTGTCACAAGCAGAGTGGTTTACATTTAATATTTCATTCAATCAGCTGAAGTGTTTGTTTCTCTCTTTATGAGACCAATGCTGGATTAATTCAGACGAAAATATAATTGGAATATGTTATCGCAGTTCCGCCGCACAACACTTACAGACATGACGCTCTGCGCTGAATTAACAAATGATGTTATTTTGATTGGATGTTAATCTGTTCCTGCCGCAGTGTGCCGGTGTTGAGGCCTGGTCTGTCATGTACAGTTCCAATGTCATGAAACTTTGATTTATGGACTACTTCCTTTGAAAAAAACAGTCTGTGGGATTACTGAAGTGCTGTGTTCCTATAGTTAAGGACTGAAATCCCTCTTGTATTTGTGCAGCAGGACAGCTCAGGGACTTTGCAGAGCTACTTTAATGGGCTTCAACCTCTGCGGCTCATTGAAAGCCCTGAGACTGAATCCCCCTTGGCCGTCCAACTATTGAGCTGCAGGACGTGAAACTGTGATACTGTTGCCTTGAGGTAGATGCTACAAGAGACCAGATTGTCCTCTGTTGCTACATCGCCTGGAACTACATACCACATATCTGTCTTTCATTTCTCTCCAGCAGGGACCAGGCAAAAGGACAGGACAGAATGTGCTGATACAAGTCCAGTCCCCAAAAAGGAAATAAGCAAATAAATCAGTGTGTGGGGGTTATTGTTTGGTATTTACAGTTAACTGCATGTCCTCTATTCGGTTGCCAGGGGACACAAAATTAGAGGTTGTGGTATTTCTCTCCTTTGCCCTTCATCCACCTTGTGGAGGTACTTTCCAGTTGTGAAGTACAGCAATGATAATTAGTGAACATGTAACAGTGGGAGCTGTAATCTGCCTCCAAAGTTTTCAAAATGACCTTCATTGTTGAATGAAAGATGTCTATAATTTGGCCAACACGAACATGGCGCGGCTCGGTCTTTGTATTCAGATGAAGCCTCAGCTGAGCTCTCTGCCCAGAATAGCTTGTGAATGGGTGCGAGACAGAACTCAGTATGACTATGCCTATGCCAAATTACTACTTGCTTACACGGAGACAAAACATTAAACGGTACTGCCTGATCTGCGTGTGTCTCATACCAGATGCATAATGCATCAAGAGCATGAATAATTTACATAAACAAGTGGAGGGAATCTGTTTGGTGCTCTGCCAACACTGTGCTCCCCTACTTCCACCTAAAAGGCTTTTTTTTCCTCTCTTTTGTTAAAATCCAAAACAAACCTCCATATTGGAGAGACAGATGGCAGACAGGGCAAACTGAGTCTCCTATCCAAAACCACACTGGGATGGCAATGGAGGTTGCCATGGAAATCGGGACGAGAAGCAATTTGTTTGACTTCCAGGACGGACGTTGTGGTCACTTGGGGGACTTGGAGAAAGTCGTTCACAGCTGTAAATACTTCTGTGCTTTTAGGAAAAAGTGAAAGGGGTTAGCAAATAGTTTAACTGGAAATATCCTTGTATTACCACCATAAATACACAACTACACAGCAAATACACTCGTGTTTAGAAACGGGTCCAGACACAGTGTTTGGTCTCCAGTGCAAGTTTCTTTTTCTGTTTGTAAATCAGCAGCTTGATCTTGCTCAAGTTGTCTATGATCCATCTTACCATGTGAGCAGCATGGGTAGTAAGGCTAAACGATTTTGGAAAATTATTTTATTGTGATTTTTTTTTCCTCAATATTGTGATTTGATTTGCGATTATTTTTTTCAAGGTCCTCTCCTAACAGTCTGTATAATTCTAAATAATATCAGATGAATTTTACATAAATTGTTCCTTCTGGCAATTATCAATCCGCACACCCGAGGCTCTCTCTACTCCCACTATCGTGTACACAAATACATGCGCCATCATGGCGAGCTGTAACTGGTGCCCAAAACTCTGGGCGGCAGTAGCTTGGGAGGTATAGAGGTCGGCCAGTAACTGGAAGGTTATCAGTTGGAACCCCACCCTATCCCTGGTCTGTCCGTTGTGTCCTTGGGCAAGACACCTTGCTCCCAGTGTGTGTGTCCTCCACTGGTGTATGATTGTGAGTGTTGTGTGGTTGTGGTCGGAGAGGCCGTAGGCGCAAACTGGCAGCCACATTTCCATCAGTCTGCCCTTCAGGACTTGGCGGATGAACGACATGTGTCACCAAGTAAACAATGCAGTGACTTCAGCAGCAGGGGAGGGGAGGGGCTCGTTCAATGAACGAACTCGCAGCTGTGTCACTCACTCGCGTACTTCACCGACAGGACGGTTCTCCGAAGCACTGACTGATTCAGTGAACGAATCTTTTGAACAAATCATTTTTAGTGTCAAAAGAACCATTCTTCTTAACACTAGAGCGCAGTGTTGACTTCTCTCTCTACCTGCTCTTCTTTGCTTCGCTCACTCACAAGTTGTGACCAGATCACGTAATCGGTCAAAATTGCAGCCTTTGCGGTTAGAGAATTGCGTTTTATCGTGATGTAATCACACATGCAATTAATCGCTCAGCCCTAATATGTAGCGGATCAGCTTGTAGAGGTGAAGTATTAACATCGCACTACTTCCACAAGCCAAAACACGCATTGGGTGGAAACTAGAGTAGAGCTGTCTCAATGTCAGATTTTTACCTCATGGTTTTTGTGGCCATACAATATCACAATAATGATATTTCCCAAAAACTGGACTTCCTGATGACTCGCCTCAGAACACATGTCGAAGTCGCATTGTGTGCAGGAGCCTGCCATTTCATAAAGATGGATTTAGCACTGAAGGACACTGGGAACAGCAGGTTCACCAGCTCTTTTCTTCAGCTCGACTCGAGGAGCTGTTTTCTCTCCTCACCTGTGACACTGATTTCCTGTTTGTGCAGCAAGTCATGCTCAAATGTGGTGAGAGAGTGTCAGGGGAGTGGTGATACTGCTGGAGCCGACAAATTCCACTTAGGGTGTATTTTTAGTGGAAAAGAAGTAACACATACACAGGATGTGTTTTTTTGCTCCCTCCTGTGAAGTGTCATGTAGAGTCTGATTTTAATCAGGAGCTGGTTCACTGCTCATCCTGAGGCCATCAGCTTCCATTAAGGAAAAAATAAAGACGGACGAAGAGTATTGAATGTGTTCTGTTGCTAGGAAACTGACACATCATAATGACGACGCTGTCTTTCTACTCATTTGGTACACAGTGTTGGCTTATGTTCATAACATGCCTGTTGATTTGATTACATTGAGCTGAATCTAAGTGGTCACTGTCTGATGTTGGAGAACAGGACAGTGATGTTTCTCTTGCAAATGCACAAGCAGTGCACACTAATTCCTGTGAGTATAATTATTCATTAAGACCAAGAAATAGTGTCACATCATATTTTTTCCCAGCTTTGTGTCTAGATGGCAAAGTTTTAATTTATATGCTTGATTCAACCTAAACTTCATCCCGCAGCTGTTCGAATTTGCTTTAATCTTATGGTCCATGTATTTTCACCTCATGTAATCTCTTTATTTAGTGTCTATCAACATTACATTTCACCACCCACATTGACAAAAATGTTTTATTCAGCAGAGGAGGGAGCGCTCCCGCAGTGAGTGCCTCACCTCTGTCAAATCAAGATGTCTGTTATGTTTTCAGATATAAGCAAACCCATGCGCCTCTCCTTTATTAGCAGTTGGTCTGAAATATTAGCACATTAAAAGCCGTGGGACGACCGCATGAATGGTAAAGAGGGATGCTGTGTTTTAATGGGAAACTTTATTGGGTCAAATTGAGGAAGGTTGTTTTTGAGAAAGACCAAACTGTCTGCTTTGGTTGTTTTTGTTTGTGTGTTCACCCTCACCACTTTGATCGTTCACAGCGGCATTTTTATGTCTAATGATCCATTTAATAAAAGTATCTATCTGGGATTTTAATACGGCAGTCTTCCAAGTTATGAAATTTAAAAGTCAAACAAGAATAACAAATGACCATGGGAAGAATATCTGGTGTAATATTTTCTAGGTTATGATTGATTTGTTGCTCTTATTCATAATTAATTTAACCGTTTCTGAAGTCCCCTGCTCCAGATATCGTTTGTTGTGGTGCTCTCCAAGGTGCTGAACCGGCTACAGGGAGCAGATGCAGAGCAAGAATGCTCTCTTCCTTCCTTGCCTAGTCACAGCCCTGGAGTTAATCACTCTATAATTTCTTACAGTAACTCAGCCTGTCAACCTGTAAACCTTATTATCTTTCTTCAAGATGATTCACACTCTGATGTGACGTTGCCCTGATACCTTAAAATCTGTTTGAGTGACCGATTGAAGCAGGTGCACAACCTTTCTCTCCGCAGAGAAAGGCTAGTCTGCAGTGTCGGCTGGATGTATATACAAAACGGACTCTCTGTGCAAGAAATTAAAAAAAACACACATCTAGTGTGCACGTATCAGCAAAACAAGGCTGTCAGTTTTCCCTCATGCTCATGATATAGTAAAACATGGCCCTGTTTACTGTTCAGGTTTGCTGAGATTGAAACATGATCGAAAAAAATCACTTTCCTGTTTTTTTTTTGCAAAGTTGAAAAGTTCTAGGCTGCTAAATGCTATACACATCCCAAGGCAACAAGAGATTCATACACTTTTCTCCCTCTTTGGAAATTTTTAGTGTCAGTTTCACAACATCTGTCAGAAAGCTGCATATTAGCTTGTCTCTTTCAATTACTTTCCATTTAATGATTCAATTTATTGTGGATTGGCAGCATCCAGACACTGTGGAGATGATTAATGGCCTGCTATGTCTCCAGTGTGGCAGAGTACCTTCCCAGGTCCCTGCAGGAAAGGATAGTCATATACTGTATGCTTTTTTATCAACATGAAGAATATAGAATAAGCATGCAATCTGGCCGGGTGGGTCTATCTATTTTCTTGAAAATCAGCTTCTTATGCCTTGCCTGGAGCTATGAGCTTCAATATCACATCTGGGGATGTGCCAAGTCCTCCTGCAGCTAGGGGATGGTAGGCTTACCGAACCCTATACATTTATCTGATTAGATATGCAGAGCGTGGGATCATACTTCACATTCGGTTCTCTCAAGGCTTTACACTGCCGCCAGACTCGTCAAAGAAAAAAAACCTCTATCTCAGATGTTTAGAGATTTCACGCTCGGTTTGAGCCCCAGGTCCAGCCTGCTCTTTCCCTTCCATCTTTGACGTCCATCTGGTGACCACTGACGCGGGAGCTGTGGGTGTGGAGGCACTCTGCAGACAAGCCGCGGCAGGTAGCCATTACAGACTCTTGTCAGCTTGTTAGATGGTGGCATGATGGGATGGCCCACATGTCCAGTTCACTGTGGCTTCCAAATGCTGCTCCTTTCAGAGTGCCAGGGTGGAAGGGGATAAAGCAAGTACAAATGGACGGTTGACACATTGAGGACACATGGCTTAATGTTTCATTTCCAAGGGGACACACATGCACTTTTAAAACAGAAATACACAATTTTAGGGAAAGCTCATGGGTAACGCCTGATGTCTTTGTAAGAAATAGGGATTTTTGTCATTTATATGAGTAGATATTGTGAAAAAGAACAGATCACAAAATGAGCATAACCCTAATTATTAGGGGTGGGAGAAGAAATCAATACAGCATAGTTTTGCAATATTTTGTCTGGTGATATATCGTATCATCTTATTTACCAAGCATCGATTTTTTTCAGTGATTCCCACCCTTACTCATTATGTAGACTTTCTTCAGGTGTTGTGTATGGGGGGGCTTTGTAGCATCCACATGATGCACTGATAGAAAGTAGGTTTGAAATAGTTGTCTACAGTGACCGCTGTGTGTGGAAGTGTAAACAAACTCGAGCAAAGATTGAAAAAAATCCATCAGCCTCAAATGTGATGTAAAAACATCAAAGTGAAATAATTTAATCCACCGATCAATCGGGGGCAGCTGTGGCTCAGTGGTAGATTTGGTTGTCTTTCGTAGGGTCAGGGGTTCGATCCGAGGTCCCGTTGTCTGCATGCTGAAGTGTCCTCAAGCAAGACTCTTGACCCCACTCGACCCCTCTGGCTGCACTTTGTGGTGTGTGAATGGGATCAGTCGAAAAGAAATAGATGGGCTCTGACATCAGGGTGTGGGAATCATCCTCTCATAAATACAATAGTGTTGAAATTGTGGCAAATATTGTGCAGCTGAAGGTGGACACCTTCTATTTTGCACAAAATGCATCATACCAGAGAGAACATGGCTCCTAAGTTGTCAACATCCTCCTGGTAACCAGTGACTTGACCTCTGCTCCACATGGTGGTCTTGTTTTTCCCTGTCAAGATCTATTTCGAATAACTTCCAAACTGTTTGAATATAACCCCTGTTATGGCTACAAGCTGAATTAATGGATGAGTGAATCGATCCTGAGATGATTTTATTGATTTTAAAATAATGAATTTATTCAGCACCGTCGGATATGTTTCCATGGAAATGGTTTTCCTATCACCCATAATAGACTGAATTAACATGCATTTTTACACTTCCGTCCACAGTACAGTTTAAAAAAACAGTTATGAATCACATCAAACAACATTTGTATTCAGGGTTATGTCTGAGCAACAGCAGTTTTCTGTCTGCATTTTTTAATAGATGCAGAAACAACAACAGCTCCTTTATAACATCCTCGACTCGCAGAACTTTTCTTTTCCCAACTAATAACACTTTAAAGCCCATTACCTATGGCTGCTTCATCCATGTTTCCTTTGACTTTATTAGCATCTCTCATACTGCAGCTCTTCATACTGGAACATCCCCTGCCAATATTTCCTTTTTTCTTTTGCTGGTCACTGATCAACAATATACAGCTTTATACTCAGTAGATAAATTGAAAGTAATTATAAAGTATCCTTAAAGGAATATCCCGGCGTAAAATTAATTTTGGGTCAAACACACCATAACACCGAGTTAGACACTCCCCTGCGAGAGATGAATATTGCAGACCGCTTGCTTCTCTAGTCATACCAACTCACCAACTCTCTTCCAGCAGCCGCTTGTTTGTACGGAGACCTCAGACGAGTCCATCACGACTGCAGTGGGGTGACGCAGCTCAAGGAAGAACATTTATGATCATTACCTTTTCATTTCCTTGAAGTAATAATCCTCATATTAATCATTTTGCACTGCAGATGCGGTAGTTCTTCTGCCTTAGCGTCTCAGTCTGGTTACATTTCCATGAAGAAATGATCATAAATGTTCTTCCTTGAGCTGCGTCATCCCACTGCAGTCATGTTGGATTCGTCTGAGGTCTCGCTACAAACAAGCGGCTGCTGGAAGAGAGTGGGTGAGTTGTGTTTAGTCCCTTTGCTAAAGAAATCAGGCAAAGTTAAAAAGATGTTTGGTGTAGTACTATGGCTGGGACCCTATATGTCCTGTTGATGAAGTTAGGTGCTGTTCTGAGCATTATTTGTGGCGTTTTGGTTGAGGTTTGTTTATGGCTCCTAAGACCACTGTGTATTGCTATCGTGCGGTTGTTACTAAAGTTGGTTTAACAAGAGAAGCAAGCCAATAATAACAGAAACTAACAGATTTGCCTCATTGTCACTTGAAAGAGTTGAAATCATAAACATTTTGAAAGCAACAGCCTCCTTTTATCGAGTGATTTGATTTGACAAGTGGGATATGTTTGTCCCTGGCAACATTCTCACTCTTCTGAATTGATTAACAGCTATTGGGTTTGGACCAATGAGAATCAAGTATCCAACACAGCCAGATGATTAGTCAGAAATAGATTGATCCATTTCCTGTTACAGAAAAAGGGTTTAAAGTTATGAAAGTAGGTTTAAACGTTAAACTCCAAACAGAACAGCAGATCATTTTCTGTGTCCCTGCAGCATTATTGACTAACAAGTGGGCAGACATGTTTTTTCTGGGTACGACAGGTGTTCAGGGCGTTACAGCCGTCAGAGCAGGAACTCAGAGGAATCAATCACAGGTGCCAGGTGATTACAAAGCAGAAGAGCTCTATTCTTGGTAAGCAATATAAATCACAGCTGCACAGTTGTTTTTAGCTACCCAGGCCAGTGAATAACTCAATAAGAATTGATGAATGAGGTTGAAATTTCTCTCGCTTGACTTTTAAGTTATCTGAATACAGTTAGTCCAACAAACAGGAGAGAAAAAAACACACTCCAAATTCCATTTTCTCCATGAAGGCAGAAAAGAGGACTCTATTTTCAAAACAAAATAACATCAAACCACAAAAGTGGACTCAGCGGGCAAAAAAACTACAAGAGCAGACCTCATGAATGAAAGATGAGCTCGAACGAGTGAAGAAAACACTCGCAGAGAAAGACAAAGAAATAAACACAGAAATGCTAAATGTGAAAACTTCACAAGCTCTGGTCAGAGACTAATCGCAAAGAGTGACTTTTCCAGTTTTGCTGCCTACGACACTGATGTTAAAGAGCCGTGGGAGAAGCACCTGGGGGTTAATTAAAGTCTCTAATTGCATTAAGAAGGAGAGGTTGAAAAGGGGGCTGACAGCAGGGCTGGATCTGCCACTTAACACCCCTAGGCCACACTAGAGACTCATTTACATCCCCCGTCTAGTCCATCAAGCTGTCATTGTTCGCTCTCACTGGGGCGGACCGGCACGTCAGTCCCACCACCTCGTCATCAGGTGCTGCAGTCAGAGAGTCTGTCTCCCAGCGTGGGTCCGTGAAAGTGGGCTTATTAAACACCCTCATGTTACAGCTATATCATTAAAGCTAGCACAGCAGGATCTGAATGGCTGACCACAGGTAACAGCTGCCTAAACCCTGCCTTCAAACAGTTCTGTCCAATAATACCTAAGCAACAGTGGCAGCTAATAACCACCTCTTATTCTGAGTGCTGGTTAGATTTATAATGCTCCACATGCTCTTCTGTGTATAGTGTGTTTGGCTGCTCTTATACAATGTAAGCATGTCGGACTAACTGGCTTTTTACAGCCAGTTTTGTGGCACTCAAGTCTTGGACTAACTCAGTCCAACTTGAGTCACTGTTAGCAACTGAATCCTTGATTTCTGGTGTTTTGTTGGATGGCCGATGGGCTGTTATCTCTTTAGGATTTAACGGATGATACATGCTTTTATACTGACCTGTCTGGACTACTGTGAAGCACTAAATGTTTGTGTTAAAGGGATATTCCGGAGTAAAATTAAGTTAGGGTCAAACACACCGCAACACCGAGTTAGACACCCCCTCAAAAGATGAATGTTGCTGACCACTTGCTTCTCTAGTTATTCCAACTTTAGAAACGACCACAGGATAGCAATACACAGCGGACTGAGGAGCCATAAGCTCATCCAAAAAGCCACTCTATAGCCACAAATAATGTTCAGAACAGCACCTAACTTCATCAACAGTACATATAGGGGTCCTAGCCATAGTACTAGCCACCAAACATCTTTTTAGCTTTAGTATTAACAAAGAGACTAAACACAACTCACCCACTCTCTTCCAGCAGCCGCTTGTTAGTACGGAGACCTCTGACAAGTCCATCACAACTGCACTGGGCTGCCGCAGCTCAAGGAAGATCATTTATGATCATTTCTTCATGGAAATATAATCAGACAGAGACGCTAAGTCAGAAGAACTACCGCATCTGCAGTGCAAAATGATTAATATGAGGATTATTACTTCAAGAAAATGATAAAGTAATGATCATAAATGTTCTTCCTTGAGCTGTGTCACCCCGCAGCAGTCTGTAATGGACTGGCCTGAGGTTTAGCTACAAACAAGTGGCTACTGGAAGAGAGTAGGTGAGTTGTTTTTAGTCTCTTTGCTAAAGAAATTAGGCAAAATTAAAAAGATGTTTGGTGGCTAGTGCCGTGGTTAGGACCCTATGTACTGTTGTTACGTGCTGTTTTGAGCATTATTTGTGGCTATAGAGTGGCGTTTTGGTTGAGGTTTGTTTATGGCTCCTCAGATAGCTTTGTATCGCTATCCAGCGGTCGTTATTAAAGTTGGTGTGGAGTAGGTGAGTTGGTATGACTAGAGAAGCAAGCGGTTGGCAACATTCATCTCTCGAGGGGGTGTCTAACTTGGTGTTACAGTGTGTTTGACCCTTAATTTATTTTACGCCAGAATATCCCTTTAACCAAGCTTTACTTATGCATCTACAGCTAGTTTAAAATGCCTCACCAGCACTCAAGTCAAGAGCACATTACCTCCCAGTCCACTTCAGGATTCAGTTTAAGATTTTAGTGCTTGTTTATAAATCTTTAAACAGAGTAGCTCCTCTGTGCACAGCTTCTTTGGGAAAGGTGAAGTAAGACATGCAGCATTGCAACTTTATTTATGATTAACTTCTCCCGACTCGCCAACAGGATCAGTCAGAATCTAATTTTAATGAATAATAAAATGTGGTTTTTGCACATTCAAAGGGTCCCCCGCAGTCAGTCCACACAGCAGCTCCCTTTGTAATAGATGACAGTAATGAGGACTGGACTCAGGCTTGAATATTGGATACTCAAGACTGGAAAGCTGCTGATACTGGTGACAGTCTGCCTCTACAGACCTTTGAGCATCCTGCTCTGTCATGTTCACACAAATAAATGCACTTATGCACACCTCAGAGGTGTTTTTAACAGGATGGGGAGGAAATTACAGTAATTCAGCGTGACTGAGCAAACCTTTTGACACCACGGATGGAGCATTTTTATCGTCGGGTACTTCACAAAGAAAGAAGTGAGGATTGTTGAGGTGTTAGGGGGGAGAATCTCGAAACCAGGTTGTGTTTCACACTTTTGGGGAGGATTCAGTACACAAAAGAAAGCTGGTTACGTGATGCTGAGAAACACATTTTATTATACAAGCGAAAAACTAATAGCTGAAGTTAAATGAAGGATTAATACAAAACTGAAAGACAGAATGTGACAGAAAAGGTTTCAGTTTTTTAGGCAGAAAAGAAAAGGCTTCAAAAGAAGAAAGAAAACTGGAGACAGGACTGAAAAAGAACATGTCACCTGTCACAATATTTCAGAAAAAGAAAAACCTGTTCAGAATGATGAAGTCAAAACTGGCCGAGAACATTTTTTTAAAAACTGATTTATTTTTCTACAAATGCATAAAAATGAAACAGCTGTAGAGCTGAACCAAACGTCCATCCACCTGAGGGGCTTTCATTTGTTTCATTTCAGTTCAGAGAAAAGACTTTTTATTTCACGTGTGAAAAAAAAAAAGAAATCCCTCTGAGGTGCTGTTTCAGGATTAGGCTTTCATTTCTTCTCACATGTTTTCAAATAAGTCCAAGCTGTCTGAGGCGGCTCATTGAACTGCTTTATATTCCTCTTAAATTGGACGGCGTATCCACCTGTTAAAACGGCCTTGTGGTGATTTTCAACCTGCGCTTTATCACTGACAGTGCAGGCGGCATTTACTTAATAAATGTGACTTCATGGGGAAAACTAAAAGAATACCAAATGTCTTTCAGTTTAGGAAAGTAAAAAGACATTCAGATGGCTTATTCAGAGAAAACTCATGGTCGTATAAAAACAAACATTCAAATAATTTTATATAAAAAATGATACAGTACGACAGAGTATTAGGACCACATTAAGACAAAAAAAAAGACTTTGAGATTAAAGTCATTGCTAACGAGAATAAAGTCGTGGGAAAATTTAATTTTTATGAGAATAAAGTCGTAATAAAATCATTATAAAGTCGTAAAGTAAAAAAGCTGCTTTTGTGGAGGAGGAAATTGCTGAACTGGTCAACTGCAGAGTTGTCTGTGGGCCATTCAGAGAGCTTTTGTGTTTTCTCAAGAAACAATCCAACTGATGATCAACATTTGCGATTCAGAGGGAGTTGAGCTCTGATGAGCACCACATCTGTCTCTGATGCCCAGCACAACACCGGCAGCAACCTTCACCTGCAGAGGCACCAACATCTAATGGCAGATAGATTCATGTTATAAAATAAAGCCATATGCTGTTGCTATTTTTATAAACGGCTGAGGGATTTAGCCTCTGCACAGCTATTTCCAGCTATTTCTCCCTCTGCAAAAAAAGCGATTCCCTACAAGTTCACCTGGTTCTTTCTGCAGAAAAAAGATGCATTTCTTGCACATGAACGCAGAGGATTTAGTACCTCCTTGTTTGTGTAACCTAGCTACTGAAGTTCAATTCATCTAAATGCTCTACAGCACTTGTTTTAACAATTTACAGCAGGTTAGAATAGCTACTAGCTACGACTTCCTTCTCATAAGTAATTATTTTATTACGACTTTATTCTTGTAAATAAGTATTTTATTACGACTTGATTCTTATAGGTAATTATTTTATTGCGACTTAATTCTCATAAGTAATGATTCTTTTACAACTTAATTATTGTAAGTAATGATCGTATTACGACTGTTCTCATGAGTAATTATTTAATTGCAACTTTATCTCACAAGAAATAATTTTATTGAGAATTTATTCTTGTATGTATTTACTTTATTACGACTTTATTCTCATTAGTAATTACTTTGTTATGAATTTATTCTTGTAATAAATGATTTTATTTCAACTTTATTCTTGTATATAATAAATAATAATTTATTATGACTTTATTCTTGTATGTATTTACTTTATTACGACTTTATTCTCGAAAGTAATCATGAAGTTTTATTTATTTTTTTCTTAATGTGGCCCTAATACTCCATAATAAAACCGGGCTTAAAGTATGAATGTAAAAAAGCAGCCTTTTTAAGAACTGTGTCCCATTTCTACAGTTTTATTCATGAGAAAAGGATGATAATTCAATAAGGACGCTGATATGTCATCATTACACGCCCTGAATGTACAGCCTCAAGTTCCCAAAATCCCACTCTAACTCGGCCCTCTTGATTCCTGCAGAGATGCATGTTTTTTCACCTTTTAGCCTTCAAGTTTATACCATTGAAGATCGTGTTGTTTTTATTCTTATAAGCTCCCCCACAGAGCGTAAACTCGGTGTAGAGAGAGTTTCCTTTGTAGGATCTAAGAGACATATTTATATCTTGAATGGATGATGAAATGTATGAGGCATTTACAGAAATATAACAACAATGACAGAAGAAGCTCTATAAGTCGACCCTCTACATAAAACAGAACATGCCGGCAATTTGAAACAAGTGACTATTATTGTTATTTGACCTCCTCTCTGTTTGTCAGTCATGCTTTTAGAGCTCCCCAAATCCTTGTCAGATCAGAGTGTCGTCCTTTAACAAAAGTTGTTGTAGCATGTTCTACTTTTAAAGTATCTCTGGTGTGATCCTCGGAGGATTCAGATGTCAGCTGGTTTGTGTGAACTCCATTTTCTCCTCTAAAAGGACCTGTTCGCGCCTCTTAGTCGCTCCCAGAGGCCTCAGTTTAAATGTGCACCGTGATACATGACACCGAGGGGAAAAGAAGGCGAGAGATGACGATGCTTTATCGTTACTGTAAGTGATGGCTTGATTCAGCTGGTTAAAATGATTTGTCTTTTCTTTGCAACACAAGCAAAGATTGATCACGAAGGATGTGGAAATCTTCCCAAACACTGAAAAGAATCAAAGCTTCTTTATCATTTTAACCCTTTTGCTTTTTATTTCAGTCTTTACATTCTGGTTTAGGCTTACTTTGATATGACACAATGCAATCTCAAGATTCAAGGTGATGCATGCAGCAAAAATACCAAAGATGATGGCTTTTAATCGAATGTGTGACGTTCACCGTTTCAAGTCTTTCAGGGGAACAATCAGGTGTCTTTAAAGAATCCAAATAGTCCAGCATGCTGTGAATTTTTACAAATTGCTGAGGGCATGGAAATGCTAAAGGCGGCGATCAAAAGCAGGAAATGTATGCGTGTCTTTCAGTTCATATGAGGTGCCGCACTGTCTGTGAAGACGCTTTGAAATACCAACCAGGGTTCGTCTTGTTAATGAAGCTCAGCTGGCTTACAAACAAAATGCAGGGTTTGTAAAAAGAGACAGAGATCAGCCTTTCTTCATCTTCTTCTTCTTCTGCGCTGGCTCTGTTCCTTCTCCTGAGGGAGCAGGTGATGTTGTGGGCAGACAGACCTCAGGGAGCCTCTCTGGGGGCTTGATATGCAGCAGCTACAAGAGGCAAAAAGTTACTTTGAAGAGGAGGAGGTGGAACCCACAGGACGAGTTTGCATTTTCCAGCAAGCTCCCGTGAGGATGCTCATATGAAGGTAAAGTGATGTGTAAAGGTCATCCTTTTGTTGAAACTTATCGCAGAGACCGCGGTCTCTTCGTGACTGAGAAAAATGGCCTTTAGTGTTTGTGGCTGTTTGGACTCCTGGAGTACGTCTTAACTAGACTGTCTCCTCATTCCTGCAGAGGTGATTTTCATACAGCTTTAAGCACTTTTAGCTAAGTTTAAAGCCTGAAGTTTGCCATGGATTCAGGGTTGATTTAATCTAGATTTTTTGCTTGATTACAGTTTGGCTAGCTCTTGATTTGAAACCTGCTTGTGTGTGATATTTTGGCTAATTAAATTGCTTAAATCAGGTCTTTTAACTTGTTCCTAGTTTGGCTTTCAAAGATCTAAAGCTTGTCAAGTTTATTTGTAGGGCTGGGCGATATGGGAAAAAGTTTGTCACAATATGTTTATTTCACACCAGTAGATATCGATATATATCACGATATAAAAATGAAATTTAACATTGCTTATTGGTAACATGTCTTTTGCAGTATAACAAGCTACTGCATCTGCGAGGTCTTTGTGTCTCTTTGACGTTTTGTCGTAAGCCATTGTGCTAGAGAGAGCGGACTGAATGGTCAGAATGGTCGGCTGCACAAGCGCCATGGGCTCCTTGCTCCGCTCTGGGTTTGTAATCTTTTGCATTGTGCGTGCTCTGCCGTATGGCGCTGCTCCAGGTGGGGAAAAAGATTTGAGGTATACCCCGACTTTGCGAGAACATGTACTCAACTCTCGTCGTCATCTGTTGAGCCTTCATCTGCATTTCTGCTGGGGGTAGCACTCATTTTCTTTTTTTCACTACACTGCTGTTGGCTTCACCTGTTAAAGTGCCATGGTTGCATGTAGCTGCTCTCTGCTACTACACAGTTGTTTGCTACTCTGTTCTAATTCAGCACATGATTGGTTCAGTGCGAAGCGGACCTGGAGCACCTCCTTCTCATTGGCTATTCGTATAGTCCACCAAAACATGTCAGAATGCCGACTATTGAAAAGCATATTGACCATGTTGAAAAAATTAATTTTCAATGTAAATCATTTTCATTTTATCCCCCAGCTCTATTTGTCGTTTAAACTTTAAAGTTTGTTTTGACTGATATTTTTGTCTAACATTATCTTAACTCTTGAATATCTATTTCTAATTTTGGTATTCCTGGCTCAGCACTGGAAGCCTCCTTCACTGTTGTCATGTAACAAAGTTGTGTGTCTTTTATCATTTGACAAACTGGTATTGTCACAACACCTAAGATGGATTGTATCCTGATGAAGTTTTTTTTTATTTTTTTGATGAGACTTTCTTGACTTTAGCCTAACTTAACTATCTTAATATCCTAATTTTGAGATGAGCCCTGGCTTGGCATTTAGGTTTATTTTTGACTCGACTTCAAGCAAGACTTAACTTGATTTGAGCTTGACTTATGCTTACATTTTGCACCAAGACTTCTTAGATTTTTAGCCTTACTTCTGCTTGGTTTGTAGTTTGACTCTCAGCATTACACCAACTTGAATTCTAGCTCGACTTAATCACTACCTTTAACAAGAAGGACAAAAACACATTATTTATTCAGCACTGATCTTTCTCTTTTATAGATTCTCAGTTTTTTCTGTCATCATGATTGAAACCAGCAGACTTTCGCTGTATTTCCATCATCTCCATTGTCATCATCTTTTCTTCATTATTATTATTTTTTAACTATGTTCAGATTCAGCTTTGCTTTTAAGAGCACATTAAAGTCTTTGAATTGGTGTTTTAATTGTCAGCTTATTTGTCACATTTAAAATCCAAATGTGTTTATCCGTCAAGGTCATTGAGAAAAGTTAAAATGAAGAAAATGTTCTGCTGGATGCCACTTACAACGACAGCCAGATTAAAGCGAAGAGCCCCGGGGCTCAATCTGCAGTCGCCTGAGATAATGAAAAAGTTCAAGTCAAAGAGAAGGAGAACTTCTGATTTGCTGGATGTTATTGTGCCCACACTCTCTAAGGAGGCCATTAAGAAGCATATAAGATCATGTCCTGTTTTCTAACATCTTTTTCCCTGAGAAAATTAAGACATTCGCTGATTAAAAACCCTCATCACTGTATTCCGTCAGGCTGGATGGTGTTATTTTCTCTCGGAGTAATCTTTGTGACCTTTGCGGCAACTTGGTTTTGAAGGACTGGGCAATTCAGAACTAATTTAAAAGCAAAATATAAAATTAACTTTTTTTTTATATTTGCAAAGGCGTCTGTCTAAAAAGGAGGATTGGATGCTTATTGAGAATTGTAGAGTCTCTTCGGCAAACCTGAGTCATCACTCAGCCTTCAAGTTGTAGTTGGATAAAAAAAACACACAAAGCAAGATCAGAAATGTAAATTTTAAGGGTATGACTTTAACAGATGACCAGTTAAATAAACTTAAACATAAACAAAAAGGTGAAAATGCTGATGATGTAAAACTGCAGTCAAAAAACGCCGGGGTTGATATTTTTCATGGCTTGAATGTAAAATCCTGTACAAATGTATTGATTGAATTCAACCACTTGGCATGCGCTGTCCGTGGTGCTGAACTGATGTTGCTGCTGTTTGGCAGAGTGTACTAGTATACTGCCTGTCAAGGCCTCATGTTTCAAGGTGGAAAACCAGAAGTACAGGTCAGAAACATCAGGCCGGGTTTGTTTATCCTGATGTAGATGTTGAAAATATTAGTCTGTGAGGCTTTTGCTGCTGAAGTATTAGACATCAAGTGTTTGTATACTGTAAGTTGTGGATAAAGAAGACTTTGGTGATTTAAAATCATTTAGACCCTGTATTATACAAAATTGTGCAGAGGCAGCCTATCGAATGTTATATCTTAAAAGATATGATGTTTTTTGAATTATGTGCTCTGTTCTATTAAAAATACGGTTTAAATACTGCGTTTTTTGGACTATAAGGCATGCTTAAAATCCTTAAACTTTCTCAAAAATTGACTGTGCGCCTTATAATCCAGCATGGCTGTGAAACGTCATCGTCTGTCAGGTTAGGGTTAGGATTAGGATGAGGATGAGGGTTAGGAGATTCAGAAGTGCGATAATGTTCTGTAATGTTCTGTTCAATGTACGGAGCTGACAGCCTGCATTTGGCTTAAGCGTGTGATGACGTTAAGGCAAAGGAGGCGGGACTTTCCTCTACCGTCCTACAAAAAAAAATATCCCGGCCTGGAGTACGTGCTAGCAACATTATACCAATCGATGCTTAATGCGCCTTACAATCCGGTGTGCCTTATGTGTAAACAAAAACATGTTGATTCACAGTGCGCACCTAATCCAGTGCGCCTTATCGCCCAAAACGGTACGGTAATTTGCAGACTGTTGACGTCTGTTTTATCAATATTTCAAACAGCATCCCATCATTTATGTAACTGGGATTATCAGTCATCAATCATAACACCTGGTCTATTAACTTCCTTTAATCTATAGACAAACATTAACTAGAGATTAATGCCTTTCATGTTAGCTACAAAACATTAACATTAAAAGCGTAAAAATAACAAATAATTTTAATGGCTGAACTTTGTAGAAATGTAGTTTTCTGAGCTTGTTGAATTACCACATCAACTTTGAGTCCCACGTCCATCTAGAGGCAAAAAGAAAACATACCAAGCCCAGAAATATTGAGCTAGCATTTTTAATCCTGCCTACAGTTTCTATACTGTGTCCATGCTCAGTTTTATTGATAACATTATGCAGTGCAGAGGAGGAAAGCCCATGAACACAAAAAACCTGCCATCCTGTTTCTACGCCTATCTGTCAAAATGTCAAAGCGCCCCAGGTTGCCAGCGTCTTGTTTCCTCCTCTGCTCTGCATGTGGTCATCAGAGCGGCTTCGGGGGGAGAGCCAAAACAAAGCAGAATCTCTCCAAGACAGGTTTAAAAAAAAAAAAAAGTTTTACCTGCATGAGTACTTTTTAGCCTCCTCATATAATGTTTCAAGGTTCAACGCAGAGTCAGCGAGAAATCCAGCTCGCTCTGGAGTGGGATGATGGTTTCCATCAGCTCTTAGAAGATTGTGAGGACATTAGTGAGGGCTGTTAAGGTGAAAGAACACCTTTACTTTAACACAGCAAGCATTTTTACAACAATAAAGCCTTAGCTAGGAGTAGGTCACTGTGATCATCCATCATTACTTTTTGTGCGGACTTTTTATCCAACTCAGTCATGGAAAATACGATATTCATGCCTCTCTCTAACAGGGATAAGTTCAGCAGATAGCAAAGGCAACAGTGAGAAGTCAGGCCTTTTATTCTGTGTTTTAATAAAATCTTAGTATTGATACATTTATTGTACTAAAGGACTGCATCTTTAGTCTGTTAATAAAGCACGGATGAGTAAATATCCTGATAAATCATGAACTAAATCACTAAAGTACTGCACAAACTCAGATTTAGAAAGCAGATGAAACGTTTGGTTGAATTTTAGGAAAAGTAAAATTGCTGAAAAAAAGCTGTCCTTCTACAAATCGGAGATCAAATGGATATAATCCACACACATGCCGCTGTTTTCACTCTCAAATCCCTGAACTCAGTTAATCACTCTGCCCTCAGATTAATTACCGGAGATCCCTCTGATACTTAGATTGCACTCTGAGTACAGAGTTGGTCGGTCTCCTCTGGCACAGATAAGACATGATAAACACTTGGATTTTTCTGTCACCACTCCTCCGCACCTACGCCGCACATCCACAAATGCACAGTACATGTACACCACATAGAAACACGCACCACTCCATCAAACTAACTAAATCACACAACACTGCCACAACACGTGTTCATCACATTAGCTCACACTCATCAGGGTACCAAATGCACACAATAGAAGTGCATTATATATACACTAAAGGGCAAAGCGCACATTTGATTCAGCAGTTTTCATGTGTCACATGTGTTCAGGTACGTGCAGTATATGAGTGGAGGTGTAATGTACACGTGATTATGAGATAGCGGGGTGTTTGCTCGGTGGTTGGTCTTCTCCAGGTCAGCAGAGTCCAGATAAACACTTGAGTCTTTTTTATCTTTTGCTTCAGTTCCCACAGGTTTTATGCTCAGATTGGAAAATTGTTCACATCACACTCCTAAGTTTACTATTTTTATTTCTCTGAAAGCAGTTCAAGGTGATCCCACACCACTTGACCTCAGTGCGCCGTTTAATTCACTTCTCTATTACTCATTTTTTTATGTTTTTTGTCATGTTTTTTTTTTCTGTATTTCGAAATCATGGAGAGGAAGCAAAATAATTGTGAGAAGCGTCTGTTAGAATGAAAAAAAAAAAAAACACAAAAACACCAAGAAATACAAAGTGCATAACCAACAGCAATGCTATGTTAAAGGTGGGGTAGGCAGGATCTGAGGAAGTGCCCGTTTTTGGGAGAAATCTTGAATGTAAACTCTACCCTCCTCCTCCTCTCCCCTCCCTCTCTGCTCCAGCAAGCCCCGCCCACAAACAGACGCTTCTGTTCACTCGTACCGCTTCAATTAAATTCAAATATAATGCAGATAAATACTTCAGATAATTACAAATGGGGCCCAGTCAACGTAAAAGTAAAAAGCATTGGTGCTACTGTAGATGCCAACAGACTACCAGCAAACACAGTGTTTGCAGGACTTCTACAACTCTGATAAAGCGACATAGTCCAGGACCTGAGGGAAACAGTTTAGCGGCGCTACAACACGCAGCAGGTCCCGTTTGACAAGAACACTTCTGTTACAGACACTTGTCCTACTTTGTTAAAGCAGTTTACCTGTCCAGCAGAAAGGTTACAGGGTCGGTAAGATCCTGAAGCGTCCCCCAACGTTTATTCCTTATTGATGTTGACCCAGCTTTTCATCTCTTGTCCGGTCTACCTCTTTTTTAAGCGCCCGTTATTCCGCCAGAGTCTCTGGTATTTACTTTGTTTTCTTGCTTGTGTCGGCAGTCGTGGCCAAAGGAGGATTCAGACAATTTTCGGTATTTTCTGGTTGGTTTCTACCGTCCAATATTGTAGCAAGCTAACTTTGTTTAGGCTCGTCAATGTTATTCGGACTACACAGACAAAACACAGCGATATCATTATATTACTAAATGTCATCAATAAGTAATAGCTATTGACTGATATTAAAGGCTTTTTTTGTATGTCTTTGCATATAATAGCCAGTTAGAAAACAAGAGATCATAATACAAACAAATATGACAAAGTCAGAGTGTGTGTGCTTGTTTATTTTCATTGCAGATCCCTAATATAATGGCCACTAGAAGCAGACGAGTGTAGGGCGAATGAGTGGCCTATAAAGTGTTCCTTCAAGTGCATCTAAAAACTGATCCTCCTCACAGTAAGTAACCCTTTCAGCACACGCCTGATATCTCTCCCTCTCTCTGATATCAGGAATAGAAAATTGCCCACTATAGAGCCATGGAGCTGCTCATAATGTACTGGTACTTAACAGTTTTATGTCAGAGAGCATGTCTATCCAAACCTATTAGTGGCACATGCAGCAGAGAGAGTTCACCTGGGAGGTTTAGAGGCGGTTGGCCAGCCAGTGTGCGACTATAAAAAGATTCCAGTGAAGCTACACTTGTTTGGCTGAGATAGTAAGAAATAGGGGAGGGGGAGTCTCGCCCGCGAGTCCTGACTCTGCATGCTCTACTACAGGGGTCAGCAGGCCGGAGCAGCCGCAGAGTCCATTAGCACATTACACGGCCCTCTCAGCCAGGAAACGAGGAAAAGCCATTGAACATCCCTTTCCACCCTGCACACACAGATTAGAGTGGTCCTAATGCAGCCGCGGGAAGGTGGAGGACGAGGAGGATGAGGAGGAGGAGGAAAGGGAGGAAGGAACAAGAGAGCAAACGGAAAGAGAGCAAACGAGAAGGTGGAAAAGAGAGCACAGGGGAGAGAAATAAGGAAGTAAATGAAGTGTGAATCACTGATGATCATTCTCTTTGATGGTGAATCAGTATGGCGTCCAATAAAGTGCACACTCATTAGCGGCCAAGAATACGCTGCCTGGTGAGACCAACAGATAACACAACAAAACTAAGACCAGAGCTTATAATGGTTGATCCTGATCTGTTTCAATCAGTCCTACCATCCAAAGAGTTTCAGCCTGGTCTAAATAGAAGCATGTGGAACACGACAGAGTGTGAAAACGGTGTCCCCTCACTGCTGGAGTTCAACCCTGGGGCATTGATTATCTTCATCCAATATGCTGGTTTTTGATGTCATTTTTAGAGACACTAGCCCCGTTTACATGGGTCCAAAAATCCTATTTACAATCAGATTAAAAGGTCAATCAGATTCAAAATGTCTCATATAAACACCTTAGCCAATCTGATTCACCCAGATCTGATTGTATTTCAGGTCGGATTGTAAGAGGTAGTCTACGCCGATTGAGAGGCTTGTTCGGTCCGCACAGGCGCTCTGTAGTACGTAAGAGGCGCGAAGGGACATACGCAGAGTGCACCCAAATGAAAACAAACATGGCGAACAAACAGAAAAACTGGACGGTGGAGGAGACAAACCGCAAATAAATGTAACCACAACACAATAAGCGTCCCCAACAAAACACAAAGCGGATCCATCTTTCTACAGGTAAACAGGAAGCAGGAAGTGCACCTCTTCTTCTCTTACACATTTGCAGGTAGTGGTAGAGTGACCTTCTGCGCATGTAAAGAAAAACAATACAATCGGATTCAGTTGGGGCCATGCAAATGCAGATTGAACGTGGATCTCTTTACTTAAAGTTCATGCATACAGATGGAATCAGATTCACTTAATCCGATTGATTTCAATCAGATTGAGGAAAACTACCCATATAAACAGGGCTATTGAGTCCTATTTGTTCCCACCTTTAACACGTGAAAAAATGAAAGTATGATATTAGAAATTACAAACAATTACAACCATCCCCTAAGTTACTCCTTTCAGAGCCCCTCCCTCATTTTTATATTTGGTAATTTTACTTTATTTTTCCTCTCATATGCTGTCATAAACTTTTGTTCAATGCATAAAAAAAGTAGTCGCAAACTTTTTTTAATATCAGTCAGAAGCTTGTAGCTATTGTGTCAATAATAATGCAAACTGCCTCAGAGGCAAATGAAAGAAACCCGTTTAATAAAGTTTGGTGAAGTTTCTCACAGGGATAAAAGTGAGAGTGCACCTTTCCTGACTTTTGCCTGTATTATCAGGCAAAAATGATAATAATTATGCAGACGACAGAGGTGTCGGTGATTCATTGTGGATGATTTGTAAGTTTGCTTGAATTTCTCGCTGTCTACCCCTGCAGACATGAAGTGCAGCGAGGTATGCTAAAGACAAAAAAAGTGGGAGGACGTCTGGTCCAGTTGAGCTCGAGATGGACAAACAGAAATGAGGGCAGCTCCAAAAATCTTGGGGGTGTTTTTCATTAAAGTCTGATTGAAAGTATCAGTTGCCTATAACCGTACCTATTTTTTTTAATTTACATGCTGTTTTCTGGAAACATGTTAAATGGTAGTGTACTTTTCATTTTAGAAAGACTTGAGCAAACATAGGAATTAAAGGGATATTCCGAGGTAAAACTAATCTAAAACTAATCAAAAACAACATTACCGCAGCGGGGTGACGCAGCTCAAGGAAGAACATTTATGATCATTTCCTCATGGAAATGCAATCAGACCGAGACGCTAAGGTAGAAGAACTACCGCGTCTGCAGTGCAAAATGATTATTACGATGATTGTTACTTCAAGAAAATGAAAAAGTAATGGTCATAAATGTTCTTCCTTGAGCTGCGTCACCCCACAGCAGTCCGTAATGGACTGGCATGAGGTCTCGTTATAAACAAGCGGCTGCTGGAAGAGAGTAGGTGAGTTGTGTTTAGTCTCTTTGCTAAGGAAATCAGGCAAAGCCACAAAGATGTTTGGTGGCTGGGACCCTATTTGTACTGTTGATGAAGTTAGGTGCTGTTCTGAGCATTATTTGTGGCTATAGAGTGGCAATCTGGTTGACCGCATAGCTCCTGAGACCGCTGTGTATTGCTATCGTGCAGTCGTTACTTAAGTTGGTATGACTAGAGAAGCAAGCAGTCGGCAACATTCATCTCTCGAGGGAGTGTCTAACTCGGTGTTGCAGTGTGTTTGACCCTAAATAGTTTTACGGCGGAATATCCCTGTTAGTGGACTGTTTCCCTTTTGCTGCGTCTTTGTGAATTTGTAGGGGGATTGATAGGAGGACCATACAAGTGCACAATCCAACTCCACCTTCACATCTCTGGTGAATTTCAAATCCAGCACACAACAGAAGTTGACATTTTCTCTCCTAATTTTATCTCTCAGCTCGGAGACTCGTGCCTCTTGTATCAGACGCAGAACACTGGAGGCTCATTCTGTGCTGCAAAAGCCTGTCAGTTCCCATAACATGCCCCCTTTGGTTCATTGAAATGCCAAGCACTTGTAAAGGTAGTGCAAAAAACACCGCCTTTGCTATAATCGTAGACTTGTCAAACAGGACTTTAAAAAAAACTCAAAGGGTTTTTCCATGGCCGTAAATCGGTTCATAGTTTTGCACATGAGGCTCGTGCAGACAAATTGAAAACAACTGCCTTTGTAAGATGTATTTCCTACGTTAGAGCTTAAAGTGAATAGAACAGCTGTTTAACCAGGAAGTAAGCTAGTAAATATGATGACAGATTATCCCCAACCCGGCTCCAAATATGAATCTTTAGAGAACCTCTAAGCATCTGCAACCAAATGGAGGTTTCACTTCTGCAATTATCCTCTGATTTATTGCTTGATTTGCAAAACACAAAATTTCTCTATTTTTTTTTTTATTCCTATGATCACCAGAAGTCTGTTGGGCTCAATATTTAACAAGGTCCATTAGTGTTGTAGTTTGCAGAATCGGGCAAGATCACAAAGAGTGAAAAAGTTCATCCATTATTGTATTCCAAGTCATTGACTCCATTATTCTTTCACTCGACCTGCATCATATTAATGTGACAATAGGCACAATAATGATATGCATGGTTGCTGTGAACGAGACAAAGACAAATAAGAGGTGACATGACTGTCAGGTGAATGACTGCTCAGAAAGCTTGCATCAGTCGCTATTCCTCGGAGAAATGTCGGTTTATAAGGCATCTCTTAGAGAGATGTCTGCCTCTGCAAGACACAAAGACCGAGACAGGAGGGAAAACACAACACATCAAACCCTGATGCCAAAAATGTTGCCTCTTATAACATCCTATTCTAAGTGGATCCTAACAGACGCTGTCAATCTCTATCCGTCACTCTAGAAAAGCCAGAATTTATGTTTTTTTTTACCGCCTATTGTGATTATTTGGGCCAGAGAGAAAGCTCGCCACACAGAAACCTCATGCAATTTGAAGCCTATATAAACGCCGGTGAAATACAGCGTGAGGAAACAACAACAACAAGCTGATTTAAAAGGCCAATTTTGTCCACAGTGTTGTGCTGTTTCAAAAATAGCTTTACATGTAAAGCTGTTTAAATGGCTTGGCTTGTTCTGGGTTGGTTCATTTAGCCTGTTCAGCTTCTCACAGAATAATGGAGCAAAAATCGACTCTGCCTGCAAAGAGGGGAATTTGGAAAGCAGGAGCAGAGAGGGATGCTGTTGTGTACTGAATCAAACAAACATGCTATTTTTGGCTGGATTGCTTACATCAATATTGTGCTGATTTGGGGAAATGCTATACATAGAGCTCCAGCGTGTGGGAAAGCATGAACACACCCATAAAAAGCTCAGTCCCTGCTCATTCTGCATAAGCATGGTACACAAACTGCACAGTGTATTATTAACTTTGAGAGCATGAGTCATAGTGTGAATGATTAAGCCAGATGGTGTCATTGAGTGCACTCAATTGAAATACAAGACACTAAATGGAGGGAGCCTTAAGGCAGGTACTTTTTTAAGTCTCAGTTCTTAATGTGAAGGGTTTTATTTTGAAGTTAGCATTAATAAATATGCTGCATCTTTCAAAATAAAGGTCATGCTACCAAAATTATCAAACTGAGATCTTCCAACAATTAGGCTTGATGAGAAACGTCAACTTTGTGATCGTAATAACATTACATTCAAGACGCTCAAGGTCATCTTACAATAACAAACAGATTTCATATCAAATCCTAAGCGAAAGAAATGTAATAAAAAGCAGCAGTATTCAATAAAAGGCAAACCTGAATAGCAGTAAAGGGCACGTGTGCTGCGATGAATGAAAAGAGGAGTGGTGGTAGAGGGTTCCAGAGACTGAGGGCTGCACAGCTGAATGCTCAAGACCCTGTAGAGGTTAAATGAGTACAAGGTACAGGGAAGAGCAAGGAAGCAGGAGATTGGAG